TTACTTTCTCATTCCGATTTATTCTTATCCCTTGTATATTCGTGACTACAGAGTGAGCCCTAGTCTTCGTATCTCTTGGCTTTTGGCGCCTGCCATTTTCCTCCTCTTCCTCTCGCACCATTCACCGACAAGATTTACGCACCTTTCTGCTTTTTCTTTCAAGAAGTACTCGTCGCCAACACTAGGGCCAAGTCATAAACATAAACATAGGCCATGACTGAGAACTGGTTATATTCAAGCACTCCTAGCAAATCATCGATGATTAACTTCTAAAGAAAAGATCCTAGTGCAGAGTCCGGCGAACATCCCCTTTTCACGCTTTCTTCGACTTCGTAGGAGTTACTCTTCCTATCCTCACTCTTCGATCACTTTTTAGATTAGGACTACTGTTCCTTAAGATCGCAGCATCTATTCCTTGAGATTGACCGACTTACTGCCAATCCACGGAAGATCGGATATCATGGATGTCCCTTGGTAGATACAAATCCGTTCCAGATGGATATGTCGTAGCGCGTTTGATGCATGTTTCATTTTCTTGGGTCAGTTAATTCCTTGGGTATCTCTTTATTTCGTTATAAGAAATAAAAATTCTGAAAATAATGTGTAAAATTTGGACTGTATTTTATTGATCAGAGCTTCTTAGATTATAGTATGATAATCTAAAACAATAAAATAAGTGATGGGTGCATATAATTAGTGATAAGATAACTTGAACGCAAAATTATCAACCTTGAATTTTTTTTTTTAATTATTTTAATGGAATTTACAATTGTATTACATAGAAAATACAATAAGTAAATGTGAAATTGGTAACATGACATGTACAACATGAAGAGAAACTACCCATTGGTAGCACTCAAATTAAAGTTCTATATTAGAAGATCCCGAGGCCATCTTATTTTCAGACGCCTCGGAGGGTTATCAGGGATCGAGGAGGAAGCAAGGTTTGAAACGATAGGATTCGGATGGTTCTGCAGTTTGTTATGGAAGGACAGGTATCTGGATTGGGCCAAATCGGAAACATATGGAACATTAAGGTCTTTATGGATGATTTTATTTGTGACAAAGTAAGGAGCGTTGAGAATTTTACGAAGGATTTTGGATTGCAAGGATTGGATACGAGAGGAATTCGATGGTTTAGTGGAGCCCCAAAGCTCAATTCCGTAAGTCCAAATAGGTCTTATTATTGTCATATATACGAGACGTTTATAATTGATTGAAAGCTTAGATCGTTTGTCTAGTAAGTGCTGCAGAACCTTGAAATTAATTTTATTTGTTGAAAAAATTACAAACTGCAAAGAAACACTATTATATTTACAATTAATCATTTATTAGAAATTTTATTTTTTTAAAAATATTAATACAGCAACATTTTGAAATGTGCTGAATACTGCTATAGCTTTGGATAAGCAGACACAATTTTGGTCGCGCACATACGTGATGTCACGCGGGCACCGGGTTGAGACACCTGTGCTATATGATTTTTAGCATGTAGAAATAACACTGCTATATGATTTAATTACTGTGAATTTTCCATACTCAAATTCTTGTATTGTTGAATATAATACAACTTCATACAAGAAGCTAATTAGATACCCATGTAGCCCCCACGACTGGTTATCATACCAAAAATTGAATGATAGTAAAAATTGTAAGAATATTTATAAATTAGTAAAATCGTTCATCTATATTCCCTTAAAGGTTTTTTCCGGGATGTAGATGCTATTCCAGAAATCTGAAAACGCGAAGCAAATAAAGGAATAATAAAAAATATAAAATTAGAAGAAAATGCTAAACAATGTTTGAATAAATTGTACTCCGCATACTGCCTCATAGTGTCTTATTCTGTATTGTTGATTTTCATGTGAATTTCTTCGGCTACAATACACGCTGAAGAAAATCGAAGTTAAAAAAAATTGGAGTAGACACAGATATTTAAGTACCTATCTTTTGAAAAGGAATAGAAAAGAGAAAACAAAATTATAGGGAAAAAAACGGAGAGAGAAGTTTAAGCCCGGATCAGATGGGAGATTTGTCCATTGTGAAGAGAGCTTCGTGACCGGTGGAAGGCGAGAGGAGTAATAGAGAACCGCTGTCGGGTGACAATGGAATGGAGCAGAAAATAGGATTGCAGTAGAGGTATCGGGAAAAAGATGCCATCGGGCAACCAAAGGTTCCTTTCTTCCGATATCATGTATCACAGATGACTGGCACCTTGGCAAGAGACGTAGACCTTTCAAGTTGAACGGTTACTCATAGAAAGTTATTGTTAAATTGCGAAGTAATGCAATTTAAATTTATTTATGAACGTCATGTCTTGATATATTATTCAATTCTCAGCTAATACCGCTTACATGACAAAAGAAAATCAGTTCATCCGTTCAGTAGATAATCAGGGCGGTGGAGAGAAACCAAGTGTCCCAGGGATGATTTTCCCGGGCTCCGTCAAATTTTAAATTCACCTGTAAAACCCAACCGAAATCTTTTATAATGTATGCAAAAAAGATATGTAAAGATACAAATATTGTTTTATTTCCCTAATCCGTATTTTCGATGTTACGGGGTTTTGCCCGGTCCAGCGGAGAGGGCGAGGGTCATGCCAGAATTAAATGCCACCGGAAATCGTAATGTACAGGTTATCAAACTGCCATGCAACGCGTATATTACAAACACGTTAGCCCGCTCGGCCAAACTGCCCCCTATTACATAATTCTTATATAATATAATATAGAGTCCGAGAACGGGTCCTGCAGTGCTGCCTGCATTCCCCCCTCTTGTCGGACACGTATATAATCGTGGCTCAGACAGACTGCCAATGGATAAACATGCTTTTTTTTGGACCGATGTTGAAAATTGCACATTAAAAATTTGAACTTATCACACAATTTTCACATCCCTAGCAGAAGTAAAAACTTGACTATAAAAAATAGCATCAATTAGACTATTAGTTACTTAAAATTATTAGACGACTTTTGGATAGTTTAATAAATTATAAAAGCTGGTATTTTTCAAAAAAATTCTCTGTCAAAAGACGCAACAATTGGGGGTAGTGTTGCCGCCTAACTGTTGCAAGACCAGGACCAGGACTGGTCAATAAAAGCGATTTTTAAAATAAAAATTAAGACAAAATGGTTACTAATATTCGCCAATCATAGTTACTACATGTTAATAATTGGTATTACCGCAAAAGTATTTTTGCGGGTTTAGTTAGGTTTTTCTAATCTAAAAAAATACAGTAATATCTCTATAGTAACTGCAAGACTGTTGCGAGATTCTTGCACAAGACCAAGACCATGACCAAGATTGAGTTTGCAAGACCAAGATTCGTCTCGGTCTCGCATTTGGGCAACACTAACTAGGGAAAATTGAGGATGGAGCCAAAATAGTTACTTGAAATATGAAATCTTAAAATGCAGCAGAAACTGAAAGCATTTCAAGTGAGAGAATAACGGAATGTGAAATTTTTGGAGTTACTGAAATAAATATAAAAAGATATTTGAAAATGAAAACATTTCAGATGAATAGAAAAAAAATTGCAGATTCTAATTCATCTAAAAGTACTTGCAATGTGCATCAAAGAAACTCACAAGAACATGTCATAAAATATTTAAGTTAATCGGATAATTATTGATATCTAGGATTGATAGTTGATTGTCTCAGATATATTGAAGAGAGGATGGTTGGTTGGAGTTTTCAGTCAGTAAAAATAAAAAGTAAGAATATTTAAATTATATTTATTTTAGGAAATAAAAATGAATATTATATATTTATTTTTCCATTGCATTTTTACTGACTGAAATCCCCAACCAACTTCTCTTCAATATTGATCTCTATTTTTAACAGAACCGTTTAACAATTTGTAAAAATTTTTTTTTAAGACAAATGTATAGCAAATAATCAATAATAAATAACAAACGTTGCGTTAACTAGGTATTTGAACGATACTTGCCTTTCCATGACCTCTTTATACTGTGAAACTTGTGCTGGATAGTTAGTTATTCGATGTTATTTTTTTTTTAAACCGGTTATTTTTTTTTTTTTATATTTTGAGTTGAGGGTCCTCCGCTCATTGCTCATTGAATTTATATATAAATAATACTGAAAAACAATCTGAATATATCGTCATTTATATTGTTTAATAAGTATACCGACGTTTCCACTCAACCATGTGGGGTTAATTAATTAATTAAATTAATATAAGAAAAGAAAATGAAACTTTTTTTAATTTTTAACTCAGGTGATGATCACATACCTGGGTCGAAACGTCGGTAAACTTAAAAAACAACATAAAGTATTATTTTTGATCCATATTATCTTTGTTGTCAACTATATCTTTATCTATAGATTAAATGAATAAATCATAAATGATATTATAATAATGGTGAAAAAAATTAAAATAAAATAAGTGTGAGGTGAGAATGAGTTAGGATAGGGAGAAGATGGGAGGAAGAGAAGTAAGGATTTGTAAATGATTTCTTTAAAACAGCCAATAATTAATTAGAAATAAAAGTTTTACAATAAAAAGTAGTGGAGCGACACATTGTTTTACTGTGACCTTTTTATAGCAATGGTACTTCAAGGCGTGCGGGTCAATTAAGGAATGTTATTATTTGTAATTTTTGGAGTTGGCGGTCCTACGCTCGAGTTAAGATGTGTACTTCTGAAAAATTAAATATAATTTTAAACTACAATATTATTGTGAATATTAAGTTATTAATCCATTAATGATATAAATTATACTTGAACAAAGAATATAAATTACATAACTAGTCGAATGATCTGCTTCCAGTCAAAGAGTTAAAGTATTACATTAGCCATCACAGACATCTGTATGTACCATATAGCTTTGTATTTAGTGCATATGTTCAATATAGTCTTTGACAGAAAGCTCAGTTTAATACCGCTATGGCCAACAGAGAGCACCAGGTGTTAGGACCGCCGGCGGTGGATTTCCTTTGTTTGTTAAATCTTCTGTTGGATTACACCGGCGGGGCTAAGCGCTAAGCCCTCCCTATAATCTCAACGGCTTTCCATTTGCTGTAATTTGTATCCGGCTGATGATAGCTGGATAGGTATCCCACCGGGAATGATGCCTCAATCAGCCTGATTAGTTGAGAGCGCTTACCACCTTCCACCTTAATTAAAGATGTCCCAGTTACCGGGAGGCTTTGTCGAAGCGCCTCGCAGCAGATCCGACTAATTGATTTCATATAGGGTTCCAACTGTTGTCTTCCAGGGTTCCAAGCCTGCCTGCTTTGTCTCATTTAGTCATCGAACTAGTCTCCAACCAGTCTCTTCACAGTAAGTGTGTGAGTGTTTATTTATACAGGGTGAGTTGGGAGTTTGAGAGGGGAGGCTGAGCAGGCCAAGAGTGGATTCCACGCAGGAAAATTACAAAAAAAAAACTCATATGTTCTAATACGATTTTCATTCGTTTAAATTGTATTACAATTGCTTGATTAGAAATAAACAATATTTCATACATGTATTACCATTTCGGTTATCGAAGTCTTATTTTAAAAAAATGTTTGAAAATACCGCCATTGACTTCCAAAAATTGTTGACTTCGTCTTTGAATTGTGATTGTGATTTTATATCTGTTGCTAGTTCATCTTTTCTACCTCCTTTTTCGGCTTTCCTATAGAGATATCATTTAACAACAATAATTTTTATTTTCTCCACAGATCTTTTAACCGCTGCGATGAAATCTCACACCAATGCCATAGGACAAGATGGCATCCTTGTAAAATTAATAAAAATATGTCTCCCTGAAATCCTCCCACTTCTCCTTTTCATCTACTATTTCTCACTTAATTATTCATTATTCCCTACCTCTTGGAAAAAAAGCCATTTTCCTTCCCTCAAATAAAAAGTCTAATCCATCCTCTCCCAAAGATTTCCGTCCAATTTCAATCCTTGAAATCTCTCAAAACCCCTAGAGAGATTGGTACAACCCCAAGTTTCCAACTTTCTTAAAAGTCCAATCAACTTGATCCTCTCCAATCTGGTTTCAAAACCGACTATTCCACAAAAGCCGCTTTAATTAAAATCACCAGTGATATTCAAACTGCGATAGATGATAAGAAATTAACTATGCTTATACTTCTCGACTTCTCCAAAGCCTTCGATTCCATTAAACACCTTTTCAACAAGCTAAAATCATTAACCTTCTTCAAAACCCTTGGTTCCAATCTTTCTTCTCACAACGAACCCCAGCAGACTTCATACCCAATCAACCACTATCTACCGATCTTTCTTTATCTTCTGGAGGTACCCAGTGCTCAAGCATATCTCCTCACTTTTCCAGCTCCTACATAAATGACCTACATAATTCAATTCTTCATTGTTCCCATTACCTTTATGTAGACGATTCTCAGATCTACCTATCCTTTTCTCCTCCTGGGTTATTGGTAGCATTTGCTAAGATTCAAGAAGACCTAGATCGAATCAGTGCCTGGGCAAATCTAAACCGATTAAGGTTAAATTCAGAAAAACTCCATAGTCATTGATTCCAAACCTCTTCTTAGGTCTCGTACCGATTTTCCCATATTATACCTAAATAGCAGGCCAATCTGTTTCACTCCTCTGTTAAAAATTTAGAATTATTTATTGATCAAATTCTCTCTTAGAATCATCATATTTTTCACTTCTCCCAACGGACAATTTCTACTCTCAAACTATTCCATCGCTTCTGCCATCTCTGACATTAACATACGCGTAGACTCCTGGTTTCCTCTCTCATCTTCCACCACTTTGACTACAGCTGTGTGGTGTATGATGGCCTCTCGGTAGAGCTCCGTGTTAGTCTGAAAATACTAATGAACAGCTGCGTAAGATTTGTAATTGGGGTCCCGAGATACTCCAGTGTCTCTCACCATTACAGTGAGTTAAGGTTGCTCTTCCATTCCTTCCGAAGACAGTATTTCCTACGTACTTTCTCCTATCAAATCATCAACGATCATCTTCAGCTTTCTTAAGCCTACAACTTTCTTCAATTCAAGTCCTCAGTCCATTCCCTTTCCATAAGATCTCACCCTTTTGACCTTTACATCCCTTCTTACAGATCTGCCTCATTCAAAAACTCCTTTATAGCTCGCTCTGTCAATTTCTGGAATTCCCTTCAACTCCCTATCAAAATTCGGGATTTCCCTTCCTTATCCACATTCATAGTCCTTCTATCCCCAAAACAGTCAAATAGTTGCTAACCATTGACATTTATTTCATGTCATTCATTATCATATGTTAATGATGTTCTTTGCTAGGAATATTACAAGATTTTCCTACTCTCGATGCCACAGAATATATTGTTAGTATACAACTACTATTTTTATACACAATTAAATTCTTACCTATCACTACGTTAAGAAATAATCATGATGTTTATTTATATACACATATATATATATATATATATATATATATATATATATATATATATATATATATATATATATAATATATATATATATATATATATATATATATATATATATATATATATATATAAGAAGATCTAGATCGAATCAGTGCCTGGGCAAATGTAAATGGATTAAGGTTAAATGTCGCCAAAACTCAGGCCATTGCCATTGCTTCCAAGCCCCTTCTTAGATCCCATCCAAACTTTCCCATCCTTCACCTTAATGACCAGCCAATCTCCTTCTACTCCTCTGTTAAAAATTTGGGATTTTTCATTGATCAAAACCTCCTTTGGAATCGCCATATTTCTCATATCTCTCGACGGGCAATTTCCACCTTCAAACTATTCCATCGCTTCCGCCATCTCCTACCTCAACATACGCGTAGACTCCTAGTTTCCTCTATCATTTTCCCCCACTTTGACTATAGCTGTGTGGTGTATGATGGCCTCTCTGTGGAGCTCCGCGATAGACTGAAAAGACTAATGAACAGCTGCGTAAGATTTGTGATCGGGGCCCCAAGATACTCCAATGTTTCTCACCACTACGCTGAGTTTCACTACGCTGAGTTAAAGTGGCTTATCTCCTCCTTCCGAAGACAATATTACCTAGGTACGTTCCTCTACCAAATCATCAACATCCATCGTCCTTCTTACGCCTACAACCTTCTCCAGTTCAAATCTTAAGTCCATTCCCTGTCCACAAAATCTCGACCTTCTAACCTTTATATGCCTTCTCACAGGTCTGCCTCATTCCAAAATTCCTTTATTGTTCGCTCTGTCAATTTCTGGAATTCCCTCCCTATCAAAATTCGACATTCCCCATCCATATCCAAATTCAAAACCCTCCTATTCCAATTCCTATCCCAAGAACAGTCAGATAGTTGCTAACCATTCGAGCCGATTTTAATAGAGAATTTGATACATTTTTATTTTTTAATTCTTTATTATTTTCTCAAAAGTGTATATGAGTCTATCAGTGCAAATAGCTTTAAGTGCCTTGTCATAGTATTAATTGTTTTGTAGTTTCGTTTTTTTTGTATATAGAATGTTTATCTTATATTTTTTTTACATTATTTCTTTTTTTCGATTGATTTTATTTTGGCCAGATGTTCTTTTAATTTTGTTCCATTTTGTTATTCTTAAGGGACTGTGTCCCAGAATAAAATTATTTTTCTATCTATCTATCTATCCATATATATATATATATATTATTCAGCATTTAAATACTCAGACATTTTATATTGTCAGATTCAGCTTTTTTTTCTCAGCAGAAACACAGAGCTTATTTTAAAAAAGAATTTAATGTATTTTTTGTATTTCTTTTTTTCTTAAAACTGTATATTTACACTGTTTTATCACTGTACATGATATTTAGGTGTCTAGTCTTAGTTTTAAGTGTTTTGTATATTGTTTTATTTCTTTTGTTATATAGCATGTTTAATTAATATTTTATTTTTTTCTATTGTTTTTGTTTAGGCAAGATGTAATATTTTAATTTTGTTCTATTTTGTTATTCTCAAGGGACTTGTCCAAGACAATGTTATTTTCTATCTATCTAAAAATATGGTACTTTTTACTTTTACTTATCTATATAAGGAAAAGTATTGCGATCGTGAAAATTTTCGAATCTCAGATTTCAACGGAAATACACGTTTTGTGATCCCCTGAGTCAAAATAGCTGAGTTTCGCAAAATGGTCTGTGTCAATGTATATTTAAACAGTCTAGCTCAAAAACGAAAAGTCGTAAGAAACTGTAGGTATTTAAATTAAAAGGTGTTTAATTTTGATGCCCCTTTATATCAACGGTGAAACACATTTTTACAATTTTCTCAAAAACGGCTCTAACGATTTTGATTAAATTCGGTATATCATTGTATAATTCTTTAATATCATTTAGGTTTTATCCCCATTGATGTCACTTTACAGGGCTTAGATGCCTAATGTTCATATACATCTTCCTCTAAAGTATCTTTAATATGGTTTATTTAAAAAAATATTAACTCCCTTTTAATGACAGTAACTATAAAAAATGGCTAAATATGAAGTTTTAAAGAATATGTTAATTGGAAACTGGAGAAAAAAGAAAAATGCATATCCAGTTCGAAAATGAATCTCCAGAAATAACAGTCAGAAGGTATATGCATAATATATCTCTGGAAAGCGGAGAATTTTAGATAAAATAAGATCAAATTATACAACTATAATAAGTTGTAGAAATTATCGGGAGAGTGAAAAAAAATATATAAATAATAATTTCAGGAAACTAATATTATTTAACGTAAATCACGTGTTTCCAAGCAAAATAAAAGAAATTTTCTTACTAAATGTAAAGTTTTAATTTTTTTCTATGTTTAAAAAAAAAGTATTTAAATCCACCGAATTAAGCCAGTGCCATTGTTTAAAATACTATTTCATTGTACTTGTGTGAAAGAAGAAGTGAAATATAAAAATATTTCATGGATATGTTTATAACCTTAAATACATTTTCTGCAGGTTGATAGCTCCAAATATGATATTATAGTTAAATAATTAGGTATCTATCGTCCGTTTATTCCAAAAAATCATCAAGTAACCTTTTAGAAAATTAACTTAGTGAATAATTTGATGAATTTTGTCTTTGTAAAATCGCAATATTATCCACTTACAATTAGTATGACAACTTTTGACCTATCCATGATAGGCAATGAAAATGTCATAATTTCATTTTAGTAAACTTTAGAATGGAAAATAACAATTTAATAACTAATAGTCCTACAATCCAAAATCATTTATAGGTTATTTATTCAGATGTACTTTCAAATCTCTCTAGGCATATATAAGCCTTTCAGTTGACAGAATGACAAACTCCAATTTTAATATTCTTTGATATTAATTTTAATGATGTTTCTATTGAAAAAATGTATACCTTTATTCACAGTTCCATATTTCAACACTACAATCACCTACTCTGGAATCAACTTACTGGTCTGTATAGACATAACTTTTCCAACTAGAAATATCACTAAAATGTCTTTACTCAAAAATGTTGAAATTGTAGTTAGTCATTCTGTCAACTAAAAGCCTCAGAGTCTGAAGTTTTGTGGTTTATAAAAGCAGATGGAGTGACTCGATTTTTATTGCCTACCGTCGATATAATAAATAGACTTTTTGTAATTTTAATGGTCTTAATGATTTATCTGTAAGCTTCAGCTCCGTTTAAAATGCACTTAAAAAATTTTATAACAGCCCAACATTGCCAGAAAATGGTTTCTTTTCAAAGTAGAGCGGTAAGTGAAACTTGTGTGTTGAGCGCACCAGATTTTTTTTTCTTTTTCAAAATTTTACAACGTAATTAGGAAAATTTCGCAAAGTAATCATTTTTATAACGATATTGGATTTTTTTTTAATATTATTTAACCAGGTCACTTTTCAGAAAAGTATTTAAATTTGTTCCCGAATTTCATAATTTTAACTATTGTTCATAAATCCATCCGCTTCTTCCTAAATTTAATTTTACAGAAAAAAAAAACTATGTTCCTAATGAATACGTTTTGAACAGAAACGTTATCAAATGTTTTAAACCTCTGTGATCATTAAGAGAGCCAGAAGACAAATTCCGATTAAACATGATGTAATACATAATATTTTTTTGTTTTGGTTCTTTTATAATATTTTTTCTTCCGGCACCTTTATTAAACAAGAATAAAACTCGACCTTTCCACTCTGGTTAGAATAGACTTGGTTAACCCTCTAGGCGAGGTAGGGGGTAATCGAAAAAAGAAAAGAACAGTTCAAGCAATTCAGCATTGTAGAACCATCTAAATTAACAGAAACGTGATATAATAGCTAAAGTATAATTTTATAATCATGAAGGGAAAATGAACTATAGATATGTAATTGTTAATTGTTTAATAAGTTTATTTGTATTAAATAAATATTTTTTATTGAATAATGACCATAGTAACTCTAAGCACTTTTTTTCAACGAATAATTAATAAAATCTATACGAGTAGTCATTTTTGAAGTAAAGTCTTGTCAAGTAACACACCCTTGATTAATAGAAAGACGAAGATTAAATCTGATAAAATCAAGTATGGTAGAGTTGATACCTAGATGAACTCTCTGAGATCCAATCTCATCTGAGATATCTATCTACAATCTCGGAGATTTTTTTAACTCGAATTAACGGCAATAGGTATCATATTCATTACATGGATTCAATTACAGAATACAGTTAAATTAAATGTTCAAATACAGTTTAAAGTCTTAAAATTGCAAATAATTATTTCATAAATAAAACCTGCATTGCATAAAAAATTTAATTACCTGGAATCCTTGGTCATTCAAGATAATAACCCCGATACAGAGATAAGAAGAAGCATAACAGCAGCCAACAAATGCTACTTTGAATTAAGCAGCTAATCAGGAAGATATTTTCCAGACAGATCAATTTCCACCTCTATAAGACATTGGTGCGTCCCGTACTTCTTAATGGATCGGAGCAGGGGTGCCCATCCCCCTAAACGTCAATGGCGCAAGAACCTAACCCCCCTCCCAAGATATTTTATTAATCGTCTTTTCTTAAAAACGAAGAAAGCTAATTTAGAATTGGAAAAATCGTTAATATTTACAATTACACTTGCTACAATCTGTACCATGTTTTAATCTTGTCCCTTTGTCCGAAAATTCATAACCCCGTCGAAATTTGCCCCCCTCGAAAATTCAAGAACCAGCCAAAATATACTCCCTCTCGAAAATTTTGATGGCGAAACTTGCGCCATGAAACCCCCTTCTGGGCACCCCTGGATCGGAGTGCTGGACAACTTCGAAGGCCACTGAAAATGAACTCCTTATTTTTAAAAGAAAAGTTCTCCGGCGTGTTTTTAGTGGGGTGAAAGCTGGAGAGGAATGGAAGCGCCGTACGAATGCTTTCGGTAAAGCTGATATTGTGAAAGCAATCAAGTTGAGGAGCTTAAGGTATGCAGGGTATGTTGCTAGGATGGCTGGTGAAGAGATCCCTACAACATTGTTTACACAGCCAATCCATGGAACAAGGAGAAGAGGAAGCCCAAAGATGAGATGGTTAGATGGTGAGGCAGGAGACGCCCGCGGCATGTTGGGTGTTAAGAACTGGATGGCGTCGGCACAAGACATGACGGTTGGAGGAGGCCATGACCTGTAACCGGGTTGTTGCGGCTTGAGAAGAAAAACAAACAAAGCCTTCTTTTCCATATATCCATTTCTTTTCAGAGCCGTATTTTTCTTAACTATTATGAACATTAATTTCAATAGCTAATGAAATTTGGTGAAATCGATACTAAACCATTCGCAAAGTTGCCCCAATTTTTCTCCACCTTTGGACCAAACTGAACAATCCATATTTTAAACATAACGGACATTAGGGAAAATATGTTTGCGAATTCGTGAGCAGAGCAATGGCCAGATTCTCCGCTCAAGCCATGTATGTCTGGCTATAGTGCCTCTGTTCAGCCTTCTGACGGAGAGAGCGATGTTGTAAAATATACAAACATAATCTCGATCCCGTTTCAATAAGTGCCAGTGAGCCCTTAAAACAAAATAAATAGAGTGAAAAATGGGAAAGGAAAAAGGAATTCAAAGTAATTGAAAAACTGGAAAACAAAAGAATATATTCTTTTAGTAATGAATCGAGCGATTACAACATATAATTAAGTTAAACTATACAAAATTATAATGATACATATAAGTAAATAATAAAGAAATTTTCCTCAGGAAAAATTAATCACAATAGTAAAGAAAAAAAGAAAGAACTTAGAAATGAATTATTTGAGAAAAAAACAAATTAAATTTATAGTGATATAAAATTTGGAATTAATAAATATAATTTAAATTAGAAATTAATTATAAATAAGCAGTGTCTATTATCTGCGATCCAAAAAAAATTAAGAGATGATTCTCTCTGGGCAATTTATGGTGTAGCGCCTAAACTGTAGCGGTGTTTTACTATAAAAGGTTTGATTCCACAATAAATAAAAATAATCATGCCTGATTTTACTAGTTTGAATGCAGGAGATGAATCCGTTCTTAATCCAGCTGGCAGCTAAATAACTAAGAAACATCGACAAAGATATAAATCGAGATAACCAATGGCTTAGGTAAATACTAACGGTGGTAGGCGCTGAATATATTAAAAAGGGTGACGCTAACTCACTATCGAAGCTTCTAGATGGCGAGAGAGAAAATCTCGTGAGGTGCGCCCATCACACAACTTTCACTTACCACCCTCTTATCAAAAATAAGTATTTTCAGACAAAGGGGAAGTGAAAGTAAAAATTATAAACGCTGAGTTGCTGTAACGTCTGAGGTATAAACAAACCTTAAATATGCAATTTCACTTTCATGATATGTTTCGTTTTTGAGCTAGGCCTGTCACAAATAAGCAGACAAACAAACACACACACATACAGACCATTATAGACCGCATAAACGTGGGGTATTAAGTAAAAATATATGCCATCAAGTTTTTTTGCTGAATTACTTCATAAATTCTTTCATATATACTAAAAATAGCAATAGGTGACATGCTGATCACATGGATTTGAGTACTGACAGACTGACACGGAACCAACATTGTTCCTTGGTGTCTAAAACGTAAAACGCGAATGGAAATTTTCAATTCTTAGCACAAACATACAACGTTTTCTTACTTTCGGTCGTGAGGAAGCAAAGTTAATACTTTGTTAGTATCTTTCATTGTATTTATCTCGTCTTGAATTCAAATTGTTCACCTTTAAATACATTAAAGAAGAAAAAAAATGTAGAACTACAATCCATGGAGGGCCTTAGGTTCAGTATCCTGTAAGATGATACAGTTTCTGTACTGTTACAGTTATTCAGAGAAACATAAAAAGACACACAATTAGTGCATATAAACAAATCGAAGTTGAATATCCACTGAAAATCCGACTAAATTCGAGTTAATCTCCAAGGAACCTGTTCGTCCCATCGTATACAATATGCGTCGGTTCGAATCCAACTTATTTCGTAGCGAACCCACGGAATGATGATTCAAGCTAGAGATCCAGGTTATAATTAGTAGTTACCTGTAAGTGAATCCCAGAAATGGCCAAAAATATCGATTTCAATAAAACTAGAAAATACATTACACGCGTTAGAGAAAAAAAATTAAACAGATTTCAATACATAGTACTTTAAGTTTTAAGGGACAACGAGTGTTTTAGGAAAATTAAATTTAAAAAATATATCTCATAATGTTGGGTTAAGTATTGACTAACCTTAATACACAATCTCATCCGACCTCTTTGTTTTACTTCAATTGATAACATAACCTACTCGTGCAAAGATTGTGTCACATTTGATGTATTTAATTTATTAGTTTTTAAATTCAGAAACTCTTGAAAAATGGTTGAAGCAATGAGACAGACAGTGGCTTCTATGCTGAAAGGAATAGATAGGTAAGATATGTATATATCAAGTTTCTAAACTTTAATTGTTTATTCATGTTCTGTTAGACCTCATGGTAGAAACTGCTTTATTCTTAAATCATGGAATTTTAAAACTAAATTTTATTTGAGAGAACTTCCATTTTTAAAGTTATTCTTTTGAATTACGGTTTCATTTTCAAATATTTTGTCGTGTTGTGGTTTTATTAGTCCCTATCATTACTACTATATTGAACCAATGACTACGTTTTTATTTAACAATTCTAAAAATGAAATAAAAAGAGTAAATTATAGATTTAAAATTGTAACTTTTTTTTTTTCTTTAGTGCATGTATTAACATTTGTTTACACAATGAACATTAAAAATATATTACCTGGAAAATTTCAGTTTATTTGTTGTACTATTCAAAATAATATAAATTTTCCTACTGCAATGTTTTTACTGTTGAATCAATGTGCTACTAGCATCCCACAGGGATCTTCGCTCTCTCCAACTCCTTTTTCTCCATCTACATCAATGACCTATCTGATTCCATCCATCATTCACAATACCACCTTTATACTGACGATCTTCAAATCTACCTTTCCTTTCATCCTACTGAGATGTTAGAGGCTGGAGGATATAGATGGTATTACTACTTGGGTAGCGAGCAATGATTTAATGTTGAATGTTGAGAAGACCCAAGCCATTCTCATTGGCTTTAAACATATCAATTTCATCCTCCTACTCTACCTCAATGGACTACCTATTCATTTTCATAATTCCGTTATAAATCTTGGAGTAATTTACGATCAATTCCTCTCCTGGAAGAATCATATTTCCCAAATTATCTGAAAATTTATTACTATCTTAAAACAGTTCCTAAGATTCCATGATTCTTTTCCCCTCCTAAACTTTGAAATTTCCTACCCGCTTCTGTATGCTAATCCTCATCCTTAACACCATATATTTATTATTTAAACACCATTTATTTTTCCATCTCCTCAGCAATCAATCTACCGAATATATGTCTGAGAAATATTTTTATGTTTTTTAGAGCTGTCACCTCATTTGTCTGTTATCTTACAGATACCTATATTATATATTACTCATTGTTTATATGTAAACAAACTCTTATAAATCTAGCTATAATTATAATGTTAACTTGTGCCTTTCTTTATTTTAATTTCAAAATTAAATAGCAATGTAATTTAATTAACAACAAGAAGATGATCAACTTTGTATGCCAGACAAATGTCACTAAATTGTTCATTATAATTATTCTTAGGGGGTTGTATGTCCCAGAGTAAAATTTATTTTCTTCGTCTGCTATTCTAAATTTATAGCTGTCTTTCCTCTTATGAGTCAAAGTACCAGTGGTCTGGATAAGAGACTCTCTTATTTATTTATTATTTTAGTCTTTAATCTATGTTTTTTCCATTATTGCTGTACGTTTATTGTTGCAGGTATAATCCTGAAAATCTTCTTCAGCTGGAGCGTTATGTTGAAATTCAATCTCAAGAAAATGCTTATGATTTAGAAGCAAATTTAGCAGTTTTGAAGCTATATCAGTTCAATCAGAAATATAATCTGGATATAACTTCCAAAATTCTTCTCAAGGCTCTCACTAATTTTCCACATACTGACTTTATTTTGTGTAAATGTCTACTCAGTGAAAAAATGGTTAGTCTTAATGACTTTTTTTTTTTTTTTAGTTAAAATATTGATTTACTTTAATTATTTTTCTAACTGTTTCTAGTGTTCAGAGGATCCTATTGCACAGATAATATTTTTGGCTGATGTTTTGGAATGTTGTGACTTCCAAACATTTTGGGCCCGAGTAGGAAGTATGAACGATCTCTTGCCAAAAATTAATAGCATTACTGGTTTTCATGATTCGATCAGAAAATTTGTTTGTCATGTTGTTGGCATTACATTCCAGACAATCCACAGAAACCTACTTACACAACTTCTAGGAGGAGTTGATGGTATTTATTTTATATTTTAAATATACTTCCATGTATATTTTTAACATACTAAATTTAATGACAATTCAAGTACAAATAGATATATCCAGTGCCGGCTTTAGACATTTAGCGTCCCAGGGCAATGACGCCATCTGTCCCCTCCTTAAAAAATGATTTTTTTTTCCTAAGTTGTTTTATACAGTACAGTTTCTTTAATGATGGGCTAAAATTAATTATTTTAATACAATTTATAACTTATTTTTATTTCTTACACATTTTTATTTCTTAAAGATGGTGAGCGCTCCTCATAATTGGCCGGCGCCCATCTAGGTCGGCACTGGGTATATCCCTGGGTTGGTTTAAAAGATTTTAAGTAGTTTATTTTATTATTAATTTGCTCTACAGTCCTTAATGGACCTGGACGTCAGAAACAAGCTTCTGCCAGGTTTCCCTATTCTTCTCCATCTTCTGATACTAATGCAGCTGAGGTCCTCCTACAAGTCGTTAATCCACTGCAGCCTGGATGTTTTCCCCTAAGACATGCTCCTCCTAGGTGGTTATAGAGAAGTTTCTTAGGCAACCTATTCTGCTCCATTCTCTCTACATGGCCCAGCCCTCTGAGCTGCTTCCTTTTGACAGTGGCTCCAATATCATCATTTTTATACAGCTCATAAAGCTCGTCATTTATATCTGCCACTGCTCATTTATTTTCTTAGAACTTTTCTCTCCCAGATTATCAGCAACCTCTCACTTTCCTGTGTCAGAACCCATGTTTCACACCCGTAGGTAACAAATGGCTGTATAATGGTTTTATAAATTATTACTTTTGTATTCCAGTTCAGTTCCTTGGATTTCAGTATTTTTATCAGGGCAAAAAAACACTTATTGCCAGCTGTAATTGAAGTAGTTCCTTCGTTATTAATGAAATTTATAAACTTTGTCCTAATTTAATTACTTGGCTGTAATTTAACTTTAAAGGTAGTTAAGTAGAAACATTAATTTTATTCATACAATGCCAATGTTTTTATATAAAATATTCTGAAATGCAGTTAAACTGTTTCACAGACTAGATGAGTCAATAAGAAATCGAAAAGGGTGTTCAAGTTAAGTTATTACATTTTTAAAATAAAAAAATGCATCCAAAGGAGTGACATGACATGGTTTTCCCTTTTCTTATGTTAATTTTTCTTATTTGTGAATAATGTTAGGAAGAGTAAATAGTTTTCTTTGTTCCATCCGTTTCTTTTATTTGACAATACTAACACTTATGCCCATAAACCTATTTGTTCCCTCTCATAGAAAATTTTAAAAATCCTTTGTCGTGCGTGCTACCCTTTTCTGAATTCATTACCTGCCTCTATATGCAAATCCTCTTCCTTAACCACATTTAAACAACAATTATTCTTCCACCTCCTAAGCAATCAATCTTCCGAATACACCTAAGAACAAAATTGGTATGAAAATTTGTATTTAAAGGTTTTTCGAGATGAAAAATACAAATCTCAACTTTATTTCTCCTTAAAAAATATTTGAATCCACTTTACTCCTTAGGTCACTACTAATTGTTTCAATATTATAGTCATACTATAGCTGTATGCCAAATATATATTTTTTTCTAAACCAGACAGATATCAAAGTAAGATTAATGCACAAAATCTGGTATGTTGAGAATTGATCCAAAAATAAGAATAAAGCATGTATTACACATAATATACACATATTACATCATGAAATATATTTGGGGATAAACAACCATGATATTTGTTTTTCGCACCTCTAAAAACCCCTCAGATAACAAATTTCAATATAATCAAAAAATGTAAATTTTTTACTAAATCTCCTGCCTGCTATCAATAGCTGTTATAAGATCCATCTATGTTTAAAGATTTATAGTAGATATTACATCTGTTAAATATATCTAAGATCTTTTATAGACGTGATTTATTCAATTAAAGTAAAAGAATTTAATTACACGTTATTACAACACAAGTTAATTATAATACTAATCCAATATAACAATACAAGAAGGTATTTTCTAATAAATAATCATTAACATCTGATTTAATGATAAGTAACAGTTGAAGTGTTTAAAGGTTGCTCAAGTAACCTTACATATATTTAAATAATTAGGAAATTTTTCTCTTATAATATCTATTATAAACATAGAAGTATCTCATAGCAATCATACATCGTTCTTCAGCAGTTTATTTTATATGGTATAGAATTTAAAGCAAATAAAACATATTTTATTTTACATATTGGAGGATATCTATATTCTGTCCTTATTTAATTAACAAAACAAATTCATATTTAAAAAATTAAGAACAAATAAAATTTTTTGTAATGAAAGTACAAAATACCTAAACAAGAAATTTGGTGAATTTCAGTGTAAGAAAGATTATTATTATATAATCATTTATGCTTAGTTAGAGCTGAAAATATATTTAGGTTAAGAAGTTTTTGCTATGTCTCAATCATAATTATATTTAAATATTTACTTTGTTTAATTTTTTTTTTTTTATAGATCAAACTTTAAGGCATTGGGTGCAAAAATATGGCTGGAAAGAAGAAGCCAATAACATGATATTTATTGCTAATCAAGATGAAAATATCAAAACGAAAAACATTACAGAAAAAATTGACTTTGATAGTGTTGCTGGCATAATGGCTGCTTGTCGCTAATGATAACATAATACATCCCTTTTTTGTCACTTTGAATTATTATTATTTTATCACCTCAGTACATTTTTCCATTTAACATGTTAGCTGTGGCTATGGTTTCAGAGTTTCGAATTTTACCTATCTTACGAAGTGTATAAACGGTCATTTTTAAAAATATTTGAATGGGAGTCAGATAGATGTAAAGATAAATTTAAATGTAAATAATCATTATAAATGATATGAAACTGTCAGACTCCGGGGACAGTAACCGCAGCTAACCTGATAATAATTAACTGTATAAAAAAAGTATACATTTCTTCAGTTTAAATCATCTTGATGCCTGACTCTTTACGACTCCTAAAAACATTTCTATAATAAAATATCTTATTATAACTGTACTTATCCAAGTCTGTGTGATGTATTACTTTCTTCCACCAGGCTTTGTATACTAAAATGGTTTTATCTCAAATGTTTTCTACTTAATGGTCTTATCAGCCCATTATACTTTAAAGCCCATATGCTTCTATCTTGCTTCTTTTAATTGAAGACAGTTAGTTGATTCACATGAAATCTTCATTTCAGAATATCTGACCATGAAGTATTAATTATTGACTAAATGATGGGTATTTCAATTCAACTGTAATTAGTTATTAAAGGCTCAGATTTAAAAACTGTGTGCTTTCAAATGGCATATTAATTCATACAAATAAAAAGTTCCTAGATACAGTAAATTTGTTGAATACAACTAACTCTCTGACGATATTTGATTTTTCTGGTGAACTTATTTTGAAGGAGTAAAATTCAACGCAACCTCATTTTAGTATCTTCATATATGAGTTGAGATGGAATCGGTCCCAGGTATTATTCATTTTAATTCCTTCCTAGATAATATGGGATTCGACTTAGTAACAGTAGTGCTTGGGTGAATGCCTAATACCACTGCTGCCAGGTGTGATATACGAGTCGAGAGCCTGTTGGGCTCATTATTGTTAAACAAGAGGGTGCTCAATTTTACTTTCAAACTATCTTGTGGTCTATCAGACTCCCTGATACAAAAGTAATACATAAGATTTATTCACTTCCATTCCTTCTGACAAGAATGCAGATATTAACAGGAGTTACTACTTCCTCTATTGCCTCAATGCTATGTTGCTGAGAGGTCAGATGGTGTAGGGAAGGCTTCCAGTGATAGTGGATCACATATTATCCAGTATCCATGACCCAAGAACCTTTTCTGAGGCCATAGTATATTTAAGAGCCAAACATGAACTTGGATTAGTTTTCTTCATTTTCTCTCCTGTCATTTGGTCTGTTATTGATGTTGTTCATGTGTACATACTCTTACCTATATAGTTCCAGACCTTATAGTTCTCCCCTCTTCTCTGGTCTGATAATATCTCGGTAGAGCTTAAAATGCGTGGAGAAAAAAAGCCTCCTAATCTTTGAAAAAAAAATCGAAATAAATTTGAAGAGCTTATAGTCAGTTTTAGTTATTACCCATATCGCTAGTTTCGAAGAAAACTAGCAAAATTCAATACCTTTCCTATTTTTTGCTGTATTTAGTATATCGATCAGTACACATAAACATAATTTGAAACAATCGGCTTTAAACAAAATTATTAAAGTGATTAAAAGAAACGTTAATTTTAATTTAGTTGCTTTTACATGGTTTTAAATTTTTATTAAGTCAGGAGAGGCAGGGGTGCTCATCCCCCCCAAGGTCGATGCAAGAACCTTTCCCCTCCCTTTTCCAAGATATTTTATTTCTCTCCTCTTCTTAATAAAATTGCAAACGAATGTAAGATTTAAAAGATCATAGAGTATATACACTTACACTTACTGCGGTCTGTTTTTCTGTTCCCCTTCGTTTGAATTTTCCAATCCAAAAATTCATGATCCTGCCGGAATGTGCTCCCCTCAAAAATTTAATAACCCATCAAAATGTGAGCTCCTCAAAACTTTTGATGGCGCGACTTGCGCCATGAAACCTTCTGGGCACCCCTGATGAGAGGTGCACAGAAGGGGGCTTCATTTAAGGTTTCAATTGAAGATAACTGTCTTACGAAGGAACAAAGGAAAATTAAACTACATTTTTTATCATTTTACTTTCATTTGCACATTTTTAAGAAGAGCAGAGCAGCTTCAAGTTCCTCTCATACCACTTCTTTCCATTTATTGGATTGGCCGGAAAATAAAGCATGATTTTGTTTTTAAAAGAAAGATTTACAACTGTTTTATTTAATCAAAATAGTCTCCACTACTATCAATACATTTCTGCCAACGTGTTGGCAAATTTTCTATTCCTTCAGAGTGGAATTTCCAATCATTAGAATTGATATACTCCAAAAACGCATTTTCTAATTCCCTTTGTCCATTAATTTTTCTGTCAAATACGTTGTGGTCCAAGTGACTAAACAAATGATAATCCGTAGGCGAGAGGTTCAGAGAGTAGGGCAGAGTTTCATATCCAAGCTCCAACCGATTTGTGACGTCATACGTGATACATGTGGCCGGGCGTTGTAATGCAACAAAATAGATCCCTTCCGATTGACCAAAGATGGCTTCATTATTGCCAATTTCTGATGCAATACGATTCGCCATTGATGTTTTCTCCAGGATTTAAGAAATTGTAGTGTATCAAACCAAATGAAGTCCACCAAACAGTAACCATCACCTTTTTTTTTTTGATGAGTTGGGGTTTGGAAAATGTTCTGCTGCTTCTCCTTTGTCGAGCCACTATCCATAACGTCTACTGTTTTCGTAAAGTGTCCACTTTTCATCACAAGTAACAATTATGGATAGAAAAGGGTCATTTTTGTTTGGACAAAGAAGTGTAGCATAAATTCATATCGCTGTTGTTGTTTTTTGGCGATCGTTTAATGTGGGTGGTACCCAATTTTCAAGCTTTTTTACCTTTCCAGTCTCCTTCAGGTGGTTATCGACGATCGATTTGCAAAGGTTAAGTTTCCCTGCAAGTGCTCGAATAGTTGTTCTGGAGTTTTCTTCCACCAAAGAATGCAGAACATCGTCATCAAGAGAGGAAATCCTTCCAAGTCCTTCTCTGTCTTCAAAGCTGAAGTCTCCCTCCCGAAATTGTTTGAACCACCATTGAGGTGCACTCATTAACGCTGGCCTCGCCCCAGGCTTGATTGATGTGTCTGGCCGTCTAGGCTTCATTCCAGCCGAATTTAAACTCGTAAAACAAAATTATACGATAATCACGCGTTGACATCTTAGTAAAGACTCAATTATTTCTAAGCAGGAAAATACTACAGAGGTAAACAAACATCGTTTGGAAGAGCGTGGGTGCCGGGTTATGAAAATTATTGCGGAAACCAAACTATACGGTGGCGGGGTAGGAAGCCTGTAAGGGTATGGCAGTTGTTTGAAATATATCCTATATGAAATAAATAATATAATATAATTTCATATTTCAGGTAGGTATTAAGTTGTTTCAAGCCATTCCTGATGACAAAAACAGTAATATCACACAAAATACTTAAACTAAAACGGTATAGTATTATAATAGATGATTCCCTTTACAGTTTAAGTGAGTTTATTTATCCAAAATAGGACGCCGTTAAACTAATTCCACTATACCTGCTAATAGATAGCTGAAATCCTTTGTAATGGAATTGTAATATATTAAGTTCATACTATAGCAATTTTTTGGGGGGCTGTATCACTTCATTTCCGTTTTTTATTTGGTTCATTGTTAGTTATTTTTATTTTTTGAAGTGTGTAAACATGTCTGATGCTGAAAAGTGAACTGGTGTGAATGTGAAAACAGAACCTTAAAGAAAATCCATAAATATTTGGAAAAGATACAAAAAAAAATTGGATTATAATGAAAATGACGCACCCTGTGATCCTTGCATCGCTAATGTTCATTATATTTTAATTATTATTTCATGTTTTTAAAACTTAAATGAATAGCTTGCTAAACTGAAAATATTGCATTTTCGTTCTCTCTTTCCCAAATCAATAACCTTTATATTAAAAAAAAATACCTTTTCTGAACGGAAAAAGTGTGAAACGCCCCAAAATATTCCTAATATTTTTTATTATTTTTAACAAATATTCGTCCGCCAATTTTTTGCACCGTCATTCATAAAATGCCGGCATCTGTTTATCTCTGGTATAAATTCGAATTTAATTTATTTGGAATTAAAAGAACAAGAATCAATTAGATAGATAATATATTTATTGGCTTATATAATGTCCTGCAGAGGTGACCATGAGAGGGTTTCATGGCGCAAGTTGCGCCATCATAATTTTTGATGGAGCATATTTTGAAGGAGTTTTGAATTTTAGGGGGTACATTTCGACAGAGATATGATTTTTTTTAAGAGTTTCGAACCAGGGGCAAGATGAAACAACAAAACAGACCACTGAAAGTGTAATTGTGTATGAACTATGATTTTTTAAATGCTGCTTTAGCTTGCACTGTTTTTAAGAAGAAGAGAGCAATATAATATCTTGCGAGAAGAGGAGGTTCCTGCACCATCGCCCTTGGGGGAGATGGGCACCAGTAAAGTCCTTACGACTTTAAGGCAATAATACACCATAATTTTTTTTTAACATCTTTCTTTTTCTTATTACGGATTTTTAAAAAAATTCACAATACTATGCTTTTACAATTTAAAATCGTATTTGAGTCATCAATTCATGTGGGATATCAGTGTTAACACTGATACTACCTACTATATACTATATACTATCAATTCATGTGGGATGTCAGTGTTAACACTGATACTACCTACTATAACCTTACTACAACCTTCTGGACTGTCTACTGTCAACAAAACAATACTCAACAGTGTGTTTATATATGCCTCTGGTGTATTATTTTCGTTTTTGATTTAAATTTTTTATATCTGTATCAAAATGGATCACATGCTTGCAAGTCCGTTTAATTTACCTAGTATAGGTACTCCAGTCCATCAACCCGAAGAAGATCAACAGATATTACCTATAGCACAACAGCAACAACAATTACAACCACCTCTGCAAATGCCACCTTTACTACCAATACAATCTTCAATTAATCAGCCAAAACCAATGAACACTTATGCCCCTTCAATGGGTTTCACAACACCGCAAAGTATGATGCATCCACAAACACCAGTAAGTTAAAATTTAAATAAGAGATATACATTGCTATGATTAACTGCCTATTTATTTGTCTAAATATGTCAGTTTAGGCAATATCTTTTTAGTAAATTTAATTGAGTTGAATCATATTTAGTTGTACATAGTTGGTCCCAAACATCGAAGATACGAACAGATTCTGGTCGTGGAATCTATCCTGTAATATTGTAGAACAACTCAACAAACCTAAATGTTTCATTGATTTTTTCTTTATTATATTTTCATTTTTACACATCATTTCATATTTGAAAGTCATTGAAAATATTTTGACAGAGTTGATTTACTAGAAATATGCTGATGCTTATTTTTATTATGTTATCATAACAAACTTTATACAGATTCTTTTATTTATTTAAATTTTTTTTCAAATGTAAATTTAAAAATCTTTTTTCATACATATTTTTGTTTATATTTGTACCGAGACGTTCTCATGTTTCCCACTACTACGCCGAGTCAGGGTGGCTCTTCCCCTCCTTCAGAAGATAGTACTTCCTAGGTACATTCCTTTACGAAATAATCTATAATCATCATCCGTCCTACGCATTCAATCTCCTTCAATTCAAGTCATCTATCCACTCCCTCTCCACAAGATCTCGTCCTTCCGACCTTTATACCCCTTTCCACAAATCGGCCTCATTTCAACACTCCTTTATTGTCCGATCCACCACATTTTGGAATTCCATCCCACTTAAAATCCGCCATGCACCATCCTTATCCACATTCAAAACCCTCCTTTTCCAATTCCTCCTTACAATTCAATCAGACGCTGGGTAGCCTATATTGTATTATTATACTATTGTTGTAATGTATATATGTATATGTGTATGTATGTATGTATATGTATATGTATATATTAATATATGTATATTGTATATATACTATTGTACTATTATTGTATTCTCACTATTATTGTATTATTGGGTGTATATATTGTGTATGTACGATTACACTATTATTGTATTTCGATTATACTATTATGTTCTTCGAACATACTACTATTACTATAACATCTTTATTATTATTTGTCGCTCATTTATAATTTCATAGCGTATTGTGTATAGCAACTATTTTGCAGTATTAGGACCTTATTTCTCATATTATGGCTTCCTATATCTGTACAGTTATGTAAATACTTCTTTTATCCCTTATTTTTTAGTTGTTTTTTTTGTTTGTTTGTTTGTTTTTGTTTATTGTAATATACATTTTGGCCAGATGTAATGTTTAATTTTATGTACAATATTGTTATTCTCAAGGGACGTAGTACCAGAATAAAGTTGATTCTTCTATCTATCTATCTATCTATATTTGTGATTTTTTTCTAGCAAAACCTCATGTCACCTATGGTAAATAGAATGGACCAGACGCCAAATAGTATTATTAATCCAACCACTCCTGGACCAATGACACCTATGACACCATCGTCTGCTGACCCTGGTTTTATGCCGCAGTTACAGTACGTTTATTTTGTATTAATAATCAATATCAGTATTAAAATGATTTTGGGTACTAGTTCACAAGAGTTCCGCACGGATTACGCATGGTTCACAATCACTTCGGTCACACTTGTTCATGGAATCCCGAATGCCTTCGGGTTTATCCGACAGAGAACAAAGGCGACCGATCTCTTGAATTAGTTACGATTAACTTTCCCGCCATTTAAGTACTTCTATAACCTTAACCATGTTCAGTTATATTAAGGTTATTTAAGGTATTGACTTAAATTCGAAATTTAGACTACACATTATGAAATCTGAATCGAACATGCACATATGTTATATATATGTGAAAAAGGAATATTAATAGATAAAAACATTTAATTATTACATCTCTGAATGCTATTCCACAATATTTCTCTTATTTATGATTTCCATTATTCATTATCTCGGAATTATCAGATATTATTCTTCAGTTCTTTCCTCAATACGTTAATTCCTTACTCGAAAATAAACACGATTTTTTTTATTTTATGAATGACTACAATAATAGCCATTCGGATTATTTATTATCCAAATGATAAAAAACTCTTTTATACAATTTATAATAGACAATATACAACAGTATATGCGTATTTATAGCCACTACATGTAAGCACGTGTCAATAAAAATTTTATTTCTAAAAGCATTTTTTTTTTACAGGCCTTGAAGAAAGACTCAAACATTATTTTATATATGTTTTCTTTTTCTTTCACAATAATGACCGTTATAATGCAAATTAATAATTAACTAATTAAGTAAATACACAAATTCTTAATACATTTTTAATAAGGAAGTTCCACGAAGGGAATACGTTTTTTTTTCTTTCAAAAATGCATTAAGAGGGACAATAGCTGACGTCATAAAAGACGACAACATTCGGCTGTTTTCGGGATTCCATGAACAAGTGTGATCGAAGTGATTGTGAACCACGTGTAATCCGTGCGGAACTCTTGTGAACTAGTACCTTGTTTTGTTTTTTCTTTTTGTTATCAATTTGTACATTTTCTTGTCAGTTAGGTGTTAATGTCTGATGGTAGGATGTGTGTTTATATGTTAAATTCATAATAAACAAACTGCTGAGTAAAAAAAAAGATATTTTCTTTAATAGTGATACTTTTGTCCAGATCAGGAATTTCAGTAGCTTAAAACTTTCTTGATTTGGTATTGATAACATACGAAGTTTTGTGGCAGTAAAAAAGAACAAACAAACCATCTTGTGACAACACAGATCATTTTGCAAAAAAAAAAATGTTTCTAATCGGACCTGTAGTTTTTTTATTATTGTATGGATTTATGTTTTTTTAATCAAATTTATAGTTTTGGGAAACATATATTTTTTTAACTTTAAAATATATATATATTTAATTCTCATGTTTTAATCTTTTGTCTTTTTTTAGGAATATAGTGTCTACTGTCAATTTAGGTTGTAAATTAGATCTTAAAAAGATTGCATTGCATGCAAGAAACGCTGAATATAATCCAAAAAGATTTGCTGCTGTTATCATGAGGATAAGAGAACCCAGAACAACAGCTCTTATTTTTAGTTCAGGAAAAATGGTTTGCACTGGTGCAAAGAGTGAGGATGATTCTAGACTAGCAGCAAGGAAATATGCACGAATAATTCAAAAATTAGGATTCCAGGTATGAATAATTGTAAATCTCATTTGAATTTACATTAAAAGTTTTCTGTATCAATATCCATAGTATTTTTTCTTTTTTTATTAATCTGAATAATTTTTAGGCTAAATTTCTAGACTTCAAAGTACAAAACATGGTTGGTAGTTGTGATGTTAAATTTCCCATAAGATTAGAGGGTTTGGTTTTAACTCATGGACAATTCAGCAGGTATGGATAATCATTAAAAATAATTATTCGGTCAATTTTGTTCACTTAAAAAAGGGTTGTTAAGATTTTTTTTTTGTTTTAGTTATGAACCTGAACTTTTTCCTGGACTTATTTATCGAATGGTGAAACCTCGCATTGTTTTATTAATATTTGTATCAGGAAAAGTCGTACTCACAGGTGCGTGATTATAATTGGTTGTTTCACGCATGCCACATATAAATTTAAGAATAGGCTTATGGTATTCATCTTCTTCATATAAATTTGTCAATCAACTAATCTCTAAATTTTTGACAATTATTTATTTTTCATGGTGTACTGCTTCTTCTGTATCCAACCATGTTTTCCAATATATTTATAAACATTATTAATATGATGATAACACTGTAATAATGATAAATTACCTAGCATTTTAGTACTGTTTATAGATATTTCCTCCTTTTTCTGTTCTGATTGATTTGAAGTTAATATAGATGGAACGTCAAATATCATCATGTTTATTCTATTTTTTTCTTTAGTCAATAGCTACTAAATCTGACTGATTTTGGGTAACACTCTGTGACAGAGTTACGAAAAAGGTATCTATTATTCAATATGTCGATTAAAAATAAAGATTAAGGATTCCATAACACTTCTAAGTTTATTTATTTATTAGAAAAAAAGTATCTTACAAAATGAAACAACTTCTCATGTTAATATCAATCATTTGCTTAATAAATTCAATATTCCTGCCTGCCTTTGACAGGAAAAAAATTTCCTCTTGCTATTGTAAATCAACTTCTAATCATTTCACTAGAAAAATGGGAAATAATTTCTGTTAAAGATGTTCAGGTGTTGGTTCTAGATTTATGTCTTATTACTGGAGGAGGTATCTATATCAGACTAAAAATTTACTGAAATATTAGATAATCATGAATCTACCTAGTCCTGTCATAAATATTGTTACAAGGAAATATATACAGATTTCAACAGAAAAATTAATTTTTTCAAAAACTTCATTGGAAAATAAAATGTATGTCTATAAGTGAGTAAAACAAAAAAGAAATTACTCAAAATGTCTATCCCTTTTTGCCTTGACACAGGCATTTAATCTCCAGTTATCTGCATCAAGGCCAGTCATCAATAGAAGCACACAGCATTTTTTAAGGAAAGTGCTCAACTGCTCGGACCAGAGATTGTTTGAGGCTTTCCAAGTTAGGGTGTGCTCTAACGGCCAAGGAGCACTTTATATGTATCCACTCTAATTGTTTTTAGAGAAGTGGTTAGCCTTTGTCCTGTCATTCTTTGAAAGGTACCCATCCTAAGGTCACTTTTTATTATGCGAGACATTGATCTGACAGAGATTCCCATTTCCCGAGACATGATTTGTTGTTTTCGAATGGGATTTCTTCTGAATCAAGCAGCCATTCCTCTCACTGCGTTTGCCGTTCTCTCAGTGCGGGGATGGCACCAGTCGAGGTCTGTCACATACAGATAAGGTCTCATTTATAGTGTGGCATACAAACATACCCAAATGTTTCAAAGTGTTGAAAATCTCTGACCTAAATTTTCCAACTTTCTGTAAGGCGATCACAGCTATTCGGTTTTCTTTATCACCCCACTCCATGGTAATTGAGCGAAAGAAAAATACAAACTAATTGAGATTATTATCCTGACATGCAAAGAAAATAACCTGATAGAGGTAAGGATTATCTAAATAATACATAAGAATGTAAACAAAGTTCAACTTTTGTCACAGTATTTATGGCAGAACTAGGTGCATGCAAATGATTTGGACTTACATTTATTTTTAATTCTGAATTAAAATTGAAGAACTAATTAAAGGCCTTCCACTTTTATATCTCTGTTACATGTAATCATTTGTTCCTTTTTTTTTTTTTTTTTTAATTCCGTGCATTATTAATTTTATCATCTATTTTTTCTAATAGTTCAATCACAGAATCGGTAATTACTTTTTTTTGTCATTTTTAGGTGCCAAAGTACGTCAAGAAATTTACGAGGCATTTGATAATATCTACCCAATATTGAAAAGTTTTAAGAAACAGTAATGAATACGCAGGGACTAAATTAAATTTTTTGTGATCAAAATGATTCAGCACTGATGCTGATTTTGTACAAATTGTAATAAATGTAATATTTATTTTATTTTCAGAAGTGAATATTTATATATTGTTAATTTAAAAATAAAAAAATTTCTTGATGTTAATATTATTTATTTTCTCTTTTATATAAGATGAAGTCACCAATTATTGACACTTTAAGGGAAATTTTCAAGTAATTTACCAATAACCTTTTTATTAAATTTTATATCTATATGTTTCAAAGTTTTTCATGGTAGTCCAAGTCTGTTCTACAAATTTCATTTATATATTGGCCAAAATATTATAAAGTTTTACATTTTTTGTGCCAACAATAGTTGACAAATTTTTCATAGTAGTTTTTAAAATAAAAATGTTAATAAGAATTACAATGCATAATCATGTTAAGAAGAATTTGATTTCCAAGTAAAGTACTAAGGAGTTATATCCAATACTGTAAGGATCAAAAGGACTAATTCACATACACCATGTTATTAAGTTGATGTTTGTATGATAAAGTTGTATGTTTGTATACAACTTATATATATATATATATACAACTTAAAACAGTGAGAGCTTCTATCCCATCTTTTACATCATAGAATAGAATATATCAACTTAATGACCCAGAACAAGACATGAAAATCCATTTACGTTTTAGTTTTAAGTGTTGGGGCCCAGAGATGAATCATATAGAAACCAGTGGGAAAATTTTTGGAGATTAAAACAAAACTGTAGACTATTTGGCAAAATGTTTTATTATTCAATTGCAATCACTTAAACTAAATAGTTTTTCTTACAAGGGGAGGTTACGAATTTTTATTTTAATGAGAAACTTTTTTTAATAATACTAGGTCGAAAAATATTTGACCTATGCACAAGAGTTCTTGCCAATGATCCTAAACCATTTAAATTTCAAAATTTCCTCTAAAGGTGAAAACTTCCATTTTTTTTTTAATCACAAAATTGTGATAATATAGATCCACCTATCCATATAAAAATTGGTATGCATTTCGGGCCCTATGAAATACACATACACAAAATGACCCAAACCAGACTGTAAATATTTATACTTTATTCCTTATAAAGGTGTGAAATTTAAAAGTTAATGATATTATTTTGAAGAGCAATAATTCGGCTGTTCAGCTGTTATTATAACATTGACTGAGGGGAAAATCTGGAGGTGTTATGAATGGTTTTGTTAACGGCATGACATTAATTCTCTCACTGAATTATGTCCAAAACTTTATATTTTTTTATTTCCAAAGAAATTTGTATGTAAGAATTTTAAAGAACGCTAAAAACGATTCTGAATACTGAATAAAAACAAATTAGGTCAAATATTTTTTGATTTAGTATCACCAAAAAAAGTTTCATTGAAATCTGTAACCCCGCGTCAGTAACCTCCCCTTGTTAATGAAAATAGTATATTTTTATCTATAATTGAACATAATATATAGTTTATCTCAATAATTGAAATTAATGTTATGCGAAAAAATACCCATGATTCAGGTAGGATTTCCTCAGGATATTAGCCTTAAGGTGTAGTCAATTGTAGTTAAGCAACAAGTAATTAGTAATTTTGTGCTAAATGTTTGTTAAAATACTTTTATTTTATTTTAATTATCATTTGTAGATTTTAATAAATATTCCTCCCAAGGAATATTTTTAGTTAATACAATTTTTTTTAGGAGGTGAACAAAATATAAATTTCCCATCAATTTCTACAGCTGGAAGTAAATTTCCTGGAGCTTAAATTTTTTTAAAATTATGGTACATTAATTTGATAAAGAAATATTTTTAAAATTCTTAAAACTAAATAATACTTAACCATTTCAAAAACTTTATTTTCATTATGTTTCGGCTATCAGGACATCTCGAGATAATTTGATGGTTTTAAGGGGAGCAATGTTATTAGGAACAGCTCCCCTTAAAACCACCAAGTCACTTGAAGACTTGGTAGTTTTTTTTTATTCTCAAGAATTTATTATGACACCACCTTAAATTCAAATATCAAAAATTTCAATTTTCTTAACTTTTTTGAATTTGAACTTATTTCTAAACTTTTAAGTCAAATTAGTGCTTAACCTAGATGGAATAGACACAAACCTGTACCACTACAACCCATGAAGGGTCTTGGGCTCAGTGCTTTGTAAGGATGTAGTGTTTCAAGGCTCGTGGTTGGGTCGAGACTACGCTCAACCGCCAGGTTTTCCTCTTTATTAATTATGTAGTTAAGAGTATCCACTTTACATGGGATGGCTGTGCCTCAGGAGGATTTCCTAGTCCCATGGTCAATCCATGGCTGATGTTATGAAAATTCATATTTTAGGATTTATCGAGGTGCGGAATACAAATATCAACTTTGTTCATCCTTAAAAAAAATTTGCTTTGCTCCTTCGGGCTGTATGAATTGTTTCATTTCTGAAATATTTCTTATTGATTTACAGGACTTTTTTCTAATTTCTAGGGAGTTCAGAAAGGTTTCAAATAATTATGGGTATTATCAAGCACAAATTGTGTACTTTTTTAGTTATTGGCAAATGAATTTTTGAATTCATCGTAGTATTTTTTGCAGCTTGTTTTCAGAAAAGTATGTTATATACATAAAGAGAAAGACTTTAGCCAAGTTTCGTTAAAATTGTTACAGCCGTTTTGGGGCGACTGTCTATAGCGAGACACGTTTTTCAGCCAATGTTTCAAAACGAAAGGCCAGATGGTAATGAAATGTTCATAAAAACACTCCTGAATTCGACTGCAAGAACTGTGAAGAACTTTTCTATTTTTTTTACACATGTAAAATTATAGGACTGATGTACTATGTAAGAAACCTTTGCGTGAGTATATGCAACAACTTCCTAAGTTTCATGGCGATCAGATGAATGGTTTAGTAATGCATAAAGGACAAACAGACATATATTCGTTTTTATAGACATAGATAAATATTTATGGAAATTTTTAATATATGTCATAAATTTTAAAGTGTAATAAGAATGGTAAAAATCAGAAGATAGTGATCTGTGGTCAGAAGTTTGAAATCTATTTTTAATGATGGTAAGTAAAGCAATCCATTCAGAACAAGTTAACACACTACACTTCAGACCAAGAAAAGCACTCATACAATATTATTTTGTTAATATTTTATTGACATTAATCTCCATAATAACTCTCTTCACTGCCTTCTTCTTCTTCTTCTTCTTCACTACTTTCTTCATCACTATATTCTTCCTCATCACTTAAGTTCTCATCCTTCTTTACTTCATGGCTTTCAACTACTTTTTCCTCAACTTTTTTTTGTCTAGCTAAGTTGATTCGTTCAGCTGTTTTGAACTCTATTAATTCATCTTCAGAATCATCAAATACAACTGTTTTCATCTTATTAGAAACATCAGATTTAATTAAATCTTTAGCCATTTTGCTCTTAACCAAGCTTATTTTCTTACGAAGCAATGGCATTTCTTGAAATTTTAAATCAGATATTCCTGCTGTAATACTTTCTTTAAGATTTTCTTGAGCCATAATAAGATGTTGTAATTTTTCAATATCTAAATCGATCTGTTCTGACGTCACGTAGTGAATCTGAAATAAAGATGAATTCATTGAGCTGACTAATTAAAGTGGTCTAGCAATGTGAGGCATGAATAAATGTCAATCGTATATACATATAGACACAGAAAAAAAAAAAAAAAAAAAAAAATATATAAATATATATATATATATATATATATATATATATAAAGATGGTAAGCCAATGGCATCAGAAGAAGCTTGAGTAAAATATCTGTACTTGTTTTTGAAAATAATTGAACACAATTAGTAAATAAATTTGTATAATTTTTTTAAGTAGATATTTATCTGTTTTTTTAACTTAAAACATTACAACTTTGAACCTTTGGTTTAAATATATTTATTTTTTTAAACTTCTATGTTTTAATTGCAGGTAGAAGGGAAACAAACTGATTTTCAGATGTGGGTTACACCGAAACCATTATCTGATGAACAATTCTAAGTTATTTTAACAAATCCATTTTCATATGATCACCCATCCACTTTGACCATAGACTACAGCAGATCCTCAAAAAAATGATAAGAGGTACACAAGTTTATTTCATATATTTTAAAGCAGCCTATGATTCTGTGACAGACATAAACTGTCTGTAGAAGACCAAGACAGAACTAGGTATTCCTCATAAGAAGGTAAGACTGACCAAGACAGGCACAAACGATCCTTAATCCTGATAAAAGGAGAATTAACAGAACTTTGAAGACTCTCCCCCACATCCCTATCAAAATTTCATATCATTGGGTTCCTTGCAACTATTTAAAAAAAAAAGCCAATGGTCCTGCAAAAAAGTGAACGCATTGTCCCAAAATGGCGTCCAACATGGTGGCATGACAACTATGGGCTTTTTTTTTTTTTTTTTGGTTTCGACATTATTGTGCACCGCAGCCTCAAGTAGGCCTATTGTACGTCGGCCTAAACTCAGTTAAAACAGGCCAGATGCCTTCACGAACCTATTGATCCTGATGGGACTTAAGTTAGTGTTTCGCTAAATAGTTAGAGAATAATAAAACAAGAAGAAATATTAAAAAATAATTGGTTTATTCACCGTTTACTATCCTACAGATTTTTAAATGCCTTTTAAGTCTGCAGCGGCCTGTTAGTACTCTGATGATGAGTCGGATTTCCTTTTTAGTTAAGTCCAACAGCCACTTAGTTTTGGAGAGGGAGAGGCTTTTTGTAAATTGTTTGGCTTGTCTAAGCCCAATGTATTCCCTCCACTCCTTACCTGCTCTTTTCCAAATCCAATCAAGGATTTATTTCCGCTGATGTTTCTTGAATATTCCTATTGCAGGTTCCGGACCTACATAGGAAATTCCGCTCCTTTCCTTGCCAGAGCATCAGCTTTTTCATTGCCTTTAACTCCCTTATGACCAGGAACCCAAACTAGTTCCAATCTCTTCGAGCAGGCCAGTGTCTCCAAAGCCTATTTACACTGGTTGCGGTTCCCGCCACATGCCACAAGGGACAAGTTCACCTGCCCGCTACCTGGAAGTGCCAACAGGCTCGTTTGTGCAATGTACCTAAGCAATTGAATTTATGTTTCTTATTGTTATATGATAAAACACTGAAATTGTAAATTGAAATATGTATATTGTAACGTTCCCTTTGTCAACATAAGTCAAACAAACGAGTTTACTTTTTGAATATACTATTTATTTTAACACATAACATCAATTCTCAGGTTGGGTTCTGACAACTGAACACTGATTCAACATTTAATAACTACAATGTACACTAATTTACTAATTACTAACTACACTTATTTATAATTTAAAATATTTTATAAAATAATTTGTCCCGGTCTAAACTTTTGGTTCTATCCCTCTGTCAACATAAATGGCATTGTTAGCACTCACCCAAATGTTTACGCCTGCCAGCGAAATAATCTCTTCTTACTTACGAATGTCCCGTTTTCTGTACCACTTAATTGTTTTCTGCTATGTTGTTTTCTTCCAACATAAAATAATCTTCACTAGTGGCCTCTATCAACACTCGAACCGGCTAGGACTCTTTTTTCTATTTTCTCAACTTGCTGGCTGGCACCTTCTCACTTGGCAGCTCGTCACCTTCCCTCTTGACAGCTTGTCACATTTTTAGTTACATGAGGCTTGCTTCCCCCACTTCCTTCCCGTAGTTCGCGCCATCACCACCTTTGCGCCACTATCCAAATGCCATGTAATGTTGACATTACAATAAACATTGTAAATACTTTTTATTAAGAAAGTTTAATGTCGATAACATATACTGATCAAAGCTTAAAAATAACTGCAATTGTAATGGATCTTGATAGCCAATTTAGTCATTGCTTAATGATTACCGCAGTCCTATCAAAAGATTGTCAGGTTCTAGTGTCTCCGTATTTCGGGGTGTAGACTTTTTGCGCAGATGATCAGTATATGTCTCATATATGCTTTCTGTTGTCATCATTCTGCCTTATTATTTCACTATGCCTAGTAACCTTTTATCCTCTCCTCTCACTCCTTACAAGTCTGGATGCTGATCCGTCCGCTTGTATTCCTACATACTAATTGATCCTCCTTACAAACGGTAAAACCACAAGGTTACCATCCCTGCGGATTGTTAAGGTTGATCCCTTACACTGCAGACTGAGTGATTTGGGTGCTGATCCGCCTGGCAATTAAGACCATCCTTCTACTCATCTCCCTTCATCCAATAAGTCATATTACCTCTCTACTTGAACACACTGTGTTGAGCCCTTCTGGTAACTGCATACTTCTGCTCAATTCAAATAGTGACCCCAATGTGATTTAACATGTCCGACAATGATTCAATAGGCCCGACATGATTCAACAGGGCCGATGTGATTCTAAGATGACTGTAGAAATGAGGATACCTACAGAATCGGACAGTAAAGGACAAGCTCTTCCTCAGATTGACTTCTATCAAGGACCAATACAAGATCTGACCTCTATGATGGATGAACTCAGGAACTCAGGAACTGGCGACTCAGGAACACAACCTGCTTCAGACTCAATTTTTCAAACTTCAGCAGTCACAACTTTCAAGACAAGGTTAAATTCAGCTGCAAACAATGCTTGTATTAGGAAAGACTCCAACTGGCCAAAGGAGAATCCTAGACAGCTCTGCTATTTTTCAAACTGAAGCAACAACCTCAACCAACCTGAAAGTCTCTTAACACATTCAAATATACTAACAGGAGCAAGAACCAATCTCTACAAGGCTAAACCAGCCCTTAAATTTTGTAATCACCACATAGTGGCCAAGGATCGCAGCACCAGCAGAATATCTTCTTGAAGAAAAAGGAACTAACTTTCAATGCTAAATTAAGCCCAAATTGACTACTAAAACAACTTTGCAACCAACGTCTGTCATACCATTGGTACCAGAAAAAAACACACAGATATCCTGCCAACCAGCCTCACTTGGTATCCAAGTGGCACAGAGATACTTCGAACCGAAGTTATCCCCCCAATCTGCCCACCATTGGCAACAAAAACTCCTAATACAAGCATTGTTTGTAGCTGAATTTAGCCTGGTATAGAAAGTTGTGACTGCTGAAGTTTGAAAGACTGAGTTTGAGGCAGGTTGTGTTCCTGAGTTGCCAACTGGTTCATCCATCATAGAGGTCTATTTTTGAATGATCTTAGAGTAGTCCTTAATAGAATCTGAGGAACAGCTTGTCCTTTAGCATCCGATTCTATAGGCATCTTCGTTCCTCCAGTCATCTTAGAATCACGAATCAAGATCACCATTTGTAGAGGAATTGTGCAGAAATATGCAGTTAGCAGAAGGGCTCAACACAGCGTGTTCAAGTAGAGAGGTAATATGACTTATTGGACGAAGGGAGATGAGTAGAAGGATGGCCTTAAGTGTCAGGCGGATCAGCCTATATCCCTAACAGTGTAAGGGATCAACCTTAACAATTCGCAGGGATGGTAACCACAAAGGGAGGGACCAATCTCCAGACTTTATGGAAGGATGAAATACTAGCGGAGGGATCAATCTCCTGACTTAATATGTAGGAATACAAGCAGACGGATCAGTATCCAGACTTGTATGCAGTGAGAGAAGAGGATAAAACATTACTGGGCATAGGGGGGGAGGAGGGGGAGGTGGCCGAATAGGCTAACATGTGTGCACAGCACTGCCGTTGCCAGGCAACCTGATACATGAGATAACTAGACAAAAATAGTCACGAGTGGGCAGGGTGGACGAACAGGCTAACGTGTGTGTACAGCACCACCGTTGCCCGGCAACCTGATCTATGATACAATGGATTTAAATAGTCACTAGTTCGCGTCCTGGTGCCGGGGGAGTCTTTTAAATCCCCGTCTACACCCCCTGGCCCGGTAAAACCCCGTATAGCCTTAAAGGCGAGGAAGAGGAGGACACAAAAAACAAAGTCACAAGTTCACTTCCCGGTGCCGGCAGAGTATTTTAAATCCGCACCCTCACTCCCTGACCCAGGAAAACCTCATATAGCGTCAAAAAAGAGGAAGGGGAAAATAAAAAAAAAAGGTTACTGGGCATAGTGAAACAATAAGGCAGAATCATGACTACAAAAAGCGTACATGAGGAATATACTGATCATCTGCATATAAGATCTCGCCCAAAGGGGACAAGACAACTTTATGAAAGGACTGCAGTAACCATTATGCAATGACTAAATCAGCTATCAAGAGCCTCTACAATTACAGTTATTTTTAAGCTTTGATCAGTAGATGTTATCGCCATTAAACTTTATTCATAAAAAGTATTTACAATGTATATACATATTTCAATTTAAAATTTGAGTGTTTTATCATTTAACAATAAGAGATATGTTCTAAAAGCATAAAATAGATAGTTTTATTTTTATAAAATAAAATAAAAACTATTTAAAGGGTGAAGTGATCGCGTCCGGACAGTTAGTCCACGTGCCCCCTGGATAACCCGTAAACACGGTAAGTAAACGATCACATTTATCGCCAACTCAGTCCAATATACAAAGCAAAACATACCCAGGCCCTATCAAAAACAGCCAAATGCTCGCAAGCTTTCTAAAGACTTAGGCAAGGCTTAACTCAAAGCTATCTTTTGGAACGCAGGTGGTTTAACCAAAGATAAATTCACCGAATTGAAACGTATTGTAACGTTCCTCTTTCCCTCCAAAATCAAACAACGAGTTTCCTTTTTCAATATACTATTTATTTTGACATATAACATAAATCTCAGGTTGGGTTCTGACAACTGAACACTCATTCAACATTAAATAACTATAATTCACTAATTACTAAATACACTAATTATACATATAAAATTTATTATTGTTTTCAAAAACCTTGATCGTCCCAGTCTAAACTTTGTGGCTCTATCCCTGAATGTTCCGGCTAGGACTCCTTTTTCTATTTTCTCAGCTTGCTGGCTAGTACCTTCTCTCTTGACAGCTTGTCACATGTTCTCTTGGCGGCTCATAACCTTCTCTCTTGACCGCTATCACCTTCTCTCTTGGCGGCCCATCACAGTCTGAGTTACATGAGGCTTGCTTCCCCCACTTCCTCCCCGTAGTTCGTGCTGTTACCACTTTCGCGCCACTATTCAAATGCCATGTAATGTTGACATTACATTTCTCCTCCGTTCCAGTTTAAAAAAAAAAAAAATGGAAATTTAAAATTCGGTGAAATATTTACTTTTTTTTTTTTCATATAAAATAATAAATTTAACTTTTGATATTCACACTTGTCACAATAGATTTCCCAACCTTGTTAGCAAACATTTACAATTTTATATACAAAATATTGAATTATTTACACTATATTACCTTAATCTACATACAGTAATTACATAACTTGTTCATCTAATTTATGTACAGGAAAAGTAGATTGATATACAAATAATAAAATAAGCTAAATACATTATTTACCAAAAGAATTTTACCGTACAATTCCCATATCTTATGTATTAACATTCAAAAATATATTTTAACTTGTATTATAGGAATAATCAGAGAGAAGACACTAATTAATTAAGACAATTTTTAACTTTCTTCTAAAATTTGGATTTTACCTAGCAATATCCGGCCAAAACAACTTATTTAACTTCTAGATATTAATCTATTATCCTATCTACCAACAATGTAATTAGACTATTTACAAGTTATCCAGATTGAGTAACCTAACGATGGTTTCGCCAGGACCCTCTAGCTCGTCAACGGAAGGGACGCTAATTTAACACCCTTTTTTATCCTCTGGATAGGATAAAGACTACCGTGTCTCACTATAACATAATGAACGACCTGCCCTAACATGATCCAGGATCATATAACCCCCATAAAACTCATATTCTAGAATAAGTAGGATGACTGGTAATTCATTACACTCAAAATTATACTTAGTGAGTCCATGGCACGACACTTCATATAATCCTGTTCTTTTCTTATTCCAGTCATCAAACTTTCCTAACTCATCTTTAAATCGTAGAGTTAACTTTTCTGGAATTAAAGAAACTTCTGAACTAAAATAATTACCATGCTTTCCTCTGCTGGATTTTATTCCTTTGAACTCAATTTGAAACTTGAGAAGTTCTTTCTTGATATCTATAAGATTAACTGTATGAGTTTCTACTAGAAATTCTGTTGTCACTAATTTTTCATCAAGGGTTTCTCTATCTTTTCTTAAGCGATTTTCTGATCCAATATCAATTGAAGAATTAATTTTGCTAAGCTCTTCAGTAACAGTTTGCTTCTCATCACTTTCTGAGTGACCAAAAGTAGTTTTCTCAGCCAGTTTAGTTTCTTGAACTTCAGTTATATTTGCAATAATTTGGGTTTATAGGTTATCACAATCTTGTTCCAAATTTTCCTGTTCATTATTAGAAGTTTTTTCAGCCAGTGTAGTTTCTTGGATTTCAGTTATTAGAAGTTTTTTCAGCCAGTGTAGATTCTTGGACTTCAGTTATATTTGCAATAATTTGGGTTTCTAATTTATTTTCTTGAATTTGACTTTCCAAATCCTGCTTTCAAGCCTCCTGCTTGTTTTCAATACTACAAAGAATAGTCATTACTTGTTGAAACATACCACACACATCAGCACAACTCAAATTGTTGGCACCACCTATGTTTATTTTTTCACGCTCCATATTATTTTCACTAAACTCCTGAATTTCATTTAATCCCGACGGACTTTCACACTGTCTATTTTCATCAAGTAGGCTTTGTACAATTGACTCTTCCTTATTTTCTACACTAACAACATTCCCATTAGATTTTCCAAGAATTATATTATTAAGATCTCTAACTTCTATTATCTCTCTCTGCTTATTCTCCATATTACTCAAAAATTATTAATAAAAGAAATAAAATTAAAATTAACAATGATTGCGTGTTCAGTTGTTGTGACTATGTACGTTTTCAAAAGCCACGCTAGTTGGGCGCCATGTTGTAACGTTCCTCTTTCCCTCCAAAATCAAACAACGAGTTTCCTTTTTCAATATACTATTTATTTTGACATATAACATAAATCTCAGGTTGGGTTCTGACAACTGAACACTCATTCAACATTAAATAACTATAATTTACTAGTTACTAAATACACTAATTATACATATAAAATTTATTATTGTTTTCAAAAACCTTGATTGTCCCAGTCAAAACTTTGTGGCTCTATCCCTGAATGTTCCGGCTAGGACTCCTTTTTCTATTTTCTCAGCTTGCTGGCTAGTATCTTCTCTCTTGACAGCTTGTCACATTTTCTCTTGGCGGCTCATAACCTTCTCTCTTGGCCGCTATCACCTTCACTATTGGCGGCCCGTCACATTCTGAGTTACATGAGGCTTGCTTCCCCCACTTCCTCCCCGTAGTTCGTGCTGTTACTACTTTCGCGCCACTATTCAAATGCCATGTAATGTTGACATTACAGTATAGTGACGGAAAGTGATGTAGACTTATGTGCGATCGTCGAAGCAGGAGCAGCAACTGAAAAACCTGAGATGCACCGAATTCACGGATACCAAACATATTTCCTCCCAAGAGCAAGACATTTTGCATCTGGTATTATGCTAGCTGTTAAGGCATCCATCGTTACGGATATGAAAATTAGGAAACGGCAAGATGCAACTGATAAATCCGAGGCTCTGGAAGCAAATTTGTGGTATGGCAAACGGCACTTCTGAATATTCGTAATGTATAACTCTCCTCAAAACAGACCGGACCTCACATGGTTGGAAAGGAATTGGAATGGAGAGAGTATACTATATGGAGACCTGAATGCCCCTTCCACTATATGGGGATATAATAACACTGATACTGTAGGCAGAATATTTGAAGATTTCCTTAACTCAAACCCTGCACAATATATTCGAAATGAGACAAAACATCCAACCTTTCTTTCTTTCACTGGCAGTACTTCCTGCCCTGATGTTGCATTGGCGCACACCTCAATCTCTGATAACATAAAGCATACCCTACTACCAGGTATAGCAGGTTTCGGACACAATATCCTTGTGGTTAACTTGAACCTGAATCAAAATAATAATAGTAAGACCAAAGAACCGCAACTGCCACGATGGAATTTAAAGAGAGGAGACTGGAAGCTTTTCAGAAAATTGACAGATGAACTCATCACTGATAAATTAATCATAAACGGTAACGTAGATAAAACGTATACTAATATAAAAGGAAATTTATATAGGTGTGCCCTGAAGACTATTCCCCGAGGAACGGTACGAAAATATCGTCCTTTCTGGAATAAAGAACTGCAAAAGCTAAAAGAAGAAAGAGATGATTTTAGAAAAAGAGCTGAGAGCTCCAAAAATCATGCAATTATAAGTTTACTTAAAAGGAAAACAGGTATATTTAAAAGAAAACTTATTTCAGCTAAACAAAACTCATTTAGAACGTTCCTACAGAAAATGGACTTTAGAAAAGATGGAGGTAAGGCACATGAATTTCTTTCAAAAATAAATAATAAATCAAATTTAGCAAACCATCCAATAACTTTCGATGGGAAAACAATAAGCAAGCTAAAAGAAATAGCTAACTCCTTCTGCAAACACTATTCAAAAGTAAGCAATTACAAGCCAAAAAAAGAAAACGGAAATCCAGTCACAAACTCCACACATTGTTGTGTAATGAGTGAAGAAGATTATACACTATTCTGGGGAGATATCCAAACGCAAGAACTAAATGATGCTCTTACTAAATCTAAGAAAGGTAAAACCGCAGGCCCAGATGACATACTGTCGGAATTTCTTATACACTTGGGGGATATGGCCAAAGAAACAGTACTAAAATTTTTAAATGATGTCTGGAAAACACATATTCCGTGTGAATGGAGGAAAGCAGAAGTGGTACCAACCTTGAAGAGAGGAAAAAAAGGAGACATCCCGGAAAATTTCAGACCCATTGCATTAACAAGTACTTTCTCCAAGCTCTACGAGAGAATCGTTGCAGAAAGACTTGAGAAATGCATAGAAAAATATGATCTAATATCTTCTAAACAAGCTGGCTTCAAGAAAAATCGAAATACTATTGAACAAGTAGCTCATCTAACACAAGAAATAAAAAACGGCTTCCAAAGAAAACAGAGCACCCTGGCAATATTCATAGATTTTAAGACGGCATATGATAGAGTTTGGAGAAAGAAGCTGGTGAGTAAGCTCGTTGACAAGGGAGTCACAGGATATCTGCTCAAGACTATATCTTCTTTCTTACATCAAAGGTTTATAAGGGTGCGATATAAAAACGTTGTCTCGACATATCGCCAAACAAAACAAGGCCTCCCACAAGGCTCGGTGCTGAGTCCCTTCCTGTTTAACATCATGATTGATGATATCATGGAACTCACTGAAACTATTCCGGGTACAAATGCTCTGCTGTACGCAGATGACCTCGTCATTTGGGCAACAAGTAGTGACTTTAAAGGGCTAGAAAAGCACATGCTACTTGTACTTAAATTACTAGAGAAGTGGACCAATGAAAACGAGATGATCGTTAATTCCGAAAAGACGGAATTCCAACTTTTTACCCTCTCTACCAAATCACACGAGATCAATTTGAATCATAATAACGAAGAGCTCAAACACACAGAAGAAGCTACATATCTTGGAGTGAAATTGGATAAAAGACTCTCTTGGAATAAATGCATTGAAAAACAAATAGAACAGGCTTCAAAACGACTTTCGATACAGAGGTTAGGTGGCTCAAAATGGGGAGCAACGGGGGATGTTATGGCTCTTACCTACAAAACATATGTCCGCCCTGTTATTGAATATGGAATAGAACTTGTTATCACTGCTTCGGACGCGATATTACACAAGCTCGACATAATCCAGAATCAAGCCCTTAGACTCGTGACAGGAGGGAGCAGATCTGCGCTAGAATTACAAACAGGCATAGTATCTCTTGAGACACACCGGGAGCAACTGGCCATTACGCTCTATGAAAGGCTAAAACGTCTTAAGATCAACTACTGGAGTACCTATGAACCCGCAACTGAACGTCTTAAAACTCAAATTACTTTTACTAAGGCAGTGGAAAATTTGATACAAAGAAAAGGACTAGAATCAGCTGAAAGGGAGCCACTCCCGTCATTGACACAAGTTCCATTCACCAGCCAATTTGTTGTTCACTGTGATCTTCTTCAGAATGTTTCTAAGGATACAACACCAAAAGGCTATAACCCTAGAAACCATCGGAAAACGATTTCCAGAGACAGAATGGCTCCATGTATATACAGATGGTTCTGCACTGGAAGCACGCAAATATGCCGGAGCTGGAGTTTATTCAAAGGAGTTTCAACTTGCCGCCCCGGTTGAAAAGGTAGCCACAAACTTTGAAGGGGAAGTGAAAGCCATTCTCTTAGGCCTTGAGATGTTAACTGAACGGAAAGACAAGAAAGTGGCTTTCTTTGTTGACTCACAGGCAGCCATTTTGTCCCTAAAAAATGGATATAGTATAAATCCAAATGCTCTTAAATGCCATCAATATTTGAACCAATTAAAGGAAAATGGGACAGAAGTCGCTTTCCAGTGGATACCAGGCCATTGCAGGCTCCACGGAAATGATGAAGCTGATAAACTGGCCAGAATAGGTTCTGGAATGATCCAACCCGATATTCCTCGGACCATGGATTCAACAAAAGGAATCATAAAGCAGACCCTCCAAAGTTCACTGAAAGAGAAATATTTACAAACAATTGAAGGGAAACGATGGAGTGGATTGCTGGAAGAAAGTGGCAGGATCCCTAGAGACCTTCCTAGAGGGCAAGCCGTGGATGCTTTAGAATGCTCACATGCCACGATTTCCTTCAGAAGCACCTCCACTGCATCGGTGTAAAAGATAGCCCGACATGCCCTCTATGTTCCTTAGACATAATGACAGGAGAACATCTGGATACATGCCCTGCATTACAGGACATAAGATGTTGCTTTAATGAAATGGACAGCTATTATGCTCGGAGAGCAAAATTGTATTGGACTGCAAGAGCACGCATGGCTAACGAAGCAGGCGTTACTTAGGCATAGGAAAAAAAAAATATATATATAACAATAAGAAACAAAAATACAATTGTTTGGGTACATTGCATGAGCGGGCCTATGTGGTGCCGCCAGGTGATTTAGTTGTCCCTAGTAGCATGTGGTGGAAACCGCCACACACTCCTGTACTAGTGTGGAGGTCACTTTGGGGGATTCCAATGCTTGTAGTGCCGACTGACTATCCCAATAGATAGTAATGCCACACTCTCACAATTAATACCTTCTAGACAGGTGGCTGCAGAAAATGTATTTAATATAACAAAATAGAATCAAATTATCATGAGACTTTCATAATTTAATTATTTATTTTCTTTTAGCTCATTTTATCAAAACATACCATAAATGGAAGATATCTCATAAATAGGAAATAAGTACTTAGAAAATTCTACAGTAATATTAAATAAGATTTATATTACTAGAGTAAGAAATAAAGAAAAGATCTTAACCGGTGTTCGCGTTTCCAATTTTTTCATTATTTCTTTATACTGACGTCTTTGTTCCAAAAGAGCTCCATACTGTAGTTGCTCAAAAGTGTTTTGTTTTATATGTTCAGCTGTAGATCTCTGCACTTGTTGCAGTTCATTCTGTGGGGAATTAAATATTTGATTTAGGATTATCTAGAATAAAAAGTGAAAATGAATTATTTTGATAAACTGAAACCTGTAATCTTGTAAGATCAGCATAAAATTTCATATGAAAAGGGGATGAGTCATATTTGTAATCCTTTATGATTCTCCTAAGTATTGTCTCTTCCATACGAGGTATATTTATTTCAAAACCAAATTTATTGATCTTCTCCTCTTTAATTTTATCCTGGACATTCTTTAACTTCGAATTCAAATAATCAATATCTAAGCGCAGCCTGTGCATATGTTTGATAGTTTCTCTAAAATAAAATATATATATTTTGATAATAGAAAACATATTTATTTATATTAACTATCTTTAATTATTTGTTTATATTAATTATCTTTACTTATTTATTTATATTATGTATCTTTTTCATTTGAGGACCTTTATATTATAATATACTTTATACTCCAACTAGAACAGGAAGGCTAGCTATTTTAAAAATAATTCCATGATAGTATTGATCATTTATTTAAATGAATATGAATAAACTGGCAAATTTGATGAACCCATTTTAAAAAAAATAAATTGTCCAAAAAAATTATATTATAAATCCCTATTATATTATAAATCTAATATTCTCTATCTAATAAAATTAAATAAATATAGTAAATTTTAAATTTTGTAAAATTTCAGACCTCGCGCGGGCTCATTACCGCGTATGGGGAGCGTCCCACGGGTGGCGGATGTGGGGATGGTCGGTGGAAATTCCTTGGAAGTTCCTCCCGGCTAAGTCCGATGGACTCGCTGACCAACAATGAGAGGGGCCCTCCAGACTTGCTGGAGGGAGGGGACCTCCAGACTTGCTGGAGGTAGGGGCCCACCAGACTTGCTGGAGGGTGTGACGTAGGATTGAACGCCCTACTCACATATCTTTAGTTCACCAAACACCACATAAAGTCATGGATCTCCCTAAAGTAAAACGCTCATTATCCGGAGGTAAACTAGTCCCCCGTTCGGGTCTCCGGGTGGGGACTGCTTTAGGGGATTCATGCCGCAAGTTGAAATATAGGGATTTAAATATTGGTACGTGGAACGTAAGGAGTTTAAACACAGCAGGGGGGCTAAAATCGGTCGCGAATGAGGTAAATGGGTACAATTTGGATGTCGTGGCTCTGCAGGAGGTTCGCTGGCCAGGGGAGGGCTCGATGAGGGAAGGAAAGTACACTATTTGGTACGGAGGAAGCGGGAATCATTGTTTAGGTACCGGGTTTCTAATTAGGAGTAGATTACTATCCGCTTTGAGGGACGTACAATTCTTTAGTGATAGAATTTCGGTAGCTACATTTCAGGGACGTTGGTTTAAAATCGCATTAATAAACATACATTGTCCGACCGAAGACAGTGACGATGAAGTCAAAAGTGAATTTTACGATAAACTCGAATGGGTTTATGATAAACTACCGCGAAACTACATGAAAATAATTGTAGGTGACGCGAATGCAAAGGTAGGGAGGGAAGAAGTTTATATTCAGACGATTGGTAAAGAAAGTTTGCACGAATATAGTAATGATAATGGGATCCGTCTGATAAACTTTGCCATCTCGAAAAACCTGGTAATTAAAAGTACGACGTTTAAACGTAAGGATATTCATAAATATACTTGGACATCGCCGGATTCACAAACACGAAATCAAATCGATCATGTCTTGATACAACACAGCTGGCAAAGCAGTATAATCAATGTACGGTCTTATCGCGGAGCAGAATGTGGGTCGGATCATGAATTAGTAATCGCGAAACTTCGACAAAAACTTAATATAAAAAAGAGAAAAGAAAACCGTTTCGATTTTGAGAATTTTAATTTGGAAAAATTAAAAAATCCATCAATTAGAAACCAATTCGAGCTAGATGTTAAGAATAGGTTTGAAGCTTTAGAGCTTCCTGACGAGGACCACGAGGATATTGACAAGTTATGGGTAGAGATCAGGGATAATATTAAAGCGGTCGGTAACTCGTGTCTAGGAAAAAAGGAAAATAAGAATAACAAACCGTGGTTTGATGAAGATTGCTTAAACATGTGCGAAAAAAGGAAAGCCGCTAAATTAAAAGCTCTAAATAATCCTAGCGAAGACAATCTGAAATACTTCCGAATCTCAAAGAACGAAACGACAAAATTGCTCAAAAATAAAAAAAGGGAGTATCTTAAAAATAAAATAATTGAAATAGAAACTAATAGAATCGAAAATAACGTAAGAGCCATGTACAAAGGTATAAACAGATCACGTAAATATGTAGGGCCCGTAACGTCTGGAATTAGGGATGATAATAACAATATTCTGACCGATCCGGTTGACATATTGAATAAGTTTAAGGAGCACTTTGACAATATTTTAAATATGGGAAATTATGATCTGTGTCCTCCTTCTGAGTTCCAGAGTGCTGAACCGTTGATAGAAGGACCAAGTAAAGAGGAAGTTGAAGTAGCTATCGGTAAATTAAAATCATATAAAGCAGCGGGAATCGATAATATTCCTACTGAACTAATTAAGGCATGCGGGGAAGCTGGAGTTTCTAAAATACATCGGTTGGTTGAAAAGATCTGGGTGAACGAGAAATTACCTGAAGAATGGAAAGAATCTATTCTTATTCCGATTCACAAAAAGGGTCCGAGGACGGATTGTAATAACTATCGAGGAATTTCACTCCTTCCGGTATGTTATAAAATATTCACTGTAATCTTAACCAGTCGAATCACGGAATATACCGAGGAAATTATTGGAGACTACCAATGCGGATTTAGACGGAATCGTTCGACTATTGATCAAATATTTTCTTTACGGCAAATATTAGAGAAAAAATTGGAGTATAACGGTATTGTTCACCAGCTGTATATAGATTTTAAAAAGGCTTACGATTCTATTGACCGCCAGAAACTGTATAATATTCTAATCGAGCAGGGAATTCCAAAAAAACTAGTAAATCTAGTCAGGATGTGCTTGACGGAGACAGTCAATAAAGTTAGAATCGGTAATAATTTGTCCGAAAAATTTGAGGTTCGTTCGGGCTTAAAACAGGGGGATTCTCATTCGCCTGTCCTGTTCAATTTGGCATTAGAACATGCCATTAGGGAGGTAATGCGAACCGAAAAAGGGTTGGATCGGGGTGGGACAACATCCGTGCTGGGCTATGCTGATGATCTGGTACTGTTAAGCGAAGACGTTGAAACTATAAAACTAAATACGACAACGTTAATGAAAGCCGGTAAAGAACTAGGACTCGAAATAAACGTGGATAAAACAAAATATATGGTTAGCTGCAAAAATGGCGATACTACTGGTGATATCGATATAGATGGTAATATGTTTGAACAGGTAGATAAATTTAGGTATTTAGGTTCTACGATAACTAGAAAAAACGAAATTGAAGAAGAGATTAAAGTTAGACTGAAGGCGGGGAATGCTTGTTATTTTTCTGTGACAAAACTACTCAGTTCGCGCCTCTTGTCCCGAAACTTAAAAATTAGAATCTATAAAACAATTATCTTGCCTACAGTTCTTTATGGATGCGAAACTTGGCCGCTTACATTAAGGGATGAGCAGCGTCTTAAGGTTTTTTAAAATAAAGTATTGCGTAGAATATTCGGACCGAAGAAGGATGAGTTAACCGGAGAGTTCAGACGGTTACACAACGCCGAATTGCGTGAGCTATATCCGGGTAATATAATTGAGGTAATTTCATCGCGGCGAATCAAATGGGCTTGTAAAGTTGTTGGTCTTAGTAACGAGAGAATTCCTAAAAGGTCAATATTTGCTGTGCCGAATGGTAAGCGTCGGAGGGGTAGACCGAAGCGAAGGTGGGAAGATTGCATTAAAGCTGATCTGAAGGGACTGGGTTTGGACGGCGAACGGTGGAGGGAGGTGTGTAACAAGCGATTGGTGGTGTCGGCATCGAACCTTCGGGTTCGCTAAGCCTTATTATTATTATTAAAATTTCAGATTCAAGATCGAATAACCACCTAATTCTAAGCATGCCAACAAGAGTACAGGCAGTTATTCAAGAAAAGGGAGGCAACACTACATACTAGAGACTCAGATTTCATAATTAAAAAGGAATTAGATACTTTTTTTTTTGTTTAAAAGAGCGTTCATTTACTTTATTTTACATAACGATTTTTTTAAATGAATTTTTGTTGTTTTTTTCTCTTCATGTGTGGTCTTCTCATAAGCAGAATATGTCACACTTATATAGAGGTGAAAATAATGGCAATTTTTTTCACTTGTGGAATAAATAACAACAAAATGCAAGGCATGGCAGTTTTTATGATCACCAGTGTATTTAACAAAAATATTCTTACTTCTGATCTTGGTTTGAAGTTAGTATATTGTTTTTCAATTTCCTTTTCCTTGCTTCAAGATTTTTTAAAGTGTATAGAGGAAACAAAACTGTTTCTGTCATTGGGGAGAAGGTTTCTGTAGATTCATCAAAGTGCTGCATCTGAGAAGCATCTAATACCACTACAGTTCTAATTTTGCTCAGCTGTTTATATTTTTCCTCCTGAACAAAAAAAAAAAAACTAAATTAGATAACATTACATGTCAATGTATTAATCTCAATTACCACAATACGAAAAATAAATAAAAAATCATAAATGTTTCTAGAGCAGTGATTTTCAACTGGTGTTCTATGGAACACTGCAGAACACCAGTGTTTAAATCATGAACATCAGTGTTCCTCTCCGAAAAAAAAGAAAATTCTGTGTCAAGTATCCTGAATATTTTGATAAAACTAAAAAATACTTTTTTCATTTAGTAATGATAACACTATGAGATGTACATACCAAGTAAAAATGCAAAAACCATTCCAACAACAAGAGTTGAAATTTTTATTTTATTTTCACCCATTATACATAAAAACATAACAAAATATATTGTGTTCTATATATCAAACACTTATTTCAACCCACAGTCTATACAACAAAGAATTAAGTTTGTTCTGGCAATACCAACAAGCGTATCAATATTAAAATTAATCTATAACAGAATGTTTATTTTTGTTAGAGGTAAATATAATTGTCTCTTTTTAAGGTATCAACATAAAAAAATATGACAAGGCAAAAAACCCATCTTGTGAAGGCAACATGTCAAGTAACAAATTCTTCCAGAAAAAATTGAAGATTTTATTTTTATTTCGTTATCCTACAATACTTTAGAAAATTGTTGGATAAATGTGGATGAATACCCAAGAAATATTTCTAAAAAGGTACTTAATAGTTGGCTGTTTTAATCTCCATATCTATGTGAGCTTGGATTTAATGTTGGGTGATAAAACTAACTAAAACAAAAAAATGTGTTTTTAATTTGGAAGACGAAGTGAGAATGACATTGTCCCTTATAATACCACATATTACAGATATATTTAAAATGCCACTAAAAATCAACAATTATTATGATGGCTGTATAGGGTGAATATCGTCAACAGATACATCTTTATTTCATTTCTAATTATTTTTTTGTCTTAAGATTTGTGAAATTGTTATTTTTATTATTCTTAAAGGATTTTTTTTTTCCTTTGCCTTTGTTGAATAGATCAATTTGATCTCAAGCATAAATTTTTACGTGAGAAAAAAAAAATTGAGGTATGGATTGTTCATTCCTTTGCTTAACTTTTTAAAAAAACAGTCTTTCTTAGATATACTTTGTTTAATTAAGTCTGAAAAAAATTCACATTAATAATATCAACACATTAGCACCAGAGGTGTTACACTATTTTCGTAACGCTACCGGAAGTGTTCTGCCTCCACAAATAGGTTGAGAACAACTACTGTTTTATAGCAGTTCTTTTTGGATACTACTACTGTATGTAGCTTCTTAATTAGATAGACATCTAACTAATACAATTGAAAGAGCTCATTTGTTTTAAGTTTTTAGATAATGTAAAAAGTGTGGATATATTTATAATAAACCTAACCTATAACACAGTGCAACTAAAGCATTTTATTTAACTCTTTTATCTGTATTTACAGATTTTATAAAATTGTATTTTTTTTCATACATTTACTAATAAGCTGTGATGATCTGATGTTTTTCAAGTCATATATTCATGGCAATAATAGTAAACTAACATAATCTTCCATAACTGCCACAAAATCATACTAATCTATTTTAAGGACATTAAATTAATAAATCAATTTGAGAAGTTGGTCATTAAACTTATTTGGAAAAAAAATTGTAAATGAGGATTAGACTGTATAATACATCATATGTGAATCAATTTGATTCCATTCAAGCAAACATATCATTATTCTACCTTGAAATAGACAAAAAATAAAAAGTAGAACGGGCAAGATCAGCAGAGCTTGGATCATGTCATACTATCTCATATGAAAAGCAAATTTTTTACATTAAAATAATTAACATTTATTAAACTACAGAATACATTACAAAAGTAATTATTTAAAATGAATGTTTATAAGATGAGAGAAAAAATAAATGTAAAGAGGTATATACACTTTCATACAGTGAAGATGGTTCTACATGAGGCTCTTTTTCTTCTGCGATATGTGACTGCAACCACACAATTTGTGAGTCATACACTTTAAGCACATAAAGATCAAGCAAGGATTTAATTTACTGTAACCCTCCCTCAAAATTACTAAATATTGTGAATTTCAGATTTTTTCAGTCACATAGTTAAAGTTTCAATTTTGAAAATTACAAAAAAATGTCAATCTTTAATAAAGATTCATTAGAAAAAAAAACCAAGGATACAATTCATAGGAATGATATTATTCTGTTTGATCTACTATTGAGCACCTAATCCCAACACAAGAGGTACATGGTTAATAGTACTCTCCTTCCCATAGAAAAACTGGCTTGAAAATGGAGATTTATAAAATATGAGCCCTAAACTTCAGGTCATTTTTGATCATATTAGGAGTAGGAATAAATTAAACAAAAGGAATAAGTTAAATAAATAAAAGGAATATATTTTTAAAAATATATGAGTGGTCTCATATCAAAGATGGACATCTGCCATTTTTAAAAAGTCCAGAAAAAGCTGTCATATATAAAAGAATTAAATTAAATTGCTACAAATAAGTTTGTTTTGCTTGAAACATTACCTTAAAAATGGCGTTTGTTTGATCTTTCTAAACGACATAGTTTTTGAACTATCGAAGAAACCACAAGCAAAAAAAAAAAATGTTCAATATAAATATTAATTAAAATTAGAGGGAATATTACTTCAAAAAATGAAATACCGAAGTCAAACTTTTCTTCACTTTAAGTATTGAGATTATAGTCTGCAGCATTATCACTTTTTCTCTAATACTTTTTATTTCATCATTATATTTGTTCACTTCTTCTTTTTTCTCAGCAATTTTCTTTTCATGAACTAACCTAAAAAAAAAATAATTCAACTTTTATATTCCAATCAATTTTCCATTTTCTGAATTACCACTCCTTATTTATATTTTCTTTAATCACTCATATGCTAGAATCAAACGAAACTGATCAGTACTTGATAAAAAAGTTTCTTAACTAACAGTTATCACCAAAAAGATGGTAATAGGACCAAGACTGGGCCCTACCACTAGCTTCTCTCAGTACTATTAAAGGATCAAGCACACTCTTTATAGAGGGTGCATATAGCCTAGGATGAAATCTTGAGCTCACGAGTCTGCTGAGTAACCGACACTGACATCCAATGAACTATCTTACTCCCTTTTAAAAGAAATACAATTTCTGAGGTCATAGGGAACAATAGAAAAACAAATAAAAATCTTCTACATTTTTCATTTAGTTGTAGTTTAAATTTAAGGATCAAAATCTTTCACTTCTCTAAAAAATTCCCTTTCTTTTGATACTCCATTTATCAAAATCCATTGTAATCCATCTGTCAATCAGTCCATCAAAAGAATTAAAAATTTAGTTCCAATAGACTGAAAATAGTATATCAAGAAGGAGTTGGTCTGAGAATCTGTCAAAAAAATATTAAATAATTACTAATTATTTAATCAATTCCTGACATTTTGACCTATAATAAAGGTATTTATCAGGGCTCAAAAGAAATAAACAAAGAAAGTAATTTTTACTTTTACTTATCTATATATGTAATGTGTAGTAAGGGAAAGTATTGCAATCGTGAAAATTTTTGAATTTGAGTTTTCAACGGAAATACACATTTTAAGGTCTCCTGAGTCTAAATAACCAAGTCCTGCAAAATGGTCTGTGTGTGTGTGTATGTACGTGATCAGTCTAGCTCAAAAACGAAAAATCGTACGAAACTGATACTACGCATAAAAAAGGTATATGCCTTGGATTTGACAAGAACTTTTTCAATAAAATCGACTTACCAAAAGTGGTACTTTATATCGATGGTTATACACATTTCTTCAATTTTCTTAAAAACGGCTCTGACGATTTTGATTAAACTCAATATATCACTGAATAATTAAGTGGTCTTTAATATCATTGAGGTCTTATCCCCATTGATGTCACATGTGTGATTGTTTTCTCTTATAGCCCAAGTGTAGTTGCCTCTATCAAGAATTTTCAAAGCTCCTTTAATGCTATTATAACTAAAATATTTAATTTGCTATGCCAGTTAGATAATAGGAACATAAATGCAGATATCATTATATTATTTAGATAAAAAGGCGTAATGGTAATGTGTTTAACGACAAGGTTGAAAAGCTTGCTAGGGAAGCGGCTTTTACTGGTAATCGTCGACTGTATATATCAGCGAGAGATACTAAGGCTCACTTAAATAGATACTGGCAATATAAATGGCAAAAAGAGTACTCTACCAGCGTGAATGGGTGTTATTATAAAGTTATCTAACCTCAAATCCCAAGATTTCCTTGGTTCCGACCCATGAAGTTTCCCGAAAATTCCTGACTTCCATATCACGCCTTTGCCTCAACCACAATAGGCTACCATCCCATCTTTTTAAAACAAACATCTTGAATTCTCCTTATTGCTCCTGTGACCATTCCTAAATAGCCGATGAAAACCATGTTCTCCTTTCCTGTCCAAATACATCCATAAACCTTGATTCTTTCTACCCTTTTCTCATACAAAACAATTTCCCCTCCCTACAACAATTCTACTATCCTTACACTAACTCATAGTCCAAAAATTATTTATGCTATATATAACTTTATTACCTCTAATAACATAAAACGTTAAGCATATGAATTGGTTGGTATGAAATATGAATTGGTATATTGGCTAATATGCCCATGCATAAAGCCACAAAAATAAAAAAACTTTTAGGAAATTAAATTAGTGAATAATGATGTAGAGATGGTTGACCATGATATAATATGAGAAGGAACTGATCGGGGGGGGAAGTGAGGGGGGGGGGTGTGGTCTAAATTTAGTATTTATTTGACCCCTCCCCCCTCCTTCACCTCCCCTCCTCATCAAAATTTCATTAATCTCAGGCTCTCCCAATAAAAAGAGTTGCTTGATTTATTTTTTAATTAAGTCAAAACCTATATCTGTAAGTTCATACTTCATACAATCCTTTAATAGCCATTACTTGAATTTTCAATAAAAATATAATAATACAAATACCTTTTTTCTCTTGTTTCTATAGTCAAATCAAATAATTCTTTTCCACATTCCTCAGCCATATCAGCAACACCAACTTCAATGAATTCTTCCTGTTGCTCAGCAACAAGCCGATCTATATCGTCAGAATCAATTTCACCTTCATCTGGTTCTGGTGGGCCACTATCATCATCTGATGAGCTGCTAGATTTTTCTTCTTCAGCAATTAAATCTTCTTCGCTTCCTCCTTCTAAAATTGACATATAATTTTCTTTTTCAGTAATAATTAATACAGTAGTATCATAGTTTAACATATCATGGAGGTTAACTATCTATTATTTATACATAAAAAATAGAAAAATAAAAACAGAAGTATTCAAGTCAGAGAAGTTATATTCTTACAATTTTCTGTTCTTTAATACTATTTGTTTTTTCTATTCTAACCTGAAATAATTTGGAACAGAAATATTTTCTTGAAAATAATATTACTGCATGATTCAGCAGAGCCAAAATACATATTAAAAAATACTTACAAATTATGTCTCTATCATATTTGAGAAAATGAACAATATTACACTTTACACATTTTTAATGCATGTTAGGTTAGGTACAACATTATAACCAAAGTGAGGTGTTGATTCTTTGATCAACTTAATAAAGACTCCCAATATATAAATAAAAATAGAGATTTAAATGTGAAAAAATAATTTGTCTAGTTTACAGTGAAGCGATTGAGAATTATTTAAATTAAACATTTCTGTAGTTATCGCTCCAGATTCAACAAAAATGTGACACTTAAAAAAAACACAAAACTGAAATTCCTACTTTCCTTCCGAAAATCGGATCAATGTTTATATAAACTATTTTGTAGCCCTTGAAGACTGCTATCACTCCTATAAATATTTCCCTCTACATACGGCATACTCTTCCTTATTATATATATTCTTCCTTCCTCATTGTTTACATTCTAATCTACTGTAACAACAGAATTTAAAAAAAATGTTACGATAAAACTCAAAATCAAGATGGTACACCTTGTTGTTGTTTTTTTAACTCTTGAGCCCACGTTTTGTTAAAATATTTCAATACAAAACGTTTTAAGGATGCCGGTTGGTGCTGAATTGACTTCATAAAATTGGTAGCAATTACTTGACATTGTTTAAATGATTTTAGCATATCAAAAGTACACTCATCAATTTTCTTTTTTGTGATGTTTATCTAAAAAAAAAAATAATAATAATAAACATTATAAATAGGCAATAATTTTGATGAAAACATCTTAGCATTTGAAAAGTGCATTAGTAGACTAATCACCATTTCTTGAAAATTCTCCAAAGGATCAGAACAGCTCCTGAGAATAACTTCCATTAAGAATAACTTCTATTGATCCCAGTAAATAAGTTTCAAACCAAAAAGTTATTGTTTTATTACAAACAATATATTATGTAATGTTATATATAAACATATAACTAATTATGTTTTGATTTTTGAACAAGTACCAAAAAATTTTGATTAAGACTCACAGTCTTATCTACAGGTGTTATCTATATATAGGCGTTATCTACGTCTAAGGGTCAGATGCTTGAAGACAAAGCACGCAACCACACGGCTTACGGCACACTTGCTTAGCCGACTTCAAGGAAGACAAGCACACAGCTTAGTGCCCACTTCCTCTATTGCTAGAGAATTACAGCCCATCGGCTATACACCAGCTCCAGGACATTGGACGAGTGGCAACATCGAGAGAGAGGGAGGAAGCGGACCACAGGCACAAGACTGGCCCCTCATCAAACTGTATGTTAAATTAATTAAAACAATAAAACACGTTGACCCTTCAGGCACATTGCTTGGAAAGCCTAAATAAAAGGATATTAACAAATAATTGGTAGCGTCATTCACAAAAATTCCTCTGTCGAACCTTTTCACTTTTTTTATATCACAAGAACAGGGGCTCCCGGTCATACAGCATGTACCGGGCCTCCCCGTATTGTAACTAACATTGATGCAATTTAAAAAAAAAACTATGACAACATTCAGAAAATTAATCAATCAGATAGGGAAGACTCAAATTATATTGATTTAGAACAATTTGGTTTAGAAAATTTAGAGATGGTGGCAAGTGTCTCATTTGATGCATCTTTAAATCATCGAATTGGAGATGGAAAAAGGGTATTAAATGGTTATATCAAACAAAAGGTATTTAAAAATTACTTCTTGATTAATAGAACACTGAAAATCTATGAATGAAGTATGGTCTCAAAAACTAAATTTAGGCACATTACTAGCCATACTTCCTCTACTTTGAGTAAGTAGGGAAGAAATATATTCCTTATCAACAATATACATTAGCATAGGCCCCAGGACCCTCAGGAGGGCAAGGCCCTTTCTAACTCAAAAATCTTTGATGAGGTGCCAGCCTCCCCTTCCCCAATATTTCGAAGTTGTTTACTTAAAATAACTCACAAAAAGTTCAATAAAGCTTATGGATAATAATTCTATTATGTTACAGGTAATAAACTGATTACTGAGTTAATCCTTTATGCATGTGTTTTATCCCCCTTCTCTCATGCATTCAACATTTTATCATGTTACACTAACATTGGGCCCCTCAATAATGCCCACATACCAGTGCTTATGTAATTGGTTTATATCTTAGTTTCTATAATGAAAAAAATGTTCTAACCCGTAAAATATTTATATGCTTTTGCTTAATAAAAATACTACATTTTCTATCAATTTCATCTTCCAACAACTGAAATGATCTTATAATTTGTAATTCTTCCATGTATTTCAAGAAACAAATCTTTGAGTAACATATTTTTACTTCATATTCCACTTTCATAACAGCCAATTTTCTAACTTCATTATCATAATCGATTAAAAGTTCGTCCATCAGAGATTTCTTTTTGAGATATTCAGATATAAGACTAAAGAAAAAAAATAAACAAATGATTGATTTCTGTATTATGATGAATCCAAGTATGGTAATAAAATGCCTTATAAACTTACAATTGTTTCCTCTCGACTATAAATTCTATTTCCCATGGAGTATATTCAGTGGTTGTATCACTTTCAATGACATGCATATCGATTGGAAAATCTTTGTTTATCTCATACAATTGATGGTACAATTTTTTTCGATAGTTATACGTAATACGCTTTTGATGAGGAAAAACTGGAGCTTCGTCCTATCAACATAAATCATTGATTAGTGTTTAACAAATTCTAAAAATATTGAAAAAATGATTTTCCGAATAACTAACACTACTACTTTCTGTTTTAATTAATTCTCAATTATTAAATGAATATCACTAAAAATAAAAAAAAATGAATGAAACATATAACTCAGATCACAATATGACACATACACACTCTTAGGCACTACAGACCGATGTGGTCCTAGGCCTCCTCAACAAGTCTTCATCGGGTAGGTCTATCTTGTGCCGCTGCTCACCAGTGGCACCCATCTAAGATGGGTATTCTGTAATAATAAGCCGTCTTCCTCTTCATCTCACTAGGTGGAGCCCTCCTTCTCCCCTTCCTCCATCCAGAAGTTTCCAGGGAATTTCTTCCTTTGGCATGCATGCAACTTGGCCAGCATACAGTTTTCCCAGCCTAATAAACCTTATTACGTCAGCCTCGCCATAAAGTTGGTAAATTTTCCTATTTTTTCTCCGCCTCCAGTCCTCTCCAAACCTTCCTAGTCCAAATATCCGTCGAAGGATCTTTTGAATGAAGTATGGTCTCAAAAACTAAATTTAGGCACATTACTAGCCATACTTCCTTTACTTTGAGTAAGTAGGGAAGAAATATATTCCTTATCAATAAATAAATAAATAAATTTGAATATAAGAATTTCCCACTCCTCATTACTTGTGAGGATCTAGGTCTTTGATCCATAAGCTAGAACAGATCTATCTAATAAGAATCTTGAAAGAAAGGCACTTAGTACAGTGGGAGAGGGAGGAACTTCTCAGGTGCTTTCTGAGAATAAAATAGCTTTGATGGGTCACTGACTGGTTTTCATGGAGATTCTGTTTCCACAACTCACTACTCACTCTATGTATGCAAACTGGTCGACGTTCTGGAACACGAATTGGCCCATCACCACTGGCTGTCGATCCAATGTCTTTGCCCCAGGTCATATACTCTGTCTTCTCCTGATTTACACACATCCTCTGCAGCCTTTGTCATCTTGAGAAATGTCATATAGCATGTACTGGATCCTCCAATATTGTACACATATAGTGAAACAAAATCTTAGGATTGAAAAAATTTATAGCTGCATAATTTAGGTCTGAACTCCATGTGACAAATATGTCACACTCAGATTTAGAACTATCTTTAAACATTTATATAGAATTACTATACCACTTTTGTTTTCAAAGTAGAAAACTTATTTTCAAATGTTGGAAAACAATGGTAGTTTTTATTTATTTATTTATTTTCAATATTCTGAAATTATGAACACAATTGTAAAGAAATTCTCTTTTCTTTTTTGTAATGTAAAAAAATCATTTTTTATCACAAACAAAACAATAGATGGTTGCTATTTTTTATTTATCAATGATCTAGATAATTATTTTATGAAATATACTATACAAATCTAAAATAAATAAATGATGGAAAGTGATTGTGTATACATAAACAATTATGCAAATTGATTTTAAGATTTATTGAAACCATTATTGTAGTGTAATTTTAAACAGTTTGGTTTTTAGTAAGAAATATATTTTAAAATAAAATTTTAGATTTGCTGAAAAATTATATTTTACTTTTTAGGAAACCATTTTACCCACTGCTTAATAAGGCTATGATGAAGAAAATGGAAAGAGGAACAGCAATAGCTGCTCTTGATAAAGAAGATCACGGGCGGATCTACGGGGAGGGAGAGGGGGGCTTTCGGGCTGAAGCCCCCCACAAAATGGCAAAATATAACCATGTTTTATGGAAAAAAATATTAAAAAATTATCTCTTAAAGTCTTATTGTTCGTGTAATTACATATAAAAGGACTTAAGGAATCACTTAAACACCATTTCATATAGATAGTTAGTTTCTTTTTTTTTTTCCAAAGCAATTATCGTCATTTTTATGAAAAAAAAAGCTTTCGGGCTGAAGCCTCCCCCCCCCCCAAATCAAATCCTGGATCCGCTAGTGAAGAAGATGGCATTCTTATTTACAAGTGGGTGGACAGTAATGTTGTATCTGTCGCTTCTACAGCCTTTACAACAAATGTCTAGACTAAAACGATTCTGCCACAATAGGAGAAAAAATAAAACAATATCTCAGCGGCTATTGAATATAACGAATACATGGATGGAACTGATCGGATGGATGAGGACATCAGTCAAAGAAGAAAAAATAGTCCTGTAAGTGTACCTATCAATCCTTTTGCCAATCCCTGGCAGCTTATATACATACAGCTGCAATCCTCCAAATATTTATTTTGCAAGATTAGCCAATGAATAAGGGTTTTTACATTTCACTTCCTTTGTTTACACTAAAAAAATAAATAAATAAACACTTACCAAATACAAGTTTTCAGGAAATTCCAAAGGCTCGTTTATTTTAATGTTTTGAGGATACATTGGCCACATTACGTTTGTAAATTCAGATGTCATCTTTTTTAGATCATTGTAACAATTACTAGATAGAGCTGCTGCATTTGATTTCATATCTCTTGCTCTTAATGTCAATTCATTAAAGTATGTAATTAAATCATGAATCTGCAAGAGCCATAGTCACTGAATTGTATATTTGTTAAATAAAATAGTAAAAACAAACATTCCAAACAAATTATTATTTATTTACATGGAATTGAAAGTTTAGCAATTACTAAACATTTAATTTTATTTACCTCTGAAAAGAGTTAACATTTCAGTACATTACTGCTGAAGTAGTTATATGATTCTTAATAAAGAAGAATAATTTTATATACCTATGCAGATATCTATATGCATTGCATATATGCAGATTTTCAAAATTTCAATAGTTTAGTGGAAAGGGGAATTTTTTTTTAAATTAAAGATTATAAAAATAAAATTACCAGTTAATTTTGGAAATAACTACCGCAAAAATAAAACTGGATCATTGAGGCCACAATGTTTGAATTTGACAAATTAAAATTTATTTGATTGGTCCAGGTCAGGTCGCCCATAAAAAAATCAAAACTATTGGCGATTGGTACATTTCTATATGGTTCAAAAATTCAATTATAAATACTTTATCTTTTTTTTTTGTTCTTCCCTTCCTCGACTATTAGACTGTACAGAATTTTCCAGGCTGAGGGGTGAGGGCGAGGGATTATTGCAGGAGTTAAAATCCCCTCCAGCAACGAGGCACGAACTCGTACTTTTTTATCTTTCATAACTTCGGTTATCAGGTTGCCGGGCAACAAGTGGTGCTGTGCACACGCATTAGCCCACTCGGCTACCCCGCCCCTTATACTAATAAATTAAGCATGTTCTATTAATAAATTAATACTTCATCTATATAATATTAAAATACAGTAAAACTTCATGATAACACTTCACTGCATAAAGATTTCCCATCTATAATGCTTTTTTTCCACATTCTATAGAAAAAACTTTATTCGTTTTAACAGTCTGATTTCTATAATTTGATTTTAAGTTTTTATATTTAAAAAAAAAAATTATATTTAAAACATTTTATTTTGTAAATATCAGTTAAGTTGTTTTAAATGGGACAAGAAAGAGTTGATATCACAAAATAATCAAGTGATATCACAAAATAATCCAAAATGTATTCAATACTACAATATTCAATACTGAGATCTCTTTTTTCGATCTCAGGAGAAATATATTTTGACAAGTGAGGTATCAAAAGAAAGAACATTTCTAAGAGAAGTAAAAACTCCCAAGTTTGAAGTAGATATATCAAAATCAAAAATATATACAAATTTGGTCCTAAGTCATTTTTTTAAATCTACGTTGTAGGTCTAAATGTTGGCAATTAAATTAAACGGTATTATAATATTTAGTATGTGTCTATTGACCACACTCTCATTCTGGATTTCTAAATTCTATAAAAAACAAAACAAAGCATTTCCTATCATATTTTTGATGAGGCCTCTGGCAATAGTTGAAAATTTTAATATTCTGAAATCAACTATCATTAAAAAAAGGAAAAGATGGTCCCTAATATTGCCTTGGGAACTTGTCGAATTACTTTCATAAAGCATGTCATTAAAATATCCATCTATAGAGAAATAATTCAACAGTGTCAAAGCTGAGAGGCCTATGTTGTTCTAGGTTTTTCACTCCAAACCTAGTATAAGATTACAAATTCTTTTCACTGAAAACCTCAATTTTTTAATTTTGGCACAAAATCATTTCTTTTTTTTTTGGTGTCAAAATAAAAATAAAGAAACTTTTAGTCAACTAGATAAGAAAAAGTAAATTTTAGTTAACACGGACTGGAGGATGTTTTCCCCACCAATTTTTATCCTATATATTATTTAAGTTTGAACAGCTGTTTCCATGGTAAATGCGTTTGGAAGTCACATTTGATATTTTGGGAAAATATGTGAAAAAATATGTAAGCAAAAGTAAAATTGGAAATATCATATATCATATACAATTAAACTTGCAGTAGTCTGGTTTCTCTTTTCTCCTGGATTGAGAGTTATCATTCCAAAATTCTCAACCCCATAGAAATTTGCTCCCCTCAAACATTCAAAACCATATATAAATGAAACCCTCTTTGGGCACCCCTCGCTATAGTGATCTCCACAGGGTGTAACTTTACTGGTCTATTGCTTCTAAGTTATGAGACTCAAGAATGATCCACACTTCAAAGGATCAAGAAAAATTGTCTTTGAATTTTACAAATAAACTAGCATACTGTGTACTAATTTAGTACATGAGAGTAATATTTCTGAGCATAATTATAAGCAGCTAAAATTAAAATATGAATATAACTAACTTTACGCTTTGTAGAAATTAGTTGATATAATTTTATTTCTTTTGAAATGTTATGCATTGGTTTATATAATGGATCACACTTTAATCTATAAGTCCCATCTTGTGAAGGTTTTGGTTTCAACATCATGTTATCAAAAAATTCTTTTCTGTTATCCTCACTTTTATGCTTGAATATTCTGAGCTGCAAAAATAAAAATTATTTCTATTTAAATTAATTCTTGTATAATATGATTTTATAGCAATATCTGATCTCAACTGAAAAATGTAGAATTTTATTACTAAATTTTCTAAAATTTTACTCTTCTTTCTTCGCTGCATGATTCTTGTGTAAATAGACTTTTGCAACCGTGGCATATCAATTAACATCTTATCTTCTCCAGGTACAAATGGACCAAATTCGAGATCCTTTTTTTTATATCTTTTCTTAGCAACAGGTTCATTTTTTATAGCCAACTGGTTCGTTGGGTTCACTCTGGATAATATAATTAACCAATATTACAAAACAAAATTACAATAATTAATAATTATAACAATATATTATGTAATTGATTTATATATTAATTTACAATTTTGTAATAATAAAGCTTACATTGTAGATGAAAAAATCTTATTCCATTTTTCTTCTGAGAGCAAAAAAATAAATAGAAAATGAGATAATATTTATATAAACTAATAGATGAGAATGTAAATGCACTAAATGAAAAGTGAACTCTTTCTTACAATAAATCATTGTGAAATGAAATGTTGCAAGTAAATCTCAAAGAATTGATTTTAAGAAAAAAATATTTTTTTTAAACTTTAAGACGAATACTTGAAAGTAACAAAATCCATTTTGATTTTTAAATAACACTACGGTGAATATTATATGTAACCTATGAAGTTTAGGCGCAACGACAGATATATGAATGTATATGACAGATATTCACTTTTTCTCATCACAAATTTATACCCATTAATTTTAATTTGATAGTTTTTCTTATTTGGATGCCCACTAGTCATTCATGATAATTTTTTTAGGAAAAGTTACCCAAGTATTCATATTATTTTTATTATTCGTTATTATCTTGATGTTTCAGACTTATATTATGCCTATTTCCAAAAGCTTACTATATAATAATTTTAACTTTCTATCATTCTAGAATAATTTATACATTATTAATCTCATTATTTTTTACAAAACTACTATTAGTAAAAAATTGTGTCATACAAAAAAATAAAATTCAAACGGACATTTGGTATTATATATTTTGGTTCAATGAGAGATAGTTGACCGTATGGATAATTAAAAGAGACCAGGAATTGGTTGGAAAAAACAAAACAAAAAAACAAAAAAAAAACACCAAATAATAGTTGATTAATAATTAATCAATCAAGTAAATATTCAATGTTGATGTTTCAACATTGAATGGCTGAAAAGAAATATATAGATGAATTTTCACATTATTTAGCTTTAACTATTTAGAAGTAAAACTGACATGAATATAAATGTACAAATACTCGTAATAATAAAAATTAAAGGTAAAAAAAATGAGTATATTAATCTGATGAATCAAACACTGAACAAGTGATAACTGATAAGGTATTGAATACTAGTAATAAACTAAGGGCTAATAAATAAGAAAGCTGGTAATAATTTGTCCATTTGTAGATGGCGTCCAGTATTTACTCCTTTATATGACATTCAGTGAGGGAATGAGATGGAGTGTATAGGAACGTAGGGTTGCACTATGAATTGTACTCAATAGTGCAGTGGACAAATTGTTCATTTAAAAGTATCGAATCGATAAACAATCGATGAAAAAGGTACAGAACAAAGAAAGGAAGAAGTCTGGAAAGGTGTGAGTAATCTAAGCTAAATACTTAAACAATAATAATATCCTCTATTTTTACTTTCACTTACCTATATATGAAAAATATAGTAAAAGAAAGAATTTCAATCATGAAAATTTTTTAATCTCAGTTTTCAATGGAAATACACGTTTTGAGATCCCCTGAGTCCAAATAACCAAGTCCTGCAAAATGATATGTGTGTGTGTGTGTGTGTGTGTGATAACAATCTAGCTCAAAAAAGACAAGTCATATGAAAGTGAAATTGCATATTTAAGGTTTTTATATGCCTGAGATGTCAAAGCAAATTTTTTGTCAAAATCACCTAACCATAAGAGGCATTTTATAAAGTCGATTTAACACATTTTTACAATTTTCTCAAAAACAGCTCTAATGATTTTGATTAAATTTATAATATCAGAGTAAAAATAAGCAGTTTATAAAATAATGTAGTTTTTATTCTCATTGATGTTTTCTAACAGGGCTTAAATAGCTAATTTTCAATATTAGCTTCCCCTAAAGTACCTTAATTTTTTTTTTTTAATTTAAAACAATTAACCATTTCACATTGATCTCTGATATAAAAAATAGTTAAATATAAAATATGAAAGAATTTGATAATTAACTAAAGGAGAAATACCAGATCGTAACGGAGAACAGTTGTATTGGAGGAAACAAAGGAATACGAGCGTGGCCGAGCTCACCCGAAAGATTAGAACAGGCTTTCATACGTAACATGAGCTTAATATATTCTTCTTTTTGCTGGGAAGTTATATAATATTCTCTATTTTTTGCAATGAAATGAGCTTAATATAATACGGACTCCGACAATATTATATACATATACATATGCGGTTTTCATAAATGCTATCTTATGGTATTATTTAATATTTAATTGTATAGATTACAGCAACATAAGTATTTAAATTTGCATATATAAGGATAATTAAACAAATAAAAATACCCACAATGAAATATAAATAAATATAATAATAATAATAATAATAATCGTTTTTACAATGCTCTATCTCAATCGGGAATTAACTGGGAGGCCTCTAATAAATGGCTTAAGAAAGGATATCTATTTCCCAAAACTGAAGGGTTTATTTTGGCAATACAAAACCAGGTAGTATCCACCAATGCTTATAAAAAATATATATGTGGAGAAAATGTAAGTGACCAATGTCGCTTATGTAAAAATGCAGTGGAGTCAATCCAACATATTTCATCAGGATGTCAAGCATTGGCAGGTAAGAATATCTGATGAGACACAATAACTTGGCTAAAATTGTTCACCAAGCCCTGGCCTCATTAAATATCATAATAACAAATGAGGTACCTTATTATCGATATGAGCCCAAACCGGTGTTGTCGAAAGAAAAGAAAATAATATATTGGGATCGATCTATAATTACAGACCACACGGTAATTAATAACAAGCCAGATATTGTATTGATTGATCGGAAGAAACAAAGTGGGTATGTTATAGATATAGCGGTTCCAACCGATGATAATATCAGAAAGATTATTTCTGAAAAGATTAGGAAATATCAAGACTTGTGCCAAGAGCTTCGGCAACTTTATAAACTGAATCAAGTCCAGGTATATCCAGTTGTAATTTCCAGCAATGGCCTCATCCCAGACGATACCATTCGCTCTGTCGAAAATTTGAAACTGCCAGAGAAAGTGTTGGAAGAAGGGCAAAAAGCAGTTCTCCTAGGCACAGCGAACATCGTCAGTAAGTTTTTAAATATAGTTTAAATTTTGAGCCTAACCCTTGACCTTGGTCCGGGTAGGTGAATATTTCTGGCAAAAGCCAAGAAAGTGTGAAATTCGAAAATAATAATAATACTTTATTTATTCTGGGACGAGTCCCTTTAGAATAATACAGAAAGACATAAATATGGGCTAAGGAGCCTCAGAGATACATAAATAAAGAAATTATAAGTTACTTTCTAATTTTAATCAGTTAATAATAAAAAAAATAAAAAAAAAAATAATGAAGTAAAAATAATGAACAACGAGCTAATAATTTATATACATATTTACATTAGTATCAACAATTTTTAGTGATATTTCTAGTTTTAAAAGTTGTATCTATACAGGCAGTGAGAGTAAGTTGATTCCAGAGTAGGTGATTGCACTTCATGATTTTTTGGAATAAATGGCCGATAGATATCTAATTATTTTAATGGCCGATATGCACCTAAATATAACATCATATCTAGAATTATTAAACTACAGTAAATGTATTTAAGATTATAAACATATCGATGAGATATTTTTATATTTAACTTCTTCTTTCACACAAGTACAATGAAATAGTATTTTAAAGAATAGCATTGGCTTGATTCCGTGGATTTTAAATGACTTTTTTTCAAACTTAAAAAAATTTTAAAGGATTATATTTAGTAAGAAAATTTCATTTAATTTCCTTGGAAACATGTGATTTGCGTTCAATAATGTTAGTTTTTTGAAATTATTATCAATATTTTTTTCGTCACTCTCCCTTACCTTCTACAATTTTATTTATTTGATATAATTTTTTCTAAAATTCTCCACTTTTCAATGATATATTATACGTATACCTTCAGGCTGTTATATATGGTCTGGAGTTTCATTTTCAGGCTGGATAAGCATTTTTATTTGTCTCTCCGGTTTCCAATTATCATATTCTTTTAAACTTCATATTTAGCCATTTTTTATAGTTAATGTCAATAAAAGAAACTTAATTTTTTTAAATAAACCATATTAAAGGTATTTTAGAGGAAGACGCATATGTACATTGGGCATTTGAGCCCTGTAAAGTGACATCAATGAGAATAAGATGATACTAAATGATACTAAATCTAAATGATACTAAAGAACACTTAATTATACAACGATAAAGCAAGTTTTTAATCAAAAGTGTTGAAACCGTTTTTGAGAAAATTGTAAAAAATATGTTTCATGTTGATATAAAGTGGCACTTAAGGTTAGCCAATTTTGAAGAAAAAGTTGCTGTGACAGCCAAGGCATATACCTATCTTGAATACGTAATATCAGTTTCGTACGACTTTTTGTTTTTGAGTTAGACTGTTCACATACATACAGACACACAAACCATTTTGTGGGACTTGGTTATTTGGACTCAGAGACCTTAAAACGTGTATTTCCATTGAAAACTCAGATTCAAAAATTTCACGATCGCAATACTTTCCCTTACTTTATATAACATATAAATATATATAATAAGTAAGTGAAAGTAAAAATACATCTAGTAAATTCATAAAATGGATATAATATATTAATCTAAGTGAATATTATAAGTTGATAGCATTGTCAGATCATATACCTGCCTTTTTTTAAAATATCAAACATAATATTCTCAACTTCTCTTTCAGCCATCAAAAATGCAACAGTGAGTTTTGCTTGAAAGAATGTTGTAACTTTACAATAAAATCTGTAATTGAAAAACAAATTATTTTAATAACTTCATTTATGTAAGGTATTAATACTGGTTTAATAAATTAAGAAATCAACTGAATGTCAAAATAAAATTACTTGAAGCAATTTTGTAAATTTTAAAAATTTATTTCATTTTTGGTCACTTTAATTACACAATAGATATACTTTTATCACACCCGTATTTATATTTTTTAATCATAAAGAGAAACTGAATAAATATTTAAAAAACAATGGGAATCCAAAACCAGCCTAAGGCCAAAAAGTTAATAACCAATGCTAATTAATAATTAAACATGGAACACAATTAAGAGTAAATTTCTCGAACTATAAACTTACGAATGAGCATAGATATAAATTTTAAATGTCTTGATTGGATGAAGAAAATAGTCAAAAATTTGATTCCTGATTTGTTTTGCTTTCTTAACTTCTAATTCTAATCCTTCAGTTAGTTCTTTTTTTTTATCTAATAAAACATTTAAGGATCTGGTATTATAGTCTTCATTTATGATAAAATAGTCCAATGGAAATCTCAGAGACTCAGGAAGTCCGTCATTTCTAAAAAATAGATACATAGATATGAAAATTAAATAAAAATATACTTTACAGAGAAGATGATGGAATAATAATGATTATTGTCATAATGAGTACACTATAACTTTATATATTCAATATAGTTACAACACGAGCACAATTTTCTGTTTTTTTATTTTTTCATTGGTTGCTATAAACCATGAAGATCTTTGGCTGTAATATATGGTCTCCTTACAATGTATATTGCTTACGGGAGCACAGATAACCTGGAGGGAGTCACCCAACCTCATGTTGCTACGAACTACGATCTTCATGGTGCAGCAGCAGGCCACCTGTAGCTCAATTGGTGATCCCTTTGGGGCCAATCCGGCAGTATCCTTCCCACCGACTCAATCAGTTTCAAGGACAGTGGCGAATCGGTCTAGATTCATGGATAATGATTGCTCAGAGTCAGCAGGCACACGAGGACCTATATTTCTTTCTCTGAAACAGACCGTCCATGGACCAAACCTCAGTGGGGCTCCGATTTCCGATTTAAATATGCGGGATAGGATCATCATTCCTACACTTGGTCGGTGTGAGTTGCCTCCAGTATACTCGGGCAGCATGGCTTTCCTTGATGGGTGGTCATCCGATTCAAGCAGTCATACATCCACAACTAACCACACCCAACATTGCTTAACTTTGATTACTTATTGCAAGAACATTAGCCCACTCAGCTATTCAGATCCTTAATTTTTTTTTTTTTTTCCTATTTTACAAAGGGGAAATTACTTAAAGTTCTTAGTGATTTAAGGTTAGGAAATATCACTTAATGAAGTATTGCAATAATTGAAGAATGTATATAGAGTAGATAGTTTTTTTTAATGTTTCAGGCATTATTCTGCATTAACTTTTAGTTAAATGACAATAACACATTGATAGACTCAATCATTTTCATTTTGTTGCAAAAAACCAAAAAGCATTAAAATAGATGTTGAAGACGCTATTAATGAAGGAGAGGAACAAAGTCATTCTCATACATTTAATGATGATGATAGAGAAATGATAGAAAAAACATCATATCTCGCTAAAACATTGACTCATCCTACTATCATACCTTCAGTATATGTAAATGTAACATAATATAGTACTGGCATAAACCTAACAGTTGTATAGTTTTAATTAACTTCTGCTCATCTCAACATAAAATTTAAAACTTCAAAACTATAAATTAAACTATGAAGGGATAAGTAGCAGTCTTACAGTGAAAATAAAATTTCATATTTATTTGCTAGATTTTGGAGCTTAGCTAACATAATCTCTTTGACATCTACTTGATTTTTCATCCAATCTTTTTCAGCTTGTTTTACTGAGTCTTCTAGACTGTGTGCATCTGCGGTGATGATGTCATCAATTTTCAACTCTTTAGGCTAAAGAAAAAATATTTCCAGTATATCAAATCTTTTTTATCTCTTTTTTAGGAAAAACAAAACAATTAAAATCCTAGATTACCAACAATATCGCTTGTGGAAAATTCCGTTTTTCTTTAAACTTGGTACGTATCAAATTGGTACTATAAAAAAATATGTTAGAATCTTCTCCAATAGAATAAAGATACCGACAATCATAAGTTATAGAAATCTTTTTTATCCTTCCTCTTATGTTGTCATGCATTCCATAGAGCCAGTAATTAGAAAAATCAGTACAGTCATCAGGATTTATATCTACAACTTTAATAGCACCATCTCCTTGACCGATAATTAAGTATCCTCCGTTGCTATAAAAACATATCAGTACAAATCATTAAACATATGATAATAAAAGAAGAAACTCAAAAAATAACACTAATAAACAAACTTACACAAATAAAAAGCAAGACATTTCTGTATTTTCAAATTCGGCTATAGGAGTACATTTATATGGTTCATCAGCACCTAACTCATATTCGTAAATTAAACCAGCATCATAACCTCCAGGAGAGACCCAAATGCAGTTATCATTTAGATAGCTAAAAATTGATTAAATATTACTAAACTATATATGAGGCGTTTGGTTTAAAAACGGTTTACATCCATTTTCAAAAATTTTCAGTACTGATCAAAATAGATTTCATTTAACAAAAAAAATCAATTTAGTCAATTTTTAAAATAATTTTTCGTTATTTTAGTAACAAATCAGTTTAGACAAAAATTATTAACAACTTTTTATAATCTTTTTTTTTTTATATTAAATCCTATTTAATATAAAAAATATGTTGGATATACCTTATTGTAATTTGATCAGAAAATATTGATTTCTGGTTAGTATGTGGTTGAAAAAAAACGGTTTTCAAAACAAATCACTTTTATTAATTTTAAAAAAATATAAACATAATTTTTATTTTGTATACACATAAATTTTCATTGATATCTTGAACTTGTTAAACATCTATATTAGTATCATTTTTGTCATCTTGGACAGGTGACATTATATGGTCTATGACATCTTTGTAGAATTACAAGGTATCTATTGCTCTCCAGTCTTCCCCATTTCTAGCATTAAAAACTCATGAAAAATAAATAAAAAAATGTTTTTGGAAAAAATGGATGTAACCAGTTTTGAAATTAAATATCTCATATAATTTATATATATATATATATATATATATATATATATATATATATATATATAACAATGAAATGATTATTAACTTTTTTTATTTCTTACACCAAAAATTTAAAAAAATATCCAAAGTATCTTGACAATGGACAAAATGGCAAGGAACATCTTATAAATGGAAATTATAATTTGAAGTTGGAAGAGTTAAATGTTTAGTTCCAAAATATTGATTGATTTTGAATTCTATCACTTTCATACCAATTGTTTGATATATAAATGTTACTAAATAAAATAAAATGATAATACCAACCTAGATCATCAAAACTGATTTCTTCATCTATTATTTTTAATAATTTATCAATAATGACTTTTATCATAACAAATAATCAACGAAAAAGAAAAGATAATTATTAGACATTTCATGTCCAAATTGATAAAAAAAGTCGCTGCAAACAACTGATCTAGAACTTTCCAGACATGATGATAATGCTTCCTCCTCTTCTACTATACTGGGTATGAAAAAACTTGATTAGTCCCGGTTTTCAGTTATCAACATAACCAACAAGGAAATCATAATTCATCAAGCCAGCAACAATTGTTCAACATATAGATATTCAGGAGCTCAAAAGTTCCCAACCTTTTGCTAACTTTATTGCAAATTTGAGACACTTATTTCCAAAGTGAACACTAATAGATTTTGGGAATTGAGATAAGTATCATAAAAACACCCAATGAAGCAGATGGTGTAGAAATTTTTTTTTTAAATGACCTAACTATTAAAAACAGTCGTATAAAAATAAGTTTATTTCTGAAACAGGACTTTTTTTTTTGTAACGTTATGAAACTTGTATTTTTAGAAAAATAATCCATCAAAAACTTTTTTGACAGATGTTTTCACTGACACAAACTGAGCCCAATCAACCTTTTTCCTGTTCAAAAACAGACCTTTAAGTTTAATTCTTACCGAAGCGGCCCTAAGTTTAAATTCTTTATTTTATTACCATTGGAATAATCAGTGATTTTAGGAAATAACTGATAGAAATAAAGAATCTCTTAATTTATTATTTTAAAAAAATACGTTTTGATATTATATGGGTATAGAAAATATCGTTTTACACGTTTCTTGAAAATTTGTCAGTGATGATTATGGTTCACTTTATAAAAATAAATTACTATTTTATAGGCTATTAATCAAAGGCCAGGCAGGCACTATTTTCTATTCTTATTTTTTTTTATTGCAGTTTATTGTTAACAATGATAACAAAAATAATTGTAATGTATAAAAAATTAATATTTAATTATTTAATAATAGATAGAAAATGTACACAAAAATAAAATTCCCTTATAAAGATATACTTGTATTCATAAATTCTAAAGTTAATGTGATCTTTGCACTGGACTTCTTTGGTGAATGCTTTACAATATGGAAAATAAGATGTAAAGTTAAAATTGATTCCCATAATTAAATTAATCACATAAACACATGATTAAAAGCTAATTTTATTTTCCTCTAAAGGTTGATGTTAAATAAGGTGAAAGGTTAATTTAGTTTTGTCTTGCAAAAAGAGTGTTAATTAAGTCTTTAAGTCTGTGTTAATCTTTCACAACAGAAGAAAAAAATATATACAATAAAAATCTACACATTTAAATTGTTATAACTTACTCAGCAAAATACAGAGTAGGAGGACCCTCTGGGCTATATCTTGGCGGTACTTCTTCATCTTCAGATATAACATCTACAAAGTAAAAAAAAAACTTTTTTGTTAAAGATTAAGATTTGAATAACTATATCCAACAGTGTCATGGCAGTCATCCATAATGAAAGAGCCACAAGTAAAAAAAGTTGTTTTAGTAAGAATTACTAAAATACTAGACCCACTATTAGATATACATGGAAGGCCCTACAGAGTTTTTCCTGTTTCACAATATATTTCTGCTTGGATCACCTCATATGTCATTTTTTTCCCCCTAATATTGATTGATTTTGAATTCTATCACTTTCATACCAATTGTTTGATATATAAGTGCTACTAACTAAAATAAAATGATAATACCAACCTAGATCATCAAAACTGATTTCTTCATCTATTATTTTTAATAATTTATCAACAATGACTTTGTCTTCTGGAGTGCCTAATGAACAATATGAATAATCTTCAGAATTACTTTTATTTTCTTCTTCAATGCAAGTCTCATTTCCTTTGCAACCCATGCAATCCGTTTTTTCTTTATTCATCATTAGTTCAGACTCAGTTCCATCAAATTTGTTGTGTTTTGGTTTTGTATTTTCATTTAAATTTGTTTTTTTAAGTTCTTTGAATTTTTTTTCTATTTCTTTTACAGCATTATTACCGACTTTGTTTATAATAGTTTCTCCAAAAACTTCATCAGCCTTACCCCTTTTCTCTTTTTTCTTCTCAACTACTTCTTGAAATTCTTTAAGAATGGTGTTTGGAGCTTTTACTGAATAATCATCAGAATCAGTTGACAAATCTGAAAGCACATGTTCTTTAAATGTCCTCACTTCTGTACCATCATCACTATCATTACATGATGAGCCATACTGATACATTTGCTTCAACAATAATGACTGATCTCTTGCTGCATCCTTCATTTCCTCAAACATAATTTTACGTTCTTCCCTTAATTTTGCTTTTTTAACCAATCTTTCCTTTGTCAAATTACCAGCAAATACGTCCAATTCTTCGAATTTCTTTTTTCTTTCATTTAGTAAATTTTTTTCATACTCCCGTTTTTTCTTCTCATGAATTTTACGTCTTTCCATTCTTTTCATATTCCGTTCAATAGCCAAGCTTCTCATAACTTCTGCTTTAACACTTTTAAAATGACAAACTTTTGTGGGCAATTTGATTTCAAAAGAATTGACAGGAGGATTGGGTATGTCTTGAGTTATTTCAACTTCAGTAATTGTTCCATGGGAAGATATAATAAGAAAGCAATCCTAAAACATCAAATAGTTTATGTTAGCTTGAAAATTATCATTTTTTACAAAATGTAATTACCTTATCAAAATTTTTGTTAAAAATAACTGTTTTTGTAAAAATAAATTTAAATTTGTTAACTCATAACAACCCATGAGCTATCAATTGAAATTAAGTGAACCATCACTGATTAATAGCAGAGATTAGTTATAATTAATAATTTTCATTGTCTTCCACTAATTTTTCTCCTTAATTTAATTATTTATAGATTAGAAAAAACTATTGGCATACATGCTATGAAAAAAATATTATAAATTGAAAACAAAATAAATATGTTAATTTCATTAAGGGAACTAAGTTGGAAATAATAAAATATTCTGTAGTGATTTTGCTGTTGTTTAATAGAACATTTAATTTTAATCAATAATCATGATATGTTAGAGAGAGAATCACTTTATTTTCATAAAAGGGTGCAACCCAATTATACTGGGTTGCTACAAACACAGCATACTTATCAATCATTATGGACAAGTTTTTAAAACTAATATATAAATATACAGTATTAACAATATATATGAGCAATGTATACAATATTTTTTATTATATATATATATAATTTATTAATAATTTTATTATACATACATATACATATATAATGTTTTATTTTTAAATATTTTTTTTCATCTTTTTTGACAATTTCTTTCATTCATTTATTAACATTTTACTTCCATTTCTTTCCTTTCTCTCCCCTTATACATTTCCTCCTCATATTTTCTCCTCTCTCTTCCTAACCTAATTCATAAAATACAGTTGAATGTGTTCAATAAATAATATAAAAATGTTGTAACACATGCATCACAAATGAACAAACTCTCTTCCTATCCGCTCCCAAAGATTTAGATAGTTCGAAAATTGGTTGCCAGGTTTTGACCAATGAAATTCAAAGGAATATTCTGGCCCTGCTTAGAACACCCAATGATCAACATAAACCTTGTATCTATGCAGTGCCAGCCTCATGGCAATTTCCCAGGGGCTTGTTAGGAATTAAAAGAAAAATTAAAAAGGTTATGAGACTAATTAATTTTAGCCTATTAATAAGTGTTGCTTTATCAATTTTTTTTTAGATATATTGAATGAAATAAAAGTCAAATATCATATAATATAAAACAGTTTAAGAAATAAATTAAATTTTTTGGAGGCAAAAAAATGTGTCCGGGGTGCCAAGGTCTAAGGCTGGCATTGTATCTATGTAAAGTATTTAAGTATCTATCTACAGAAACTATCAATATAAAATTAAAATTGTCGGCAAAAATAATTTTCTCAACAAATGTTTGTTGAAATACAATACATCTAGCCTCTGGTAAGAATTGTAATTTAAAATAACTAAAACTAATAAATTACTAATAACAACAATTTATGAATAGTTAAATTAATCTCTATCTCGTTGGCACAACAACTAGGGGTGGGTCTTGGCCTCCTCTAGGAGCTTCTGCCATCCAGCTCGATCCATTACTGCTGTCTTCCAGTGCGGTGTTCCTAGTAGTATTCTGGAGTCAGTCGCCCGATATTCATAAATATAGCTGGACATCACAGGATTCACAAACACAAAATAAAATCGATCATGTCTTGATACAACATGGCTGGCAAAGCAATATAAGTAATGTACGGTCTTATCGCGAAGCAGAATGTGAGTCAGATCATGAATTAGTAATTGTGGAACTTCAACAAAGAGAAAATAAGACCGTTTCAATATCGAGAATTTTAATTTGGAAAATTAAAAAATCCATCAATTAGAACTCAATTCGAGCTAGAAGGTAAGAATAGGTTTGAAGCTTTAGAATCTTCTGATGAGAACCGCGATGATAGAGACAAGTTATGGGTAGGGATCAGGGATAACATTTAAGTGGTTGGTAACTCATGTCTTGGGAAAAAAGAAAATAAAAAGAACAAACCGTGGTTCGATGAAGATTGTTTAAACATGTGTGATAAGAGAAACCTGCTAAATTAAAATCTCTACATAAACCGGTGCTTGGCTATGTGGGTGATCTGGTCCTTTAAGCGAAGACACGGACACTGTAAAACTAAATAGGAAAACCTTAATGAAAGCCGGTAAAGAACTAGGGCTCGAAATATACACGGCTAAGACAAAATATATGATTAGCTACAAAAATGGCTATATTGTCGGTGATATCAATATAGAAGGTAATATGTTTTAACACGTAGATAAGTTTAGGTATCTAGGGTCTACGATATTGAAGAGGAGATTAAGGTTAGGCTGAAGGCGGGAAAAGCTTGTTCTTTTTCTGTAACAATAAGGTATTGCATAGACCGAAGAAGGATGAGTTAATTGGAGAGTTTAGACAGAAACACAACGCCGAATTGCGTTAACTGTATCAGGCTGATATAATGGAGGTGATAACAATGAGGTGAATCAAATGGGTTGGTAAAATTGTTGGGCTTAGTAACGGAAGAATTCCTAAAAGGTTAATATTTGCTGTACTGAATGGTAAACGTCTGAGTTGTAGACCTAAGGGAAGGTGGGAAGATTGCGTTAAAGTCATTCTGAAGGGACACGATTGGTGGTGTCGGCATTGAACCTTCGGGTTCACTAAGTCTTTTATTATTATTATTATTAAGAAAAATACTTCCCTCCCCGATTCATGAACATTAATTTTCTACACATTCTCTCAATTGGTATTTCTAGCTAGTGAACTCAAAATCAACAAAACTTAAAATTAGAAAAAATAAAATAAAGAAAGAACTAAAATAAAGAAACCCATTTTAGCTATTTTGTAATTTCCAAAAACATTTCATAAAAAAAAAAAAAAAAATTAATTGCATTTTTTGAGAAGGAGTTAGTCGAGGGTGCGGTCAAATAAATAATAAAAAAAAAAAAATTAAAATATATAAATTATTTTAATTTTTGCCGACGTTTCGACCCACTTTGCAGGTCGTCTTCAGGGCATAATTTGTGGTACTGCGGGAGGCAGTTGAAACACTGGCCATTTAGGCATTTAAACACTGGCCAGTGTTTCAACTGCAGTACCACAAATTACGCCCTGAAGACGACCTGCAAAGTAGGTCGAAACGTCGGCAAAAATTAAAATAATTTATATATTTTAATTTTTTTTTTTTTTATTTATTTGACCGCACCCTCGACTAACTCCTTCTCATATTATATTAACGGTCAACCATCTCTACATCATTAATTTCATTTTTTTTTAATATTAATTAAGTATATCTATTAACAAAAAAAAATTAATGAAAGAAAATGATCATATTTATTGCATAAAGTTTACTAAACAAGCACGTTTTGAAATATAATGAAACATTAAAGGAGGGTACTTTTATAATAGGGGGTAGCATCAAAATCTCCCTTGTTATGTAATCTTATTTCACATAACCTGCCTTATCTCCTCTAACCTAAGTTATTCCCTTGTTCATTTTTTGTTCCTCGCTATTTTAAATACCATAAAACTATTTTCCCTACCAAAATAAATTAAATTAAAATAAAATTGTTCATATTTTGTTTATATCGTTTATTTTATATGTACATATGTTCTTTACAGTCTTCATAGTGTTTCTTTTATATGTACATATGATTTTTAAGTGAGTTTTTATTATTTAATTTATTTTTGTCTATTTTCATTATTTAATTTATTTTTATATATATGTTGCAATGTTTTTTAATTATATATGTATAATGTTTTGGTCTATATTGTATTAGTTTTTGTTGGAATGTATGCCTTAGCAAGGAAAAAAATGTAATTTATCTTAATTATTAAATAATCAATGTATGGAATACCTTGTTCCTGTTCCAGGTTAAAGAATATACTTCATGAGACAGTAAAACAAAACCAATTGGGCATAGTCTCAAATAATCTTGTTTATACTTTACAAGCCGATAAATAAATACCCTACAGTCAAGACCACCACTTAAAACAATTTTCTCATTCTCTCTATGTGGGTCATAAGATAAAACTGTAATAGGTCCATTATGGGGCTTAAATGCCTAAAAACAAAAAATCATTAAAGGATGAATTAATCTCATTTTATTTTTAAGATAATTATATTTTTCTAAATACTACTATATTTACATAGGCTGTGTTGAACAATATATGGCATGAATTAAATTAAAATTTCAAAGTAAATAAAAGTAATTATAGCAATAATGAAATTAAAAACTCTAGTGCAGTGGGCCCATCACACCACTTTCACTTACCACCCTATTTTGAGAAGAAATAGGGGAAAGTATAAATTATTATGTTTTTCCAATTTGCCTAATATACTAAATTTATGTATCTTTTGCCACTGATCATTTCCTCCTACAACTGTGTATTTCAATTATTTATTTATAAGTGCCAACATTTTTTTTAGCCCAACACTTTTCAGACCATATTACCATTCTTCATTTCTCCTTTAGTTGATTATCAAATTATTTCATTTAATTTTCATTCAGAAATTTTGAAAATTCGGCATTTAACCCATGTTAGATTATTTCAATGACAATAATACCTGCTTAATATTGAACACCACTAAATTTTACATAAATATAATTAATTTAATCATAATCATAGAGGCCATTTTTGAGAAAATTGTAAAAATATGTAAAATCAATTATATAAAATAACACTTCCATTAAGTTGATATAAGGAAAAAAGTTGTAACAACGAAGGCATAACACCATCATTATAGTGAGCACTCTGACCCTTCACCGAGTCTGGATGCCTTCTAAAAGCCTTCGCCAGTTGGCTCGATCTGTTTCAGCCGCTCTCCAGTTTCGGGTGACAAGAAGCTCATAGGTCAAAATTTTCTAGGTCATGTTGTCATCCTCTATTCTCACAACGTGGCCTGCCCATCGAAGTCTCGTGAACTTAAAAACGTGACAACATCAATAAAATTGTACAATGCAGCAAGTTCTGTATTAGTTTTTCTTCTCCAGGTGTTTCCCTCTCGAACCAGACCAAAAATTCCCCTCAGTATTTTTCTTTCTAAAATTAGCAGCCTCATCTCATCAGCTCTCATGGAGGTCCATGCTTCTGACACATATGTGAGAACAGGGGACATCAAGGTCTTATATAGGCTGATCTTTGTCTATTTGGAAAAGCATCTACTCCTAAAATTCTTTGCCAGACCTAAGTAATCTCCTGTAGATTTCTGCAGAGACGTCATTTCAGGCATTCACCTCTAAGCTCAGGTATATAAAATTTAACACAGTTTCAAATTTGTAGAAAAGTGGGTCTTCAAACAAATTAGCTCACGACATAAGCAGATTTGAAGTCCAGGAAAAGATTATGGGTAACCATTTTGTACTCTTTTGCTTTCTCAAGGAGAAAATCTGACTGTGGTTGATCTAAGCCTCCTGAACCCAGCCTGGTACTTTCCGATTTCACTTTCAGTGTGCAGAACGAGTCTCTCAAAAAGGATGTTTCTTAACACCTTGTAGGCACTTGAGAGAAGTACAATGCCTCGATAATCGACATACTCCATCTGGTAACCTTTCTTGTGAAGTGGACAAATGACATCTCATCTCCAAGCTTCATTCAGGCATTCTTTCCTCTTCCCACACTATAAGGATGAGATTGTGAAGTTCCTTCAAAAGTCCTTCTTCTCTGTTATCGCAGGCATAAAGAAAAGAAAAAAAAAACCTGTACCACTACAACCTATGAAGGGTCTTGGGTCTTGGGTTAAGTACTATTTAAGAAAAGTACAAGGCCAAGGGAATCAGACCAGGATCACACTCAACTGCCAGGTTTTCCCCCTCAATCAATTATTTAATTAGGGGGTGCCTTGTTTGTAAAGACTGCGCCCCAGGAGGGTCTCCCTACCCCAGGGTCGCCCCATGGCCAATGAAACAGAATAATTTTTCTGCCAAAAGCTAGGATTTGAACTGGGAACTAGAGCATTGGAAGCTTAGTGCCCTACCACTGAGCCACCCCACTCCCCATCGCAGGCATAAATCTTTTCATACACTTCGTCTTCAATTCATTGACAGCCAAGCCTGGTTTTTTTGGTTCTTCTTCAAGAGCAAGGACCACCTCTCTGAAGGCACGTTCCGATCTTGCAGCAATGCCAAGATTTGTAAATATTTAAAAACATAACTAATTAAATAGATGATTTCAATTTCTTACCACTTTTTGTTTTTGAGCTATACTGTTAATGCACGCACTCGAACGCATACACATTTTCATGATCACGATACTATCCGTACTATATATTTCAGAAAAGTGAAAGTAACAAACTATTTAATAGTCAAAAGGTTTCAATATTCCAATTCAATTGTTTTCTTATTATCTGCCTTTCTTTCTTTTTTATTATATCCTACAATTTATTTATCGAGACAGCATTTATTTATTCCTTGGTACTTCTCTCTTAGCGGGTAGAGTCGAAACCTTCCTTCTTATCTAATCTCGTTTCAGATAACCATCTCGTTTCAGATAACCTCCCTTATCGACCCAATCTCGTTTCTCAAGTTATTGTGTTCTTTAGTTTTTCTTGTTCTTTAGTTTAGTTGTTCTTTAGTATTCTTTAAGTTATTGTGTTGTTCAGTATTATATTGTGTTCTTTTGTTAATATTGTGTTGTTTTGTTTCAACTGGAATTATGGATGTTGTCACATTGTGGGAATTGCCGTCTTCGGAAGAAGAGGCTATCAAATATTTTCAAGACGCCGGTATATTTGATAAGGTGAAATATTGTGATTATTGTGATGGTCGTAAAATGAAGTTCGACGGGAAGATTAAATGGAGATGCTCTCGTAGGTGTAACAAAACCGTTTCTATAAGGAAAGGAACGTGGTTAGAGGGGTCCAGGATTTCTTTTTTGACGGCTTTAAAATTCATTTATGGGTGGTCCCATAATTTAACTACAATTCAGTGGGGGAAAGAGCAGCTCAAACTATCCACCCAAACTGTCGTAGCATGGAACAAATTTTTAAGAGAAGTTTGTGCCCATGACATGTTATACAGGTCGAAAAAAAAAATTGGAGGGCCTGGCAAAGTCGTCGAAGTAGACGAGAGTCTTTTTTCGAAAAGAAAAAATCATATAGGGAGAGTCTTACCTCAGCAGTGGATGTTTGGCAGAGTTTGCCGAGAAACAGACGAGTGTTTTATAGTTAAAATAAAGGATAGGAGAGCAGGGACTTTATTAGAAGCTATCAAAAACAATGTAGAAGAGGGAAGCACGATTTATTCCGACTGTTGGAAAGGATACAACATAAAAACAACTGAATGAAGCAAACTACGACCATTTTCAGGTCAATCACACATATAATTTTGTTGATCCATCAAGTGGAGTCCATACTCAACACATCGAAAGATTATGGGGCTAAGCCAAGTGGAGAAATAAAAAACACAGAGGAACTGCCAGACAACACCTGGATTCATATTTATGTGAGTTTTTGTGGCGGCGGGCGCATAAACATCAGGATCTCTTCCTCACTATTTTAAATATGATAAAATTATTTTCCCTACCAAAATAAAATTTTTCATATTTTGTTTCCATCGTTTATTCATAATCTTTGTTTTATATTTACATATCCTGTTAAAGTAGTTTTTTATTATTTAATCCTTTTTTGTCTATTTTTGGCCTATTTTTATTATTTAATTTATTTTTGTATATATGTTGCAATATTTTCGTAATGTTTTTTAATTATATATTTATGTTTTGGTATATATTTATGTTTTTACGATATATATGTTTTGGTATATATTTATGTTTTTCAATATATTTATGTTTTGGTATATTTTAATATATACCTTGTGAAATAAAAGTATTTTTAAATATACGTTGTGAAATAAAAGCATTTATTATTACATTTCTTTCTGTTTTTGTTCACAATTTCAATAATATCAATACAATACAATCAATATGAATACGAACACATAATAAAATGAATATAATACAATATATACGAATACGAAGAGCTTATCAGTGTTAAGGTTATAAACATTGGCGGATAGCAGTCGGACTCTACCCGCTAAGAGAGAAGTACCTATTCCTTATATTGCATATAATACATTTTAATATATTTCTGAATATATTAAAGAACAATCAAAAGACCATACTTGTGAAGAATCTGGTGGGGATGGATTGCTATCTGCCAATGTTTATATCCTGAACACTGATAATTCTGATAAGGCACTGATAAGCCCTACCTTGTTATTCGTATTAATGGAAATTGAAATAGACAAAAACAAATGTCACATTTATGGAAATTTAAATAGACAAAAACAAATGTCATATTTATAGAAATTGAAATAGACAAAAAGAAGTGTAATAATAACAAAATAATTTGATTTGAAATTGAAATGGACAAATACAAATGTAATAATTCCCGCAACAATAACAAAACACTTTTATTTTACAACATATATATAAAATAGAAAAAAAACAAATTTCTTGAGGGAGAGAGAACTTTCTCTACATGATTTTTTCTTTTAGAAAAAAGACTCTGGTCTACTTCAACGACTTTGCCAGGCCCTCCATTTTTTTTTTGGTTGACCTATATAATATGTTATGGGCACAAATCTCTCTTAAAGATTTGTTCCACATTATCATACTTTTGTTCGATAGTTTCTAATGCTCTTTGCCCCTCTTTACTGTTGTTACATTATGAGACGACCAATAAATTAATTTTAAAACCATTGAAAAGGTTATCTCCGACCCCTCTAACCACATTCCTTTTCTTATAGATACGTTTTTGTTACAATTGGTATGAAAGCATCTCCATTTCGTCTTCCTGTCAAACTTCATTTCATGACCTTTGTGAAGGCAGTGGGCGTTCAAAAGTGAACCACCAAATCTGCTCTCTCAATTACAGAGGCATTGGTTATTGATTTATTAATTAATTTAATTTTAAACCGTTACAAACATTAAAAGAAATTTATTGATGATAAATATGTATAAAAAAACAGAATAGGAGAAAATTTATATGTATGTTGAAAATAATAAATGAAATGAACATGCTAACAAATTAATAAATGAAAGAATAAATTAATACTATTTCTCTTGATACAAAATAATAATGAATGATATATAAAATATTGATGAAAAATAAAATATTACTATAAACATTAAACAAAAGGAAAACAACCTCAAACTGATGAATTAAATTTACAATGTTCTAGGGCTGTTTTGTTATTAAAATAATTAATTATTATTATTTAATGAAAATGCAATTAACCCAGATGTTAATTTAATTGTTTTAAAATTATATTATACAAGGCCATAATTTATATTTATATAAATCTAAAATTATAATATTTAATATACAAAAAAGAAAATGATGAAAACCTGATGCTGAACCTGACAATTTAGTTTTCTAAAGTAAGATACTAGCCATTGGGGCGCCATTCACCTTAAAGTTCTTATAAATTAAAATACACAAATTCACCTCCAGCCGGCTCATATTGCGTGTTGCAGCTGACGAGAGTTCTCCTGCAGGATAATGTCCCAGAGGCGGGAAGTTGCCGTCACAACCTGGTCTGATGAAACCATTGAGTTTGCCAGGTACATTGTGACGGGACGGAGAACTTCGTAATAATATCCATTTGAACAATAAACAATGGAATAACCCACACATAACAAAAGGATAACAACAGCTTACACGAGATAAGAAGGGAGGTTTCGTCCTGACTGGATTCTTCACAAGTACACAAAAGACTTATAAAATTGTTCAGAATAAGTAAGAGAAAATCTTGGTTTAGGGTAGCCATCATACCATACACCCAAAGGCCACTAAGGCTAATGAGATTTCCCTTTTTACAACATTGGTCACAATAATTGACTTTATTCCAGGAAAAACTTCATGATCAATTACCGGGATAAGTTTGTTAGCTTTTTATGATTGGTTGTGAGGCCTCCTGCAAAAAAAGTAGAATCCTAGATGTTCAGTAGTCTGGAACATGCTACTGAGCAGAGGTAGTACTGGAGAAGCCATCAATGGTGGCTTTGGATTGGGTGAGCTCTCCAGATGAAACTAAAGAAGAGGAGCAAGCAAGCTTGTTTTACTCAGAAGCTCTGATATATCATGAAGTAAAAGAATCAATATTTTTCATTATATGTTAATCATAATAAAATAAAGATATAAAAAAAAAGTTTATTTCAAAAATTCAATTTTAACTTGTTCGCATTTTGAATGTTCTGTAATCTATATAAAATTAATCTTTACATTATATAATTACTGTCAAGAGTCTCATAATTTTTAATCAAGTAATTCAAATGGTAATACAGTCATTATCTTTATTTATTTTCTTCCACTCTAGTTGAAATCATTTCACAGATAAAATAAAAATATTTAAAAACAACTAATTTTGGACAGGACTCCCTCAATTCCTCAAGAGAAGGAGAAATGGAAAATGTTTTTGAGAAATGTCTTTCAAGTTTACTCAAAGAGCATGAAGAAAACTATTTTCTGATATGCTGGACCAATACTGGAAAGACCTGTCACATAAATTCGAATTTGTTAATCCGTCATACTTGGGTATTTCTATTTCTTAAATGATACAGCTATTGTCCTGCCACATCATCTTCATTTGATGATTGGCTGAGGTATGAGTAGGAAGGTTTAACTATTGAATTACAGACATCAAATTTATATTTCACCAATTGATCTTATTTTTTGATAAATAAAAAAATAATAGAATTTTAGAAACATTTTGAATTTTTGGTGTTTTTGTCTCAAGTTGATATAGCTCTTAAATCTTAATACTGCACTGATCATGAAGCCAAGTAGAATTGAGAATATGAATATGCAAATGATATAAATTAGGGATAACAAAACTAATTACAGTTATAATTTGATTTAACTTATACAATATAAATTTCAGTAAATATATTGGTATTTTTAAAAACAGTTTACCTGAATTATATTAATAAAATTATCACCATCCTCTCCTGGGTTCATTTCACAGACCCATATAGAAAGTACAGCAATCCGTATAGTTCCATCCCCACATCCAATTATAATAATACTATTAGTCGGATCTAGCTAGAAGATAATTAAGCAGAAAATGTAAAAATAAATAATTTTAAATTGATAGAACAAAATGATCAGATAGGAAGTATTTCAGAGATTAACAGAAAATCAATTAAGTGTTTAACTTTATATTTATTTTGTCATATTAACATACAAGATTTATAGTAGGAGAAAGTTAAAATCCAAGGTTATTTGCAATATACCTCTGCAACAAAAATGGCTATTGATTTGGTACCAAGAGAGAATATAAGGGAGGCCTCAGGTTGAAAAAAACCATGCCCAAGAACCTAGACATCAAGTCAACTTACTCTGAGCCAAAAGGAATTATTATACTGAATGAAAAGGAGTCAAACAAACTTAAAATAAAAGTCAAGAGATTAAATTAAACTCTTTATATACAAATGGATGAAGTTGCCTCAATATATACCTGGATAACATAGAGAACCTTGGCTCTGTTGTTCTAATTCAGGACTCCCAGCAAACATTATAAGTGGTCATAGAATGGTATTATAGAATGGCTTGTAAGGAATTGTATTAACATGAATATAGACTGAATATAAATATGAGTATACCCAAGAAAAAAAAAAAACATATTTCCTATGGTGATGAAGAGATGGAAATTGTATCAGACTACACTTACCTAGAACCAGCAATGTAAAGATTGGGGAAAGAGGAGAGCAAAAATTCACATAGGATTGCAGAGGCAAATGCTGTTTACCACCAAATATTTAACACAGTTTATTTTAAAGACAATCTTTCTACCTCTCCAGAGAGGTGGGGTATTAACTGACTACCTTAGGAGTCCAATCAATGTAGTTAAAATGAAGAACCTATAAAGGACAGCTAGGAAAACAAGGGACCATATAAGAAATTAATGAATCAGAGGTAAGATCAAGATGTGCTTTATCATGGAAAAGATTGAAAGGAAACAATGGAAATGGTTTGGGCACGTCTGTAGAATGGAAAGGCAAAGAGACCTGTTCAAGACAAATATCATTCATCTGGCAAGAGACCAAAACCCTACAACTACATTAATCAAACAAATGGAACAAATAAGGAAAGCCAGGGGTAAAATGTAAAATGGTATAAGGCAATTCGCCATTAATCGGTGCCAAGCTAAACCTGACTTAATGCACTTTCGCACTGAAAGGCACTAAAGATAGGAGACAAAGAAGAAAGTTAAAATGTTTTTAGAAATGAATTCATTATAGATGTTAATATTGAATAATGAAATTCTTAACTTACACTTGACGGCAGCCACAACAAGGCAGAACCAGAAACTGATAATTGAACCTTCATTAATGATTTATTATTTTTTGAATTATATACGTGTAATCTGCCTTCTCTCCCCAAAGTAGCAACGTAATAACCAGCAGGCGAAGGTGCTATATCAGCAATCGGACCATCGTGAGCTTGGAAAATGATTTTCGATGCTGCTAAACTTTCTTTGACAGCTAATTCTACTAACCAAATACATCCTTGTGTGTCCTATGTAAAAATGAAATATAAGTAATACATAATTTACAATTAAATTACATTGTATAACATTGTTTATATATTTATATAAAAATGTTTAAAGGTTTAAATTAGTTGAACTTTAGCAAATTTTTTACTGTGAATTTAAAATAAATATTGCAATTAAACTATATACCGATCATCAATATTTTCATATATTTTATATTCAGGAATGAATTTAAGCAAAAGTCCTTATACATTTGGGAAACAAACTGTTCACCTCAGGATGTACAAGATCATCCAAATAATCTTCCTACATTGCCTAATAACAACTAGAAGCTCACTAATTAATAGTAAATCCAGAATTTAAAAAAAAAGGAAAAATTATTATTTGTGATTTTACATATAAATAATACTAGTTCCAAAGTTTATAAAGCATTACTTTTTTTAAATAGAAAAATCTATAATTTTTTTTATCATCAATAAGTTATCAAGTCGGGATAATTTCAGAAGATTTCAAATCTATGGACATTAAAAATACTACTAATTTAACAATAGGACACTGTATATGTGCCACCAGTGAAATTTATTTTATTTTGTTTAATAATAAACATAAATAAATGACAAATGATAATTTCTCAATAAAAGCAATAATACAAATCTGTATTATAGTACAATCGTAAGACTGAGGAATAACCACAGGTGCACCAATAAAAAGTATCTTAATCTTATGAGAATTGAAAAAGAAGGCAATTATAAAACTGTAAAGACCCAGAAGACACATACCGTTTAAATGCAGGAAAAATGAAAGAAAATATGAATTAACACTGGAGGAAGATGAAACATTAAAAAAAAAAAAACTTGGCTAGAGAGAAAATCAAGAAGATAAAAATGTTTTTTATAAATACACAATGTAGAATTTAGTTTAGGTGGAAATTTAATGGGAAGAATCTGAAAATCTGTAAATGTACACATATTTCTTCAAAAAATATATATTGACCAGAATAGGATTTGCAGGCAAATCTTTATAGTAATTTTCAACAATAAAAAAAATAATAAAATCTATCAACGAACTATCCAATCCAACTAATTAAGATAACTTCTGAAAAGCAAATTAAATATCAATTGTATCTTACCTGCATATAGTACATTTCTGAATTGGGGTCATTAGGGTCTACTCTCTGAAATGACAATGGTTTAGCCTGTTCTTGACCAGTGCGTAATGTTCTATGAAAAGTTGGCTGCATTTCCAGAATATCTTTAAACTTGGTTTTCGCATGCTCTATTCTTGTGTAATCCCATACCTTATATTTCCCATCACGTCCTAAAAATTATAATACAACTCAAATGGCTAGGGATATATTTACAAATTCAAAAGAAAAACTATTTAACTTTAATAATATTTATACTGTATGTATTTGAATTAATTGTAAAAATAAAAAAATATAGTTACTTTTTTTTAAAATAAATTAATTACATACTAATTAAGTTAATCAATTTCATTTAAACACCGGAGCTATTTAAACCTAAAGAAATTCCTTAATAATTAATTTTTATTTATATACAACTTGTTGAGATATTCAAATACCTTGGCAATTTTGTAAGTTTTTTACAGAACATTTATTAGATCAACTGAATATACTGTCGCCCTTTTTTTAGTAAAATAAATGTCCCATTTGTCGATAAAAAGGTGGTAAAATTTTAAAATATTTTTCTTTTAGTTCATGAAAAAACAAAGATGTCCAACAACATGTGATAAGGTGGTTGTAATTTGTTAAAAAACCCGGAATTGCACACTTGCTTAACTATAATTTTAATTTTCTATCGAGGAGTAAAAGTGTCTTACAACATTTTGTGATCCAAGCACAGAAATAAAATTGTATGTGTGGTTAGTAGAGGTAGATAAACATGAGGAAAAGTTGAACTGATGGTTTAATGTTTTGTTGAAAGTGAAAGCTCATGGCACAAGAAGAAGACTATAAGATTTATAACATGATATTTAATTATTTTTTCAGGAATATTTTATATTCTGAATAATTAGTTTTTTGTTTTTGCTTTTGTGTTAGTTATATAATTTATCTTTTAATATATCATTTCAGAATTAAAAAATCATTTTACTGTAGTTGTCTTTAATTTCAATCTTTTCAATATAGAAATAGAAATAGAAATATATTTATAACTTACCAACAGTGAAAATTTCATCATATTTTTCTTTGAATTCCAAGTACACTATCTCATCATCATGCAGAGGACGATTATTCTTTCTTGTGATCTCCATTGTAATTTCATCTCCTTCCCAAAGATACAAAGTGTTTTTCGAGTTAGAAGAAATAACCTATTAACAAATATAAAAAACCATGGTGATTAACAAAATCCCTAACTATCCGCACTAGGTACACATACACTTAAACTCCTTCGGACAAAGTTGGCTCAAGCTCTTAGCAATCTACTAGCCAATGAGCGGATCAAATAAATGTTTGGTGTGATCGGAGAAATCCAAAAAGCTGTTACATCAAACTTGCTGGGTACAACTTATGCTATAATAATGGTAATGATGCCTGTTTTAAACTAACACTTCAACTCTATAAACAAGGTTTAGATCTGCATGTGTATATAAATAGATAATCATAAAAACCATTATAAAACCTATTCAATTTTTTTTAATAAAAAAAAGAAAAGAAATGTAATCTACTCACAATTACTGAAATAATTGAGTTTTCCCTTTTCCATCCATGACTGCACTCTATCATACAAATATACAACGAATATCTCTTCCATATTTGAAAAACACGACAGCGAAACTAGCAGGTTTTTATAGTAAAGAATAAGGGACCATTGAGACAACTGCAACTGGAGTGAATTGGAAACATCCATAAACAAATATAATTTTTCTAACTTCAAAAAATATTTACAAACAAATTTTAAGAAAACCAAACAACACAGACATAATCAAGTTGAAACAAGAACTCGGTCAGGCTAATAATTGCTATAATACTTATTTTGGAAATTGCGTTATAAATTATATCTTAATGGTGCAAGCTAGTAAATTCCTGAGGAAGATGATAATTTGTCATTCTTATTTAATCATTTAATTAATGAATCATTCAATCCATTATTTGTATTAATAAATAAATAAACATCAATATGTATCCATGCTAATTGCGTTTATAATTTATGAGCTCACCTTTTTATGGCAGAAGAAAAAATAAAATGCAATAAAATTAAATTAAACAATTTCAAATTCTAGCATGAATAAAAGTGGTTTGAACAAACCATGCCATTGGGGAATGGACAGAAGGTATGTATGTCAGAAAAATCCCTTTCACCCCACTTTCCGTATGTTGGGATTAGTTTCAGGCCAGTGAATGTTTCTATCAATTTCCAAAATGTTATATGCTGCAAACCTATAAAAAATATGTAATAAATTACTTTTTTTAACACTACATAATAAGTTAATTTAAGAATCACTAAGGTGTATAAGGAAACCAAAAATATATATATATAAAAAAAAATTAAAAACAATCATTCTTAAACTGACTAACACAATAATAAAAGTTATTGATTAACAGTTATATTTCCTATATCTTCAAACGTGTTTGGTACACTATACAATAAAATTTCAATTCCTAAAAGGCAAAGAAGGGGAGAAAAAAAAGGATCAAGTAAAACAACAGAATCTATAAGAAAATTGATAAAGATTAAAAGTAATAACACAATGATAAAAGATAAATAAAGACACATGAAAGCAGAAACTCATAAGATAGTAAGCGCATATAAACATATACGGTAGTTTATATATCCAATACACCTTACACAGATAGTTGGTATGGCTACTTATTTCATATTTCCTATAATTAAGTATTTCATTTTTACCCCCATGTCATTTTTTGTGGTCGTCGAACAGTCATCTCATATTCATTTCTTTGAACCTATTGTTTTACTTTGATTCTACAAAATGGCTCATTATTTTATATTCCTTTCAACAGTTTTTCGTCACTTTTCAGTTGCAGCATCTTTGTTTTGATCTATTTTTCATCAAAATTAATTTAGTGACATTTTTGTCCAACAATTTAAAAATTATTTTTAATAATTGCTGAGGGTGAGAAACATCCAAGTTTAAGGGAAGTTTTAATCATGGGAAATAAATACAACACATCATATTTATTAACTTTTTCTACTTTATTTCAGCAAAAAAAAAAAAAAAAAAAAAGAAGAAAATAGATAGCAGCAAACAGCTGTACAAACATAATCAAATACAGTGGCAATGCAGATAGTTAAAGAAATAACAGTCAAATGACAATCTATATTTTTTTAATGTTATTAAAGCCATAAAATCCAAATAACCTTTAAAAGAACTAAATTATAAAATGTCATTTTCTCCCATTCATTCTCATCTTATCACTGATATTTTCAAGGAACAGGTTCAAAACAACTTACAAAAAGAACAAGGAATTATGATCCTATACAAGAGATAGTTTGGTTACCTGATGCGATAATGCCTCCAAATACAAAAGGATTGTATTCTGCTTTCCAAACTTCCCTATTTAAATTGGGTTGCTTCAAAACAATTCTTTCCATATTCCAATTCCAAACAGTCAGTGTACTATCTGGTTTTGAAGCTTGAGAAAGTAACCATTTACCGTTAGGGCTAGGAGAAAATACAAAAAAAAATTACAGAAAAGATTTATATTAAAACATTAACATCTTAAATCAAATTAATACATTAGGTCGAATTTCATGGGTGAGAACTTCATAAGTCGAATTTCAAGATAATTACAAATATTGATACTTTACATAATCATTTTATTTAAAGAAATTTTGATGACCTTTTTTGTTCAACAATTTATAAAGGTTTCATGATCTTTTTGGTTCAATAATTTATTAAGCTTTGATGACCATTTTTATACAATAATTTATTTAAGTTAAAATATATTTAAATAACAGAAGACATTTTTTTTGCAAAAATCTCTATTCTTGGCACGGAAAATTTGGCTGTCATAACTAAAAAAGGTCTGGCAACTTGAGACAATATAGCTTCCTCACTATTTTCATTGATTGCATAATTACCTATCTTTCCAAGTTTATGATTTGTTGAGAATAAAATCTGTTAGAGGAACTTTTTTTAAGTATAGTCTTGTGAAGGAAAAATGTATGACTAAATAAAATAAGTGGACAAAATTTTATTGAAATTGGTTCATCTAAGGATTCATTCCTCAGATTCCTTGAAAATTTTCTTAAATCCAGTTAATTTGAATTTAGTAGAAGGTGGTATGCCAACAGAGCCGTCGCATGAGTTGAAGGTGCTGGGGGAAAAATTTTACCAGGCTTCCTCTACACACTTTCCTCAATACATTTCTAAATAGGTCAGAAGCCTATTTTCTCGTGTTTATTAGTAATATCTAGTTATGCCTCTTCACTTCCACTAATGGATGATAAATTTCAAATTTCTAGCCAGCTTGAAATTATCTAACGGCAACTAGAACTAATGTTGGAAATAATAATTTCTTCTTTACAACTTGTCATTTATGAATGTTTAAACAAATATAAAAAAGAATGAAACATAAAGTGAATTGGGGATAGAAACAGCACTGTTTTCAAGAATATTACCTATTTTTGTCCCTAATTCATGGTGCTCCCTTGGCCGAAGTGGCCAGTGTGACAGCCCCAATCAATCAAACCACAAGGCAGCCATTCCCTTTTAAATATACCTGTCATACGCATTCAACTACAGAAAGAAATACACTTTAAAAATGTATAACTTATATTATATTTAAATTTAGTAACACGACTAGGGGACAATATATCCATATATTTATTTAAATTTAGTTATTTATGTATTGACATTTTTTTTTTTTTTAAATTCATCAATTTATTGATTGGTAGGTTAATATGTAAATACCTAATCGAATAACGTAAGTAAAAGTCAAGGTTAGTATTCTAAGTTGTGAACTTTTTTTTTTTAATTTAGAATAAGCATTTTACATGATTGTTAGGACAACAGAATTCTTTACAAAATATAAATATTAAAAGATTAAGCTATCTTGAAAACAATTATTAAACTACAAATTATTTATTTGTCTCCAATATAATAATTTACTACAGGAACACGTCAACAGTGTACTGTTGTTTATGTTTCTGCTGCTCAGGGCATCTCACAAATATGCCACCAAACTTCTCTCCCCGACAAACGAGGGTATTTGTATAAACCTTTACTGACGTTATAATATTGCAAATACTGTTAACATGAAATTATTATAAAAAACAAAAATAGAGCCCCAAGAAACATTTTTAGAGAAATTTGTTTTCTATTAAACTTAAAACTCATTCAAATCATAAAACAAAATCTACTTACTACAACACATTTATAATTTTAAAATAAAAAATTATTGACTAAAATGGTTCAGTTACTTAAAGAAATTATATTGTTAATCAAAAATTATAAAAATGTAATGTAAGAAAAGAACTGTAGTTTCAATATTATGATAAACATTATTTCAATGAAGAGCATCATATTTAGCAAATACTTCAAAAGGAATATATATACATATATATATATATATATATATATATATATATATATATATATATATATAATTTTAATTCTATAATTTTTATTTTTATATATATATATTACGGGGGAGTGGGATAGCTCAGTGGTAGGGCACTGAACTTCCAATGCAAAGGTCCCAGGTTCAAACCCCAGCTCATGGCAGAAAATTTATTTATCTGTTTCATTGGCCCTGGTTCGAGAGATCCTCCTGGGGCACACCCAGCCTCTATAAAGTGGGTACCTTTAATTAAATAATTAATTAAGGGGGAAAACCTGGCGGTTGAGTGTGATCTCGGTCAAATCACCTCCTTGCACAACCGTTGACCTAGAAACAGTGCTTTCCCTAAATAGTACTGAACCCCAGACCCTTTATGGGTTCAGACCCTTAATGGGTTGTAGTGGTACAGGTTTTTTTTATATATATATATATATTACACTAACAGGCAAAAAATTCCACCCACTTGAAAAAAAGTTGTATTTGTATATAATACATGGTATTTGTAGATAATAGTTAGTATTTATGGAATTTTATAAAAAAATTTACCTTTAATAATCAAAATGTGATTGGGTAAGAAAGATTAGAGAAAAAAAAAATTGTAAAACAAACCATTATTATTCTAAAAGAAATTAATCACATCATCGTTTAGTAGCGCGTGTTTCCTCCTCTTGCCTTCACTACTTCTTGAAGACGCCTCGGCATACTTTCCACCAGTCGGGAAATGTCCCTTTGCTGGAGGATAGCCCATTCCTCCCGAAGAGCCCTTTCAAGGTCCTGCAGTGTATCAGGAAGTGTAGCAGGCGCTCTTATTCGTCTTCCGAGGTTATCCCATAAATGCTCAATGGGGTTCAAATCTGGAGAACGTGCTGGCCAGGCTAAAACCTCAATATTGTTCTCTTGAAGGAACGTCTGCATTATAGGGACGACATGTGGGCGTGCATTATCGTGCATTAGAATAGAACGATCGCCGATTTCGTTGAGGATAGGCAACACATGAGGTTTCAAAATCTCATCTACATAGCAAATGGCCGTCAAAGACCCTCCACGAACAACAACCAATTCTGCGTAGCTAAGCGGCAATAACCAATACTGGACGAAAAGCCATTAATCCATACTCATTTAATCTTCTCCGAGCAGTACGTTCAGAAATTTGCACACCTCGAACTTCTTCGAGCTGATGAATCACTTGAACAATGGTAAGGTGCCGGTTTCGTAAAATTCTCAAAGTCAAAAACCGGTCATCCCGTGGTTCTGTCACCCTAGGCCATCCAGAACCGGGCCTTCTATTGAAAGAACCAGTTTCCCGAAAACACCTGACGGCGTCTCGTAAAGTTTCATATGGAACTCCGATGGCATTAGCTGCATATCTAATGGAACGTCCATCTTCAATAAGTGCCACACCATGCGCAACATCCTCAGCATTAAGAGGCATTTTTAAACTTAATATTGAAAAAATTAAAATCCGGAGACTAAGAAATGTGCTGCAAGAAACGGCACTGAACTAATGATGAATAAACATTTTGATTGCGTAGAAAGTAAACATTGGAATCTAGAATCATTTCATTGAATTAAGGGTTATTGTCCTCTATATTAACATTCCTAATTGAAAACAAACAAAAATATTATCTATTTATTCATTAAAAACAATAGACCAATCTAAAGTAGAAATATTTTTAGATGAAAACAATAAAAAAATCAAGTGGGTGGAATTTTTTGCCTGTCAGTGTATATATATTAAAATAAAGTATTTTAATTATTGGGACTATGAAGAAGACCTGGGCTGAATTTTTTTTAAATATTTCCAAGATAAATTGTTCAATAACCCAGTTATTTCAGAAATAAATTATTTCATGAAATAACTTTAGCAATATTTCTGAAATAAATTATTTTAGGATTACTGACATAATTATTTCTGAAATGATATTTTCAGAAATAATGTTCTGAAATAATCATTCTGATAGATGCAAAACTGATTGAAATAACCATAATAAAAATCCTATTGTTCATGCTAAATTTAGTTTTCACTTATGCCTCTTTTTTTGTTTTCAGCAATTAGAAGGACTTGAGGCATTATATTTACTGTTGTTTGAGACACTTTAATATTTGTAGAGGCTAAGTGTGCCCAGCAGTGATTTCATTTTTCTTATGTCCCTTTTCATTTTTTACAATTAGATGGACTTGAGGCATTATATTTACTGCTGTCTGAGAAACTTCAATCTTTATGGAGGCAGATTGTGCCTGACAGAAATTTCATTTTTTCTTATGCTTCTTTTCATTTTCTACAATTAGACAGATTTGAGGAATTACATTTACTGCTGTTTGAGACACTTTAATATTTTTAGAGGCTGAGTGGTCTTTCATTTTTTTTCTTAGGCCCTTTTGTTTCCTGCCATTAGACGGACTTGAAGCATTCTATTTACTAGTCTTTGAGACACTTAGTACTTGCCTCGTCATTTAGTTCTTCTGCTATTCATAGGGAATACGGCTTTAAATTTACTATTGTTTGAGCGATTTACAGTTTTTTAAAAGATGAATGTACCCGACCGAAATTTTTTTTTTATTTTCCTGCTCATCTCAAGGCTGAAATCCGTCTAACTACAAAAAAAAACCTTAAGAGGGTATAAGAAAAAATGAAATTGGTGTCAGGCACACTCAGCCTCTACACATACTAAAGTGTCACAAACAGCAGTAAATATAATGCCTCAAGTCCGACTAATCACAGAAAATGAAAAGGGGCAAAGAAAAAGCGAAATGGTTGTCAGCTTCTACATTTTAACTTGCTTGAACTGTTAGGCAATATAAAAAAACCCATGACCACTAAGGAAACAGAAAAGAAATATGATGGTGGAAATTAAATAAATATTAAGATGGTGAGGCACACACAGTCTCTTTGAGCTGGATACCTATAGGTACTAAGCGAAATATGCACCCTATGGTCTCTGTCACCGGCAGATTAGAGGTTTAAGTGTTATTCTATATATTTTTTATATTGGTGGATTTTTTAGAACAGTTATTTCAGAAATAATTATTTTATGTTTTTTTTTTTAAATAATTCATTCATGAAATAAATATATAAATTATTTCATGAATGGCCAGGTCTACTATAAAGGCCTTTTTTCTACTGAATAATATTTTTTTAATTGTTTTGTCTTAAAATATATACATTAAAGAATATATTAATTCCCTTCTTCGGAAGTCTCTACATTTATTAATATTTGTTCCTACAGCTATATAAAAATATTGTGCTTTGATAGTTGTTAGTCATAATCTAATGAAGGAATAATACAAAGGTATAAAGACAGGTTTTTTACTAAAATGAAGGATGTGATGAAACAGGATAAATAGAGAAATGGACAGAGAAATATTTTGTTTACATAAAAGTAAACATAAAATAATGAGTGGTACATAATACATGGCTTGTGCTTAACTTCTTCTTCTTGCTCTATATTACACTACAGTGATTCCTTGAAGAGGACCATTACAGTCCAGATCAATTGTGTGTGTAAGCAAAAGAGATTCCAAGTACTCAAAGAATAATACTGACTAAAACAAAGATGATGATGGAAGATCACTAGGTCGTTAGCAAAACAAGGATAGTACGATAAGCAGAAGTGATTATAACAAACGGCATAAATCACATTTTCGGGTCTTTTGATTTTGTTGATATCCAGTCCTCTATTTTTATTTCTACTCATTTTGTTTTAATATTATAATGAACCATTGTTATTGCCCAAGGAAAAGAAAATTAAATCTTCCTGCACACATTAACTTACTCTTATACTGACATTGTCTGACTTTTACATAACAGCATTTCTCCATTGTCTGGTATATTAAGCAAATTATTCGCATCGCCAGGCTAGTATATACTTGTTTGGATCATAATTAATTTTATTTCATACAAATAAGAGAAAATAATGTTTAAAGCAACTATCCAAAGTTAAAACTAAACATAACCTTTAAGAAAACTTAAGTATTTAAAAATAAAATTGCATTTTGAGAATAAAAGACCAATATTTACCTAAAACAAAGATAATTATAACCTTCATCAGCACCACCTCTCAAAACCCTTAACACTTTCAGTGTTGGAAATTCATAAATGAGTATAAGCGGCTGAATGCCTCTTTCTCCTACAGCAAATATAGGTTCAGATGGATGTTTCTAAAAAAGCAAATATTTTATTTGAAAAATTTAAAAAATGATTATTAATGACAACTTGGGAAAATACTCACAGTACAGTGACCTAAGCCAGTACCACCAGAGCTACGTAAATAATTCAATGATCCAGTTAAAACATTAAAAATGTGAATATAATTTCCAGAAAGATAAATAATTGAGTTGTTATCCATCACAACTAAGTTACTCCTTCTGTGACTATCATAACCAAAGGAATGGCTGTAAAATATTGCTAAGGAATATTTAAAAATGTAATTATTGCTTATATTATATTATTATATGTAACAACTAATAATTGAGAATGACCAGGATGTTTCACCTCAGTTGATTAACAATTTAAAATTCCAAATTACTTGCTTTCATTTTTAAAAATAAGAGTCCATGTATAAAAAGGATACTGAAACTGCAATGAATTTGGACGGAATGAATTTCTTTCATAATAAACAGGCTGGGCCACAAAGTCTTCAGGAACATATTTAGGCTCAATCCAGTCCTCATCTCCTGGCCAGTAATCATCGAATTCTTTGCCTGAATCAAAAGAATCATCCTCGTCAATTACATCATAAAAAGGGTCTTTTTCAAGAGGAAAATCGTTTTCATTATATTCTTTGGGAGCATTTATTTCACATTCAGCAATCTTGGAGTCATCAGATTTAACTCCTTTGTTACCATCAGAATTAGAAGCAGGGGAACTTACTTCATCTTCACCAACTAATTCCAATGACTCATCACTATAATAGTCCAAGATGGTTTTAGCAATTGGAAACTTGTACTGTTTCGAGAGGTCCATCAAATTTTCTAAAGGCACTAACCAATCCCGTTTAGAGGTCAATTTTTTGTCAGATTCAAAATAATATTTTTTAACATTATTTTGTCTGTATTTTTCTATAAGAAAGTTTTCAACTTTTCTACATACCATTTCTTTAGTATCATCTTTGGATTCTTCTAATATATCTTTGAGTTTCTCCAGAGTATCCATTATTTCTTTCGATTAAGTTAATTTAACTGGTACAATTATGTAGACAAAAAAAATGTGTTTATCAAGCTATATAAAAGGTTTATCTTCCTAAGCTACAGAAAAAGAAGAATTGACCATGTGTTAATGTAACCAGTCCTATTCTAAGCAAACATAAGAACTAAATATTGAGCAATTAGTTTCTCTAAACAACATCAATCAACACGCAGTGCATAAGATTTCTATTTAATTAAATTAGTTTGATTTATAATAATACTTTTATTCATCAAGACTTGTAATCATATTTTCAATAACAGATGTTAATTAAAGGAACACACTGAGTGAAAAATTACCTCAATAGCAAGGGATTAAAAAACACTGGAGTTTCCTAGGCAACTGGATCAACTGTCTTGATTGAATTTATTAATTACATGAATAAAGAGCTGATCAACCCTGGCGATTAATATGCAGGAAAATGAGAAAAAATAAATGATTAAATCGCCAATATAGCTAACACATTTGTCAATGCTTTGATGGACCTATTTTTTAACCAACCTCAGGCATCTACAATTACAATAATGGTTTAAATAGAAGGGGGAAGTAATCTTAATTAAGATTAATTTTTGAGATGCGTAATGATGAATAATAACAGAGGAATACATTTTTCACAACATTTGACAACCCTGTAGCTTAATTTTTTTAATCTGTTGGGAGGTTTGGGGCTTGTCGTCTTTAGGGTCAAAGAGATTTGGTCCAAACTGGGCCTATCCTACTATGAGGGCTCTACAACTGGAATTTTTTTTTCAATTGAATGATAACTTCACTTAATTTTTTTCCTTTATCAAACGAAAACTTTTTTTTGCTGTTGCTTTTAGTGGAATTTTGTCTTTGTGAATTTATTTAATTAATCGTGTACAACACACACAACACTTTTAAGAAAAACGACCCTGATGCACAAGCGAATCCAGGATTTTGTGGGGAGCTTCAGAAAGATTTTTTTTCATATATATAACGATAATTAATTTGAAAAAAAGGAAAGGAATTAACTTCCTATATGAAATGGTGTTTAAGTAATTCTTGAAGTCCTATTAATGTAATTACACGAACAATAATACTTTAAGAGATCTATCTATCTATCTTTACTGACTCTAAAACCCGCTCTGCTAATCATGGCCTCCGTCAACAGCATCCGCTAGGTTTCCCTGCTCTGTGCTGCCACCATCCAGTCTCTGAATCCTAGCTTCCTGGCATCTTTGTCCACGCTGTCCCTCCATCTTAACTTTGGTATTTCTACTCATCGCGCTCCATATAGGATTTCAACCAACACCTTCTTTAGGATCATGTCTTCTCTCATTCTGGCCACATGACCTGCCCACCTGAGACGGCCTGCTCTTATAAAATTGACAATATTGACATCATTAAAACGCTGGTAGATCTCCTGATTTTCCTCCTTCTCCATTCTTCATTCACACACACTGGACCAAAAATTCTTCTTAGAATTTTTCGTTCAAATATTAGGAGGTCCTGCTCAGCTGCCTTGGTTATCATCCAGTTCTCTGATGCATAACTTAAAAGCGGTCTGATAAGAGTCTTGTAGAGGATTACTTTGCTACACTCAGTCACCAGGGTGCTTTTCATGTGTTGACATACCATAATAGCTACGGTCGGTCAGCAAAATCATCTTATTTATATCTCTATCCATCCGGTTATCAACAGTGATCTGCGAACTCAGGTATGTGAATTCTCAAACCTGTTCAAACCTGATGGCTCCAAAATTCACTTTAGTGCCATGTCCTGGGGTCTCCTGGGTTACCATGTATTTCGTTTTTTCGTCGTTGACAGTCAGGCCGAGTTTCCTCGCCGCAGCCTCCAGGTCCAGAAATGATTGTGCAACCGCTTGCCGAGAACGCCCAATAATGTTTATATCGTCGGCAAAAGCTACGAGCTGAACAGTCCTATTGAAGATCGTGCCACATGTTTCTATTTGGGACTCACGAACTGCTTTTTCTTGGACCAAGAGAAAAAGGAGGCATGCCAGGGCATCACTCTGTCTTACACCCCTTCTCGTAGAAAATTCATCCGATACGTTGCCCTTTATTTTAACAACACACACCACCTCGTCCACTTTTAATTTAGTCAGCCTAATAACCTTGAAGGTGATGTTGAACTGGCGTAATGCATCGTACAGCTTTTGATGGTCGATCGTATCGTAGGCTGATTTAAAATCGAGGAAGAGGTAGTGAGTTTTGAGTTTATATTCCTTTCTCTTTTCCAGGATACTCCTCAGACAGAATATCTGGTCGATTGTTGATCTTCCTCATCTGAACCCGCACCGGTACCGCCCAATCTCTCGCTCCATAAACGGCAATAGTCTGTGGAACAGGATGTTCGATAAAATTTTATATGTACACGGATGTAGAGCAATACCGCGATAGTTTGAGCATTTCAATAGGTTTCCCTTTTTGTAGATCGGGCATATGACTGTCTTCTTCCAGTCTGTAGGCATTATTTCCTCAGTCCACATGCTCATCAATAAGTTGTGAAAGAGCATGAAGAGTTCATTACCTCCATGCTTAAGTAGTTCTGCTGGAAGTCCATCAATTCCTGAGGCTTTATTATTTTTCAGTTTGTTGACGGCCTCACTGACTTCGTCTTCATCAGGTGGTTCCAGATCATCCGTTCCATCCTGAACGGAGGGCGGCTCCGTCCCTTGGCTATCTATGCTTTGACCATTCAAAAGCTCCTTGAAACGTTTTCTCCATTCTGCTAGGCAGGCTTGTTCCTCGGATAGGAGAGCTCCCTGGTCATCCATACACATTTAAGGTATTTGTTTGAATGGTCTCCTAGTGCTATTAACTTTATGATAGAACTTCGTGCTATCTCCAATGGTCTTTGATTCCTACAAGTCCTTCAACTCCTGGATAATTCCTTCTTTCTTCTTCCTCTTTTTCCCCTCCTTTTCTTCCTATAGTCTTCGATTGCACCGCGTTTGCGCATGTTGATCATTAGCTGTTATGCTGCATTTTTAACTTCTGTAGCTATTCGACAGTCTTCATCAAACCAGCTTTTTCTGTTTTCCTTTTCAGCATGGTTTCGATAGTTTTTCGACAGCTATTCCTAATACCGCCTATACTATCTTTCAGGTCCTCCATACATCTTAACTGTGAGTTCAGTGCTGAAGAATAAGCCTCCCTAATCTGAAGGTCTTTAAGCTTGTCGATGTTAAACGTTTTTGGTTTTATCCAAAGCCTGAGTGGGTTAACAGCAATTCTTGATGCAACGTGGGCGATACTGAGAAAATGGTCAGAATAAACGTTAACTCCTCTGAACACTCTGACAACAGTGATAGATACTACTAATGTGCCAGTTGTTTACGAGGATGTGGTCCATCTGTTTGACTGTGAGCCGATCAGGCGATGTCCAGGTACATTTGCGGACATTGCGCTTACAATTTTAAGGCTTTGGGAAGCAGAAACGTTGACTAATCGCCTGCCGTTTTTATTGCTCCCTTCAGAGTGAACTGTATTTACCGATGGTTGGGACATAGATATCCTCCCGACCGACTATAGCATTAAAGTCTCCGATAATGATTTTCATATCATGGCGTGGTAGGGAGTCCAGCCTATTATCGACCAAGTCATAGAAATCATCCTTGTCTTCATCATTAGTTTCTTCAGATGGGGCATGCACACTAAGGATTGAGAAGTTATAATTCCTCCCGCGAACCCTTAGCACAGATATCCTTTGACTTACTGGCTTAAATCCGATAACTAACCTTCTGAATAATTTCCTTTCGATGAATCCCGTTCAAAAAGTGTTTACCCGATCGTTACAACTGTAGAATACCGTGTGATTTCTTTTCTCTAGCGTGCCATGACCTATCCACCGGATCTCTTGGATGGCGGTTATGTCCAATTTGTATTTATTTATTTCGTTCAAGAGTACATTGAGTGCTCCGGGTCTATACAATGAAAGAATATTCCAATATTCAATATTAAACCTATGACGTTTGTCGGATTTTTTCCGTGAATCTTCATGAATTTCCGAGGCTTTTGCTTGGGGTTTCTCGATGGTTGAGTTTTCGGACAGTGGGGCTATCTACCCTACTACGTGCCCTTGTCTGCTGGTGGGACTGCCACCTTAGTGCTTGCAGACCTGCACCCCCTCCGAGATGGCTACCAAGGGGGGGGGGGGTGACCCTAAGGTGAATACTGTAGGTGACCTTCGTCTGAATTGTGTGGGTGTGTGCAGTGTGCTGTGGATTGTGTACTGTATGGGTGTCAGTGTACTGTTTCCCCTACCTGGAGGGCCAGTGGCTACTTGCGGTACAATGACCAGGCGATGGGGCCGTCACTTCCCTAAGCCTATACTTTAAGAGATAGTTTTTAATATTTTTTTTCTATAAAACATGGTAATATTTTACCGTTTTGGGGGAGAGGGGAGGGCCTCAACCCGAAAGTCCCCCGTAGATCCGCCTGTGCCCAGATGCCAGAGCCTCGGAATTAGCAAGCGAACATTAGCGCGGAAAAAGGATTATTCGATTCGGAACATGGAATGTAAAAGGCATTAATGGAAAGGAAGTAGAGCTGGTGGAGGAAGTGAAGAAAGCAGAAATCACCTTATTGGGCATTACAGAAACCAAAAAGAAAGGAATAGGAAGAAAGAAAGGAAAATTTACTCAGGAGTGAACCCCATTGAACATGCTAAGAGCGGGGTAGCTTGCATATTCCACAAAGACATATCCAGGTTCATAACAGAATGGAAAGCTATAAATGACAGATTATTAACTATCAATTTTTTATGGGATAACAAACTTTACATATTGCTTGTTGCCTACGGACCAAATAACGATGCACCCGCTGCAGAAAAAGACATATTCTTTGAGACATTGCAAAAATAAATAGACGATAACGACGGGACCCCTATTATTATGGGAGACGTAAACAGCAGGGTTGGCAACGACGACAAAGTATGGCAGGGAACCTTAGGAAGGCATTCCCCTAGGTTCCCTGCCATACACCATT